CTGGTGGATTCTCATCCAGGACCCCATGACGTGCTGTGGAAGCTGCATGGCTCCAGTTGTGAGAAGTGAGGTGTAGACGCATGAGCGCGGCACCAGCCAGGCAATGCCGGGTGGGTACGCTGCTCCTGTTCCGCGCGCTTTATTGTAGGATAAGGAAGCTTTCTCCCAACTTGGCATTCCTTGCGCTTCTCTGTCATTGCATCTATCCAATCAGGACAAGTTCTTCAATGAATTTAGCCAATCACGATCGATTCATGTGTATCCCAACATTTTCCCAATTATTTTGGGAATTTACAGTCTTGCTAGAATAATGTCCAATACAAAAGTTTAGTGTAGTTGTTGTATTACTCATATTTGACCAATACAAATCATGATTGTATCGTTGGTGGCTGTGACTCGTCTGCTTTCTCTCCTCTCCCATTTGAAAAGATGCAGCGGGCGCCGAGAAGGCTTGACATCCCGCAAGGGACAGCAGGGCAGGAGGCAGCGGCGATGAAGTGCTTCAGCGAATTCTTAGCTCTTGCTAACATGAATGAGGAGTCAATTGCTAGTATTGCGAAGTCGCTGTCTATTCCTGATGCTCTACCAAGCCAAAACTTTTACTCTTTGCTAACCGCCTTCTCCATTTTCTTGCAAACTAAGCCAAGTGCTCGAGGAGGCCATCTTACTAAGGCTACTGCTGTGGGCTATATGTCCCAAGTTGTGAACCTGCTCCGAGAGCGGTACCCTCTGTACTTGTCAGACAGCAAGCGAATTGCGAAAATACGCGACAAAATGGGTTCAACTATTGAGGAGCGAAATTTACTAGCTGGCGTGCAGACTGGTGAAGCTCCAGGCTGCACGCTCAGCGACTTGCGTGTTCTGGTGCAGGAAACTGCGATTAAGGGGGTTGGCTCAGGTTATAAGAGTTTGCATGACGCTGCTGTACTAACGTTAATGTGGTACACGTTTGGTCGAGCGATCGATACCTGTTTTGCTAGGAAGAGCCAGCTATCTATGGCGGCATCGGGGGAGCTCTTTCTGCATCTAGCTCGAATCAAGACTTCGGTGGTTCAAGGGATCTCAATTTACAAGGCCGCGACTCACTGGGAGCAGTGTATGCTGCACGGCCTCGGAATGCTGTTCGTCGGAGTGTCGGAGCCTTCCAGCTATGTGTTCCCGCTAGTGCCGTACGCGGCGGCATCGGATTTGCCAGGGGAGAAGACCTACAGCCAAGACGAAGCTATAATCTACTGGGAGAACCTTGAAGAGAAAGCTGAACCAAGGAACGAGCCACCAACAAAGCGCGTGAGAGGAAGGCCCAACGTGTCCAAGTATATTAACGACGTCATCACCATGGTCTGCGAGCGCCAAGCCCAGGCCTCTGCCCCGCTGCCCCCGACGCTCACCGCAGGGCTGAGCAGCCACTCCTTGCGCCGCGGCTCCGCAGCGTATGCAAACGCCTCACCGCAGCTTGCGATCCAGTGGATCTCGACCCGGGGAGCTTGGCTGCTGGACTCGCTCACGAAGGCGTTCGCGTACGTGGGTACCACGACACGCGAGGACCAGAGTGTTGGCAAAGTCCTCGCTGGATACCGAGACCCGCACCTGCCATGCGTCACGCCCACGATTGCCACCTTGAGCGAGCTTCTTCCTGCGCTCGAGTACGCCCAGCTGCTAACCCTGCGCGGCCAGCTCTTCAAGAACGTCAGCGGCTTCACGGACACCACGCTCAACGTTGACGCCTTAGTCCTGGATGCGGCGCTCGCGTCCCTGCTCATCCATCTTGACGACGTCGCGACGGCAGTCCAGCAGGAGCAGGTTGCCACAGGCTTCACATCGCATTACCTGTATCGCTTCCACGAAGCTCTGGACGCAACCAACGTAGCGCTGGGAACTAGGCTCTCGCTGGACACGTGCATTGGTTGGGGTCGGCAGCTTCGCACGGCTTGGCAAACGGAGAACTTCGGACAGCTGGGTGAACGCAGCAATGGAAACACCACCATACTTGCCGCAGCCGTCACCCAGATGCTATCGTCCATCGCAGCAATGCAGCGCACACTTCAGAAGCTCGTCGCGGTCCACGAGAGCAAGTCCACCAGCGCTGACGGTCCTGCTCCTTGTCGCTGTGCTGGCCAGGCCCCGCAGGCGAGCACTGACACCGTCGTTGAAGCGCACTCTCTTGCTGGCTGCTTCTACAACTGGTACACACTGGAGCTGTGGCACACGGCAACCCAAAAGAAACAACAGTTTGTTCGCGCTGACCTCAAGGCAGGCGTCAACATCATGATCATAGCAGCAGGGCGAGAGGTAGACGTACCAACGGCGCCACTGGACCGGGACGGCGTCGCGTATCGGCCGTGGAAGCAGCGTGTCTGGACGCTAGCTGAAGACTTGGACAAGAAGGTCAACGCTGCGCTTGGGAGTATCGACGGTAAAGGCCGATCCAAAACCGCGGGGTCGCTACGGAAGCGCTGGAGAAAGCTGCGCGTTGGCCACCGCTCTGCGTACGACGCGCTCTGCCCAGCATTTATCACCCGCAAAGCGAACGGTGGCATCGTCGACCGCTGCACACCAGCTAGTCACTAATGGAAGCAAAAAGACTTGGAGTCGTAGGATCACGCAGCTTGTATTAACGCTTAATACATTCCTATTCATACAACATGGATAATCGAATTCAAGGCGCAAATGCACCCGTCATCGCCATCCCACAACTTAAGCACAGCGCATGGATTCCCGTCAGTCCCGATCCAAAGTCATACACAATAGAAAAATGCTCACATACCGTCAGCGAGCGCGCACGACCTCGTGCTTGGCCGACAGCTACCAAAACCGGCAGCATAACACCCGCCCTGCCGGGATTTGTAGCTGCTTTCGACGGGTCCTTGCGTGGGGCGCGCCTGGGGGCACTCGGGTCTGGGGTGGTCGGCGGGGGAGGCGTGCGGCACGCTCGGAGCGCGCTGTCGTGTTGGAGATGCGGGGCGGAAAGTGTGAAGGCTGCGCAGCCGGCCAAAAATAATACCTTAAGGTTTTTTCTTGGCTTTGGAGCCGATAAACCAGTCCATACTTTGTTGAAGTCATTTGGAATCTCACTTATGATTGGCTCTCCTCATTGGGAGCGGCGTTTGGGACCTGGTCGGCGCTAGCGGCCTCCCGCCAAATACAAATCCTCCATAAACGATTTTATCATACTGAGGAGGATATTAGTTGTAACTAGTACCGAAATCAGGAGCGTTTATTCAGCCATTCACTGCAGATGCGGCCATGCATCTTACTCATAACGCAAAGTAAAATGACAAGTCCTGGGCATAACACAAAAGCTGATGCCCAGCCAGAAATCAAGTGCACTATAACGGAACTACAAGAAAGATTACGATTGCGGCTTCGCTGGTTAGCAGGAGCCGCAGCGCTAGGAGTAGTTCGTACCATATTAACTTTGCTATTTACCTTTGGTAATAACTTATGGCTAAAGTTTACGGGAACTTCGCCGTCTCCCCCAGCGTGTCTTCGTCTTCCCTGCAGACACTACAATACCATAAACCTCCGACATGTTCGCATGACCAAGGATGTGGGAGGAGGCAGGCAAGTGGCGGAGAAAAATATATGCGTTTGAATTCGCTCTACACTACGGCGTCCATTTAGAGAGTTGAGGCGCCAACACTGGACCATTTAGGGAATAAAGAGGTTTTTGATCAACAACTATAGTGAAATCCATATAACCCCGTTTTTGCAGACGAGGAATCCTGATCAAGTGAACACAACCAGCAAGTACAGACAACGACGGATTTATCCCCACTTAGATTTGTCCTAGGAGATAGGACCAAATCGTGTTTTGGTGTGGCACACACCGGCCGTTTTTGTCCTAGGGAGCCCGAAATAGGACCAAAATGACTTGATATTTGTATGGGGTGTTTTGACCCCCCAAAGGTGTGTCTTATAAGGCGCATCGGGCAGGGAAATCGGCGCTAAAGATAGCTCCAGCTGAGACCATACTGAAATCAAGTCAAATTTGTCTTAGGCTAGGACAAATCGGCAAAATTCGATGTTACAAGAGACAAGTTTTCAACGGCTTATATCTCGAGAAGGACAATGGAGGACGCTAAACCGATAAGACCACCGGGACAGCTAGGACGGGGGATTGTGCCCATGTAGTCACATGATCCTATTTGTTTCTAGTTATACGGAGCGAGGCGCCTAACTTTTGGTCCTTCCATTTGTCCTACGGACTGGGCTAAGTGGGGTTATACGGCAACGCAAAACCCGGCACACATATGTTGTACTTTTTACAGTAAGTAATTCAAATAGCCAATCAGCTTCGGGATTCACACTTGACATTTGTATGCCAAATGGTTTGACGTTTTCTAAGTTCTGGTGTACTTTATTGTCCGTTACGTGTACTTTATGTCATTGCCTTGTACAATCTCTATCGTTCCCAAAGAATTCTGGCACATATGAGGATGCCATTCAGTGGTGCCGGATTTATCCGTCGTTGTCTGTATGAGTGCTCTTTGTGTACACCTCCATTTCGCTAAAACCTGCAAAAATACAGGTGCATAACGAAAAGCAGAGTGCGTGCGGTCACTAGATTTTAGTGCCTTTTGGTCAAATCTTGATCTGCGCGGAGGCGCAATTTTTGAAATGAGTATGAAAGCGCGCTCGCGCAGTCGAAACAACTGTCCGTCACAAAAGCGTAGCCCATGTGCTCTCCTTATGACTGATGCTAGCAGCGTTTGGCGTACCGCTAATAATCGACGCCTCATCGCAAATGGGTTCTTTCTACCTTGACCGACCATGACAGAACGTCTTGTGTCCGTAAAGCTAAGAGTTATGGCAGTTTTGTCACCAGCTTTCAAAATCTCGGTCACAGTGCTCACAGTGGTGCCAGCGCAGAACCAGCGCAGAACTGTCGCCTTGGGAAAACTGTCACTGACTGATCTACGTCGCCAGTATTAATTCGGCAAGTTTGAGCTCGACAAATCGCTCTAGGTCACCCAAATTCGCATTATTTAACTACTTCGAGACTAAAGCACCTCCAAGAGAGTTAATGATGGTGGCGATGGTGGAGTGTACTCGGCGAGACTAATAGGGATCCCGGGGCTGCAAGGGACGAATACAGCAGTTGATACAGCTTGCTTGCAGTCGATAGGGGTCAACTCTGCCGACGCATTAGCCGGCTTGCTGAAGCACACGTGAATGACAGCAAGACTGTTGCCAGCGCCGCCTCCATTGCGTCCATCAATAGGTGCAACAGCAGAGCACAGGACCTGCACCCGCGTCTTGTACAGCGCCGTGATCTCCGCTAGGGTCGTCTTCGCAAAGCTGGACGTGGCCCAGCCATTTATCACATTGGTGGCCTCTTTATTGACTGCATCTGCCCGCATTGCCGCGCGGAAGTACTCCCGAGCACTCGATTCAAAGTTGTCTCCACCGTTGGCGGCGTAGCACAGCCCGTGTTTCTGGAACTCGTGGTTGTACAGCTCGCACAGCGTCTGGAAGCTGGAAGGCTGCGTAGGGTCCACCCAGACCTCGTCCATCTCTTCAAGCAGCTCTGGTGATTCGGCTGCAAAACCGAGCGCATCGAAGGGCTGGTTGCGGATGGCGTTGCTCACGTTGCAGCAGGCTGAAAAACCGGCGTTGTAGTTGGGCCAGAGGCCGTGGATGGAGAGCTTGCTGACTGCCTTGGAGGGATCGCACACGATGCCGTGCGGGTACTTGTTGACGTTGCGGTGGGAGATCGTGAGGTCGACGCCAGCCAGCAGGTCGCGGCAGAATTGCGGCAGGAAGAGCTGCTCCAGCAGCAGGAAGTCGTAGTCTCCGGGCTGCTGCTTCTTAGCGAGGCACGCCGGGTCCTGCGTCGGGCAGATCGGGCTGGGCGACGCGTGCGTGCAGATGTCCACGCACTGCTGTGAGTCAGGCTGCCACCCGCCAGGGTAGTCCTCCGCCGTCGCGCCCTCGAGCGCGAGTGTGAGGCTCAGCAGGAGTAGCATTGGGCGAGATCTCTTCAAGAATGGGATCTTCAATGCGACACGCAATTTCAGCCAATGGTTACGCACCAAGTCTGATGCGGTTGCTGCTTGGGCTCCTCCTCGTCTTGGTCGCCCATTGTCTCCCTCGACCTCAAGCGCACATGGTTCTCCGAGTCTCCAGCACCCCCGACGCGGTCGGCGCCGCCGTCGGCCAGCTCATCTTCGACCTGAGCAAGCAGGCCATCGCCACACACGGGCGTTTCACGGTCGCGCTGTCCGGCGGCTCGCTGCCCAAGGTGAGAGAGCGCTCGACTGACCGAGTCAGTCTGGTGGGTCCTCTGCTGACTGCTGCGTGCTGCTGTAGATCCTCAACAAGGGCCTGCAGGCCATCAAGGGCGACGTGGACTTCTCCAAGTGGTTCGTCTACTTCGCGGACGAGCGCTGCGTGCCGCTGGACCACGACGACAGCAACTACAAGGCCTGCAAGGCGGCGCTCTTTGACTTTGTACGTCTCCGTGGCTGCAGAGACGCTACCTTAGTTGGCTATCCTCTCACGCTAACTATAATATGTTGTTGCACGCAGATTCCCGTGCCGGCGAGCCAGATCTACACCATCGATGCCTCTCTGACCCCCGAGGCCATGGCCGTGGACTACTCCAAGAAGCTGGCCGAAGTCTGGGGCAGCGACGTGAGTATTAATCGATGGTCTCCCGATTGCAGGTCTCCACTGCCGTACTGACGGTGCTGTGTGTTGGTTGATGCGTGCAGCTGCCTCGCTTCGACCTGATCCTGCTGGGCATGGGCCCGGACGGCCACACGTGCTCGCTGTTCCCGGGCCACCCGGTGCTGGAGGAGAAGACGCTGTTCGTGGCGTCCATCGAGGACTCACCCAAGCCGCCCCCGCAGCGCATCACGCTAACCTACCCGGTCGTGAACAACGCCGCCAACGTACGTCGCTGTCTGCCGTCTGCTGCGCCTCGCACTATACGTACGACTAACACCTCCCCCCCCCTTGCAGGTCGCGTTCGTCGCCACGGGCGCCGGCAAGGCCGAGCTGATGCCGCACATGATCGGCGTCGAGACGCGCACGCCGCCGCTCCCCGCCGCCAACGTCAAGCCCACGGACGGCGTCGTCTACTGGTTCATCGACGAGGACGCGGCCGCCAAGCTCTCGGACGAGGCCAGGATGTAGGTGGCATAGCAAGTGCGTCCGTGGGGCTAAAGTGCCAATCAACTGCCGCAGCGCCATCGCGTGTCAAAATGCTCAAGATATAGTGTCCCACTTCAACATTCGTCTTGTTCTGTGTATGGTGAATCTCCTCTGTCCGCACATGTTGTCTCCTTTGATGTGCAAACACTCCACACTCGGCTCAGCCTCATTTGAAGATCCCCGCGTGACGTGAGATGGCGTCCGACAAGCAGAAGAACGCGCTGGCCGTGGCCGCCTGCGCCGCGGCGCTCGCGGGCCTGGGCCTCTGGGCGCGCAGCAAGCAGCAGCAGCGCACGCGCCTGCTCCGCAAGCAGCTGACGCACCTGCGCTTCGACCTGAGCGTGGCCGAGATCGAGGCCGAGACGCAGCGCATCCTGGCGCAGATGAAGCGCGTGGACGACGAGATCGCGGCGCTCGCGCCGTCCGCCGTCACGTTCGAGAACACGGCGCAGAAGCTCATCGACCTGGACCACGAGATGCTCAGCCGCGTGACCAACGTGACGTTCCTCGGGCAGGTGGCGGCCGACAAGGAGACGCGCGACGCCTGCACCAAGGCGGACGAGGCCATCGAGGACTTCTCCGTGCAGCGCAGCATGCGCGCGGACGTGTACAAGTCCATCAACGTGCTCTACAAGAGCGCGGCCTACCAGGTACGATAAATGCACTGGGTGTTGGCAGCTTTGAGATTGGAAGCTGACCGTACTTCGTTGTTGCTCTTGGCAGAAACTGGACAAGGTCACGCAGCGCTACGTGCACCGCCTGGTGCAGGACTACGAGCGCAACGGACTGCAGCTCCCGGAGGAGAAGCAGAAGGAGGTGCAGGCCTGGAAGCAGAAGCTGTCCAAGCTCGGCATTCAGTTCCAGCAGAACCTCTCGGAGGAAACGATCGAGGTCAAGTTTTCGCACGACGAGCTGAAGGGGCTTAGCGACGACTTCATCGCCGCGCTTGAGAAGGGCGACGACGGCAAGTACAAGGTAAGATACATGTACTATATTGCGTCGGTGACGGTTTAGAGCCCTGACCAGAAGTTGCTTTTGCGCCACAGATTGCACTCTCGTACCCGACAGTGTTCCCCATTTTGAACACGTGCACCGTGGAGTCAACTCGCAAGGCTGTTGAGTACGTGTTCAACCGCCGCTGCATCTCTACGAACGTGGCTATCCTTGAAGAGATGTTGGAAATCCGGCACAAGGTGGCACTGGCGCTGGGCTACGAAAACCACGCTGCGTATGTCCTCGAGCAAAGGTATGGCGATCTTGTGTATATTCTTCGATCGCCCCTTTACTAAAATCGTTGGCACTACTCTCTGTACGAATGAAAAACAGGATGGCAGAATCCCCGGCGAATGTCAAGAAGTTCCTGAACGACCTGGACAACAAGCTTGTGCCGCTTGCCAAGAAGGACCTGGACGACTTGCTAAAGCTAAAGGAGGCTGACTGCGAGCGCAACGGGTGGAAGTTTGATGGCAAAATCAACATGTGGGACTTCCGCTTCTACATGGACCAATTCGTCAAGAAGCACTGCTCCATCGACTCTGAAAAGCTCCGCGAGTACTTCCCCCTTACGCATGTGACGGCAGAGCTACTGTCCATGTACCAGGAACTTCTGAGCCTGAAGTTCGTGGAGATTTCGCAGCCCCACGTGTGGCACAAGGATGTCCGCATGTTCGCCGTCTATGATGCACGCCCTGGTAAGGTTGGAAACCTTGTCGGCCACTTCTACTTGGATTTGTTCCCGCGCACGGGCAAGTACGGCCACGCTGCCTGCTTTACGCTGCAGCAGGGCTGCGCCAACTCGCAGGGTGTTCGTGAGGTGCGTGCTTAGTTGTTTTACGTGGCCATGACTAGGGATTAACCTGATGCTCTGGTTTGTGTACAGTACCCTGCCGCCGCGATGGTTGCCAACTTTAACGCCCCGACGAAGTCGAAGCCGTCACTGCTGGGACACCAGGAGGTTGTGACGTACTTCCACGAGTTCGGCCACGTGATGCACTGCCTGTGCTCTGAAGTGGACATCCCTCGCTTCGCCGGCACGCGCGTGGAGCGTGACTTCGTGGAGGCCCCGAGTCAGATGCTGGAGAACTGGTGCTGGGAGAAGGAGCCGCTGCAGCGGCTTTCCTCGCACTACGAGACTGGCGAGGTGCGCTCACTTGTGCAGTTGTCCTTGCTTGCTGCTGCCTGGCAGTTCCACTGACTTTTGCTGGGGTTTTGCATGTTACGTGTAGAAACTCTCCGACGACCTGATCGCTCGCCTGATCTCGACGAAGAACGCGAACACCGGTCTGTTGAACAAGCGCCAGCTGCTCTTCGCCATCTTCGACCAGACCATCCACTCGAAGCCCAAGTCGAACACGGCGCAGCTCCTCAAGCAGCTGCAGACGGAGATCATGCTCATCGACATGACGCCCGAGACGAACTTCGCGGGCTCGTTCGGCCACCTGGCTGGCGGCTACGACGCGCAGTACTACGGCTACATGTGGAGCGAGGTGTTCTCCATGGACATGTTCGTGTCTCGGTTCAAGAAGGAGGGGCTCATGAACCCCAAGACGGGGCTGGCGTACCGTGAGCTCATCCTGGCGCGCGGCGGCTCCGTGGACGCCAGCGTCATGCTCAAGGACTTCCTTGGCCGCGCGCCCAACCAGGACGCGTTCCTGCTCAGCAAGGGGCTCAAGGTCGAGGCGTAGAGTGTCCTCCGACGTCCACAGTTGAAGTGGTGCCGTTTTTGCTGTCAGAGACGTCTCCCATTGGCTGCATATGAATAAAGGCTGCGTCGAAATCATGTGATTGGTCAGCATATTTGTGTACGATTGTGTACAAGGGGTTTCGCTACACATTTCGAACGAGCAGACGCCAAGTCGCCACGTCTTCCTCTTAGCTCTTCGATCTCTCACGATGGCGTTCGAGGCGGCTGTGGTGGGGCTGCCCGGCAACTCGTATGCCTTCACCAACTGCGTGTACGTGCACCTGGACGACTTCATGGGGCTCGTGAAGCAGACGCCCCCGGGGGTCGTCACCAAGGAGGATCTGCGCGCGCACGGACTCAACGTCTGGATCAACCGCAAGTTCGTCATGGCTGCCAAGCCGCACAAGGAGATCCAGCCGGGCACCGTGGCCGTGGGCACCATGCAGCGCATGTGCGTGGGGCTGCCGCTGAACCAGGCCTGCGAAGTGTCGGTCTACGCTCCGTCGAGTGCCGCCAAGAGCGTGCTGAGCACCGTCACGTTCGAGATCCAGCAGGTGCTCACGCGCGCGCAGGGCAACGAGCTGCGCGTGGTGGACTGCAGCCTGCTCAAGGACCTCTTCGAGGCCGAGTACACGCACCAGGTCTTCGCGGTGGGGCAGCTCATGGCTGTGCGCTGCGACGGTCTCCCGCTGCGTCTGCAGTGCATGAGCATCGACACGGTGGACGGGGACAGCAAGAGCCCCGACTCCTTCGCCCCACGGGTCGGGGCCTTCCTCAATGGTTCCATCATCAACTTCACCAAGGGGAAGGACGCCCCCATCCGACTCACCAACCAGTCCAGCGGCACGACGCGCACCGTGTTCAAACCCGACTTCGACTTCACCAAGCTCGGCATCGGCGGCCTGGACAAGGAGTTCAACGACATCTTCCGCCGCGCCTTCGCCTCGAGGCTGTTCCCCACGGACGTCATCCAGAAGCTCGGCATCCAGCACGTGCGCGGTATGCTGCTGTTCGGACCGCCCGGTTGCGGTAAGACGCTGATCGCGCGAAAGATCTCGCAGGCGTTAACTGCGAAGGAGCCCAAGGTGGTCAACGGCCCCGAGATCCTCGACAAGTTCGTCGGTGAGTCGGAGCGCAAGATCCGCGAGCTGTTCTCGGACGCGCGCAAGGACCAGGAGGAGCTCGGCGACGAGAGCGACGTGCACATCATCATCTTCGACGAAATCGACGCTATCTGCAAGCAGCGTGGATCGAGTCGCGACGGCACGGGAGTCGGTGACAGCGTGGTGAACCAGCTTCTGACGCAGATCGATGGTGTCGACAGCCTGAACAACGTTCTCGTCATTGGTATGACGAACCGAAAGGTGAGTTCTCTAGAGGAAGCTGTGCGACTAGAAAGCTTGTTTTCTAATTGCTTTGTGATTTCACCAGGATATGCTCGATGAAGCCCTGATGCGTCCGGGTCGTCTCGAGGTGCAGATTGAGATCAACCTGCCCGACGAGAAGGGCCGCGCTCAGATCCTCAAGATTCACACGGACCGCGCTCGCGAGAAGGGAGCGCTGCACCCGAAGGTCATCGCAGACTTGGACAACTGCCTTGACCCGTCCAAGTTCGTGAGCGACGACCCTGACTACAAGAACCTCGTTCAGCGCACCAAGAACTTCTCGGGTGCTGAGCTTGAAGGTTTGGTCCGTGCTGCTACAGCACACGCCCTCTCTCGCGGAACCGATGGCCGGACCATGCACGCCATCACAAACTTCAACCCGGAGATCTCGATGGAGGACTTCGCTCTGGCGCTGCAGGAGGTAAAGCCCAAGTTCGGCGCCCCGAGCGATCAGCTCTCGCTCTACTACAAGAACGGGCTGATTCCGTACGGCAACTCGTTCACGGACGTCCGCGAGGCGCTGAGCCGTGTGATCGAGCAGGTCCGCTCGAACGATAAGACGCCGCTGATGTCGGTGCTGCTCCACGGCGAACGCGGCGCCGGCAAGACTGCGCTGGCCACGTACTGCGCTGTGGCAAGCGAGTTCCCGCTCGTGCGCATGGTCAAGGCATCGGAGCTCATCTCCCGCGCGGAGAGCGGCAAGTGCTCGTACATCTACAACGTGTTCGAGGAGGCGTACCGATCCCCGCTCAGCATCATCATCCTGGACGACATCGAGCGGCTCATGGACTACGTTGGTGCGTAGCTGCAGCCAGTTTTACCATCTCTCTGTGCTATATAGTCCTAACGTGTGTATCTTGTGTGTGTGTGTGTGCTTGTTCCTTGCCAGGCCTGGGGCCGCGCTTCTCGAACCTGGTGCTGCAGGCGCTCATGGTGCTGGTGCGCAACCCCGTGCCCGTGGCCGGCCGCAAGCTCGTGGTGATCGGCGTCACGTCCAACATCGCGGCCATGCAGGCGGTGGAGCTGAGCGACGTGTTCGACCTGTGCCTCGAGGTGCCGCAGCTCACGCAGAAGCACGAGCTGGACGCCGTGCTGTCGCACACGGGGCTGCCCGTAGCGGACGACCAGAAGGACCAGGTGCTGACGCTGTTGTCGGACCGCCCCATCTCGGTCAAGAAGCTGCTGCTGGTGACGGAGATGGCCAAGGAGGAGCTCAACCGCACGGGCGAGAGCAACATCACGGCGGAGCAGCTCATCGAGTGCGCCTACAAGTTCGTGTAGGAAGCATATACTGTAGGGGCCACTGTATCCTCGTCAATCAATTCAATCAATCAATCAATCCAGCCCCCGAGCAGAGACACGCTCTGCGTGTTGAAGTTGCCCTTGTGTACGCGCACACCACAGTCTCACCTCGCCCATCTTGTTCGCGGAGCCCCATACAAAGTCCAAGTCATTCAAAGATTCGCGTCCGGAGCATCAAGCGGCACAGACAAACCGACAGGAGATGGCCAAGAAGTCCAAGGGCGGCAAGAACAAGACGCCCACGTCCACGCCCACGCCGCCGGCCGGCAAGAAGCTGGACGGCGGCCCCGACCAGGAGCCGCCGGCCACGGACGAGCAGGCGGCCATGGGCAAGGAGCAGCGCCACCGCGCGAGCGAGAAGATCGACCAGCTGCTTGAGGCGCGGCCCGACGCCGAGGCGCTGGAGCAGCGCAACGTGCTGCCCACGGCCGACCCGAACGTGGCGCCCACGCTGCAGGGCGTGCAGAAGCAGCTGCAGCGCAAGATGAGCGCGGACGAGCTGGCGCACAAGCTCGAGAGCCGCCCGGACGTGCAGGAGCTGCGCGACCACGCCATCGTGCACGGCGCGGACGGCGTGGCGCCCAGTCTGCAGGCCACGCAGGAGAAGCTGCAGCGCCAGATCAACACGGACAAGGTGCACCAGCACCTGACCAAGCGCCCGTCCATCGAGGAGCTGCGCACCACGGGCGTGCTCGAGACGAGCGCCGAGCTGGCGCCGAGCCTCACGGCCACGGCCAAGAAGCTCGAGCGGAACCTCGTGCAGAACCAGGTGTCGCACCTGCTCGAGTCGCGACCCGAGAAGGACGAGCTCGTCTCGCAGAACATCCTGGAAGGTGCGCGCACTGCAGTCCAGAGGAAGTGAATTGGTGTATTGGTGTCTTCTCACCTTGTTGACGTTGATGTTTGATGCTGCTATTGAACAGGCCAGGATGCGGCGGTGGCGCCGGTGCTGCAGGGCGCCAAGCACCAGTTGGAGCGGCAGTTGAAGGCGGACCAGATCGCGCGCCAACTGCGCCACAGACCGTCGGTGTCGGAGCTGGAGGAGAAGGGCATCATTGACGGTGAGGAGGCTACTGCGATCAAGCAGGGGTCGCACTAACGTACGCGGGCGGAGTCACGACTGATTGATGAGCGTTCTCGTTCTGCTAGAGGGGGAGCTGGAGAAGGACGGGCTGTCGAAGAAGCGCTCACTTTCGCAGCGTGCGCGCTATGCATTGGCGCTCAAGGCGGCCAGCCGCATCGCGGCCGACAAGTTGATCTCGGCAGAGGAGAAGGCGCGTCTGAAGGATTTGATTTTGAGCGATGACGAGAAGATCGTGGCCGCGCTCGAGTGCTACGAGCTGGATGAGGATATCGAGGAGATGCTGGACACACTGTACCGCGTCGCGAAGGTGTCGACGTGAAAGTCCAGCGCTTCGCGTGCTTTTGCTTTTACTTCCCCTCGCAAAGCTGTTCGGGAACGTCGCTGTGACGCTGCTAATAATTTCAAGAATAAACAAGACTGTGATGCAATTCCGCAGCGGTGGATACACTCTATTGATTCACTGCGAGAATCGCGCGTCCATGAAAGCATCCACGCCGTCGCGAATAGCACTACAAAGCAACAACGGCGCATTGTCAGTCGAGTGGTTCGCAACCTCGAGCAAAGCGTGAAGAAAGCGATTTGTACCTGATCTGCAGCAGCGAATCTACAACACCGAAGAAACTGCGGTTCTCGAGGGGCATCGCCTGCGTGGCCGGCGGCTCCGGGTGCTGCAGCCACGCGGAGAACAGCACAAGGTGTCCATTCTTCTCGACGAGCTCCTTCTGCAACTGTACCGCGACAGGAGAAGCGTGGGGAAGCGACTGTGCCATGCGCGTATCACATGTGTAGCGGTCAGCATCATTGCACGACCGCAATCTTAACTTTTCACAGTTCACTAACCTCCACCAGTGTGTAGCTCGAGCGTGGGAAGCTCTCCTTGTCGCGCGTCCTTCAAATGAATAGCATAGGTGTTAGCTTGACTAGCCCAGTATTGCATTCGCACTAAACCGACAAGTTTTGTACCAGCACTCTTCGTCCTTGAGCAGCCCGTACAGCTCAAGCGCAGTCTGGTGCAGCGCCTTCTGCTGCTCCTTCGACGCCTGCACAATCGAACCAAGCATTAGCCATGCTATTCACACGCGTGCCATCGATGTTGCACAACCACAAACACTAGCGCACCGATTCGAAGTCCACCGTGAAGAACCAGCCCGGGAGCTCGGGGCCGTTGAGGCCGATCGAGCTCGCAACGCCCGCCGTCTTGGAGTCGTCCGCCTTCTTGGGGATCAACGACCACGACAACTTCTCCAGCAACGTAGCAAGTCTGCACCAAACACGCAGCCCTGAGCACCCAAGGGAACCAGAAGCAGCCGGCTCATCGTTGAGCAATAATGAACGCACCTGGAGTCGGAGCTGGCAGAGGCCTTGTGCAGCCGCTGGAAGGTCGCAATGACGCCGCACTCGGCCTTGTGCGCCGGCCAGGCCTTGAGCTGGCACACGCGGCCGCAGAAGAGAGCGGCGTCGCAGTTGGCGCAGCGCTTGAGGCCGCTGACGTCCTGCAGCTTCTGGCGGCAGCTCTGGCAGCCGGCGCCGATGCTCCAGACCTCTCCGCCGTGCTGCTTGAAGTGCTCCAGCAGCCGCATCTCCGCGGCGGCCGTCGCATCCTCGCACACCTGGTCGTACGTCTTCTCGTCCGCCATCGCGCTTTGCCAGTCAATATCTGAAATGCAACTCGATACAAAAACCAAGTTACTGCGGCAATCATTACGGTACATCACCCGTCCGATGGAAGGAAGCCTCGACACTTTGTGGCCCCGCAGCGACACGGATGCCCTTCTGCTAGCTCTACCCCGCCATCTAATGCACTGCTAGTACTGCTGTCACTACTAGAGCCTCCTCCGTAGTCGAACGTCAGCTCCTCGCCAGCGTTGATCCGTTGTCTGGCGAACAAGGCCAAGCGCGGGATGAACGAGTCCACGCGCACCGCCGCCACCTCGAGGTTGGGCGCGCAGCTGTGGTTGAAGAAGCGCGTCGCGCTGCCGCTGCTAGACGCGTCCACGTTGGTGCGCACGACGTCGAAGCCCAGCGCAGAGCCGCCGCCGTCTTCCTCTTGGCGGGCCACGTGCTCCCGCAGTGACAGCACGTAGTTGATCGCCTTGGGATCGTAGCGCTGACGATAGCGCCGCTGCATCTCGCGGGTCGACACGAGTTCACCCGTGTACTCGCCCACGTGCTCGCCGCGCTCGATCCGCTGCGCCGCCAGCACTCCCCAGCCTTTGCCCTCGCGCTCGGTGACGACAACTTCAACTTGGCGGCCGCGAAGGACGCGCTGGCACCGCTCGTCGCTCTGTTGGTGCTTGGAGAGGAGGTCCGCAGGCAGACTGTACCGCTCGCTGGCGGTGCTGAGCCCGCCTGGGAGTTGAACCGCCGTGACGTATGTGAAGACCAGGAGCTCCACGACGGCGCGGAGCTTGGCGTGGAAGCTTGATGGCGGAAGCTGCTGCACTGGAACGGGCAGCGCCTCCTTCCCCATTGAGATGTCGGACGTCGCAGCGTCGACCCACGCTCGAAGAGCCTGACGCGCTGCCTTGCAGACGCACGCGAGGGCCAACGCCGAGCCGACGTCGAGCCACAGACCTCGCTGCGGCGCGAGAACGACCACGAGCACGTCGTCAAGCAAGGCGGTGGCGGGAGAGCCTCGGAGCTTCTTCATGCTGTGACGGTGCAGGAGGAAACGCGGCGGTCGTCTCTGGCACGGTAATCCGTGTTCTTGATTGGCGACATGTGAGGCGGGACCCGAGAGAAAGTCGTGACCTAGCTGTAGAGTGAGTTGATAGTTCGCTATTACCTTAGTTCCTAGTGTATATACTTGCTACGACGTAGTGTAGATCATTGCACGCACGCGTCGCTCGACTTTCGAGACGCTTGCTTATAGAGTTGATAGACTTGAACGACGACGATGGATAACATAAAGCCTCCTCCTCCGCTTAGCTGCGCAGGAAGCACTCGACGAGGTGCGGGATGGCCTGGCAGCCGTCGCACGCGGCGTCTCTCGAGTGGGGCTCCGTCTTGCTGCTGAGCGCCATGGCCACGAAGGCGTTGCAGAAGCTCTTGAGCACCTTCTTGCGGCGCTCGACGCCGGCGCCGAGCTTGACGTAGAGCCGCGGCTGCGACAGCGAGTAGAGGATGAAGTGCATGTACTTGCTGCAGTACTTGCAGATGTGGCCGTCCTCGTGCTTGCGCTGCGCGTAGGCCCAGGCCTGGTAGCGCAGCTCGGCGAAGTCCGATAAGCGGTGCAGCACCTGGTAGTCCGGCTGCGAGGCGCTGGCCGTGGGCGTGTTGAGCGTCGGGATGCGCGACGTGTGGTGCAGCAGGAAGACGTCCACGACGTAGTAGACGACGTCATGCCGCACGACGGTCGCGTTGATCTCGACGCGGTCGACGGTCTCGAGGAACGAGATCGGGGCCGCGGCCTGCGAGGACCGCGTGGGGACGAGCGGTACGGGGGTCAGGTGCTGGAGCTGCGGAAGCTGGGGCGTCGTCATTCGATGGCGCGCGGGCGACGAGGTGGCGGCGGCGGTGCGGTCTGAGCGCTGGTTGAGAGGGTTCTGATGTCAATGCGCGCTGGGCGGCGAGTTGAAGAGTGAGTAGTGATCCTCCGGGCCGGCTGAAGCCATTTCTGTGAAAGGCAAACCCGAGCTTCAAGCCCGGTCTTTTCCACGCGGGAAACTTCAAGTGCGTCTGCAAATAGCGGTGAACCCGTTAAACCCGTTATGTATGGCTCACTAATCCGCGTTAATCGCTACACTCACACCTCTGTACCTGCACAAGGGCTGCTGAAATTCAACGCTCAACATGCATGACAAGTTGCAAGTTGCAAGGCGAAATAGCTGCGTAACCTTTGCGCCAAAAAATAGGCAAAGAAAATCTGCCGACATTTGGCTAAAGCGATTACCCTGTCTTATTGAATATTGTTATGGTATTTCTAACATTATACAAATATGCAGGTTGTGCGTCATGCACTTGCTGCAGCGAGGCTACTGCACGCGGCTGAAGATTGGCGCTAGCTCCAGTCCTGCACAGCGCTCCTCTATCCTCAGTCCTCCAGCACACGTGTGCATCACGCCTTGACGGTCCGAGCGGTGCTGCTCGGGCCTCGGCAGACCACCGCCACGCGAGGAGCTCATTTTACTAGTTCAGCCACCAGCTTGAAGCCGGATTGCGGCAAGCGCGCTCGTCGTAGCATTTGGCATGGCGAGGAAACGCCTGATACACACGTTAATCCTCGTTGCCCTTGTCTTTGCTTAGTCGCCGACTCTAGCCGCTTGAGCTTCAACAACGGGCATGCGACTTCCGCTGCCCAGTGGGCCCACGCAGCGGACTTGACGACCGATTTGCGGGGCCATAGCCGGAGCGGAGGTGGTGGCGGCGCACATGGGGCCTGGCAACATGCGCAGCAAATTGCTGCCAGCAAGACCGGCTCGTGAAAAGAATTTACTTGGCCCTGGCTGGCTGGTCTGTCCAATACTAAGTAAAGGGCAAGTGCAATACAAGTATACGGTAACAGGACCGGCGGAAGTGCAGCGAAAAGAACATGCGTACCTGGTAAGCTGGCAGTTAATGCAGCTTTCTCTCCGCTCGAGTCAGCAACGACAAAGTTAGATGTATGCTGAGTTCGAGCTACCGTCGAGCCTCGGTTCGAGGAGAGCTCAGAGCTCAGAGCCCTGAGGCGATCCGGCTGAGCTTTGTTATTTTGGCAAAACAGCGCGTCACCTCTTCAAGTGAAGGTTCTTCCCGCCGGTCCAGGTAACGGTCGTTTGAATTTCTTTCGCTCTCCCGGTGCGACTGAGGGCTCAGCTTTGAGAGTTTCGTAGCAATTCATCGAGGCGGAAATGCTCCGACAAGCGCAGCCTACAGCGCCGACGCACCACGGAGACATTGGACTCGTTGGCAACGAATTGTTGCCCCTGTCGGAAGTCCAGCTTTTAAAAATCAGGGCCCGGCCGAGTCAGCTCGCAAAGACAAGCACGCCGAGTAAGATGAGCAGGGCGGCAACTGCAACGACGGCTGGGCGTGGAAGGACCGCTTTGCTCTGTTGTCGCGCGGGGCTCCAGACACCGCCCAGCTAGCTTCACTGAGTGACGCTGGCCCACCACAAACCACTCCAGACACCTGAAACTTCAGGCTCCCCGCCGCCCCCAACTTTGGGCAAGCGAGGTGTGCTGTGCATTCATTTGACGTGCTAGGCGATTTTAATCGCGAAACGGCTTCAACTTACCCTTCAACTGTGTGCTTCCATGCTCTGCAACTGTACAGTATCAGTTGTGCCGTGTTGTGTCAGCTTGCTTGGCAAGTCTCGGAGTTACAAGACATCTCTACAGAGTCTCGCAAGTGCTAATGCCGAAGGCGTGTTACGACAAGCTTCCGATACCATAAACCGCCAAGCAAGATATTTGAGGGAAAACCTGTTGGTCATGCTCTTTAACTGTGCTGAATTTCGGTGCGGCTCGATGTCCAGGCAGTACGTCTGCATCGGTGCTCTTTTCGACGGATCGCCACGGCACCCGCGCTACTCTCGAACAAACGCGATCGACTGCCAACGCAGAGCCGACAACTGCCTTTCATCAGAGTGCTGCCACGACAAAACCATTCCTGCACGCGCAGTTAAGGATGAAGCTTGATGGAAAGATCACGTTACTTGCAAAAGGCTTTCATTCCTACTACAGCTCACGCTGCGGGCAACGATCCTGGGGGCTACAGGTCCGTCTTCTTCGAGTAGACTCCAGCCGCACTCTGATCAGCCTGGCCTTCCAGCTCCTCCACCATAGCGGCCTCAGCGTCCATCGCCTTGCTCTGGAACAGCGTCTTGCGGAACCAGAACGCCAGGTATACGAGCGCCAGCATGGTGGGGATCTCGATCAGCGCGCCGACCACACTCATCAGTGCCGGGTCCGACTTGAGTCCGAACGACGCAATCGCCACTGCCAGCGCCAGCTCAAAGTTGTTACTGGCGGCCGTAAACGACAGCGTCACGGCCTGCTCGTACGTGGCCCCGAGCCACCAGCTCATGAGGAAGGAGACCACGAACATGAACATGAAGTAGACCAGCAGCGGCACGGCAGCGTAGATGACCTTGTCCAGGTTGGACGAGATGCGCGTGCTCTGCGAGGCGAAGAGCACGACGATCGTGAAGAGCAGCGCCATGAGCGTGAGCACGCCGATACGAGGCGTGAACTTGTCAAAGTACCAGGTGTCGCCCTTGGCCTTGGTCAGCGCGTACCACGTGAGCAGCGCAGCCACGAAGGGCGCACCCATGTAGATGCCGACGTTCTTGGCCACCTCGCCCATGGCGACGTGGATCTCGGCGCTCGAGTCGATGCCCAGGTGGCTCGGGAGGTCGTTGATGAAGAGACCCGCGTAGGGCGAGTAGAGCCCGATGGTGATCACGGAGTTCATGGCTACGATAGCAGCGCAGTACTCGGCGTCTCCGCCCGCGAGGCTGTTCCAGACCACGACCATGGCGATGCAGCGCGCGCAGCCCACGAGGCTGAGCCCCGTCATGTAGCCGACGTCGTCGCTGAAGAAGGCCGACGAGAGGAAGAACATGACGAAGGGCCCGAGCACCCAGTTCTGCACCGTCGTGAGCAGCAGCAGCCGCCAGTCGGCGAAGATGCGGTGAACGAGGTTCCAGCGCACCTTGGTGAGCGGCGGATACATCATGACGAGCAGTCCCACAGCCACGAGGACATTGGTGCTGCCCACGGTGGTGTCGTCGATGAAGCTCTGGATGGCGTCGATCTGGCCGAAGCCGAGGCCCGCGCCCGCGGCCAGCACGATCCAGAGCGTGAGGAAACGATCCAGGAAGGAGAGCTTGCCCACCACGCCCATGCTCGGGGTAGCGGTGTCAGCGGACGTTGAAGTGCCGTCGGTGAGAGGCTGTTGCAGTTGAGAGTCCGACATGGTGACGGGGCCCTGGCGGCAGGAAGGCTGACGCTTGAAGAGGTGGTGCACTGGAGAAACGGGTGTGTGGTTTTCGTCAAGAAGGCAAGTGAGCTCGACTGCGGCACATGCTCGTCGTGCAAGCGGTGCTGCAGCTTCAGCTTCGAGGTAGAGATGTAGCATGTGACGACCAGCGGAACGGAGAACCATTACCTGCAATATCGCATATAATATAAGATCCATGGAGAAAAGGGTCCTTCCAGAACGCATTCTAGACCTCCCAGATCCAATACGTGCTGGTGCGTGACCCGCACTGCGGGTGCGGCGTGTAGCTACGATTCGTAGCCTGTTCATGCAGTCGCCGACACAAGCTTTCTTCGGAGCAGTCGCAAGCACAATGCGCACCACCCTCCTACACGAACAAAGCAACTACTGCTTTCGCGCTATCATTTGCTTCTCTGGCCCACTTAAGAATCGACAATTCAATTTAACCTCATTTTTTGCGAACTCATCTGATTGGCTAAATATACGGTTTCAGCCATATGATTGGGTACGAAGTTTGATTAGAGTACAAGCTCACGAAATTGCTTAGAAAAACCTCAAAATCTAGACGAATGCCACACCTTCCGCACACGGCGAACTGCACAGCACTGTACTGACAGCTAACTAAGCTTTCCAATGATACCATTGTGGTATAATATCGCCAAAAATTGTAGCCATTTCGCAAAAAATACCTAATGTTACCCAAAATCGGGCTTACGAAATTTGTTCTGTTTCCCTTAATCCTGCTTTTTTTGAGCAGCCAATAGTATAACGCGAAACCCTAAAATCCCAGCTTTCTTTTGAGCTATTATTTGTCTCCGACAGATTTTTTTTGATTTTTTTAGAGCGGAAAAATAGAAATGTCGATACTTAGGTGGGCCAGAGAAGTATTGTACAGGCGACGCATCAGGCAATCCGTAGTCTACGTCGCTCAGATGCTCTTTTCGATGAACAGCATGCCGCAGAGGAACCCGGACGGCGACACCCCGGCAACCAGCTCAGTGACGGCTTCGTCCTGCCACAGATTCGTCGAAGGTGAGGGCTCCGGTTCGTCCACTTTGTAGCGGATCCTGGCCACCCGAGGAAACGCATTCGTCATGGCCTGCTTGATCTTGGAGAAGTGCTGGCACTGCTTGCGGATGTCCGACGTCAGCGCAGCCACGAGCTGCGAGGCGTCGCGGTACCCGAGCGTGTTGATCTTGAGATGGTCCAACGTCGTCCAGTAGGAGCAAATGTGGCGGATGATGATGTCGCCGTGGCGCCGCGCGATGTTGGACGTGAAGAAGCCGCTGTACGGGATCATCTCCTCGCGCATCTCGTACGTGCGTCGGTCGATCTCCATCTGATGCATGTCCTGCTCCTTCCAGGTGGGCAGCTCGCGCTTCACCGCTTCTCTCCACTCGCTCACCATCCCGGCCACTTTGGTCTGGTACTTGCCCACCTCGTCGGCGTACAGCTGGCACACCGCGCAGGAGACTTTGCCCGTGTCCGGGTCCACGTGCATGTTTTCCCAGTGGAGGCCGAAGAGCGACGTCAAGTTGCCGTTCTGCGCACCCAGTGCTTCGCTGATCCGGCGAGCGACGTCCTGTTCAGCGGCGTCCTGCCCGTCGTTGTTCTGCCTCCTGCCGCCTCTGCTCTCGGGCGGGTGCAGCCGGATGATCACGGGTCTGGCCGTGTACACTGTGGCCGCGTACTTGAAGGAGATGTAGCTCTGCGGCAGCAGTTTGGTGACCATGAAGTCGATGATGGAGAGCAGTGGCACATGCTGCCACTGCGGTGTGTCGCGCACCGTGTCCCGCCAGTACGTGAGCTCCTTGCCCGCGGCCGTGCGCACGTGGCAGTCTTCCCAGATGTCGGGCGCACGCTCCTCATCGCCTGCGGCGTCCTCATCCTCGTCCCAGTCGCTCTCCGCGAGAGGCTCGCCCGCCTTCCACGCCGGCGTCAGGTGCCACCAGTCGGCCGCGCACTTCTGGTGGAAGTGCTGCGCGTAGCGGGTCTTCTCGAGCGCCGTGGCGCTCAGCACGCGGTCGAAGCGCAGCCAGCGGCTCATGTTCAGCAGGTTGATGGCCTCGCGCAGGTCCAGGAACTCCACGAGCAGCGCGCACGGCAGCCGGAAGAAGGGATCGGCCTCGCCACCGCTGGCGCTCGAGGCCCGGCGGCGCCTCATCGGGACAGTCAGACTATGAGAGCCTGGCAGAGGGAAGGGCTGCGGGCGCTGGCCAATGAGAGCGAGTGCAAAGAAGGCCAGTGCGACTTCAACATGGATGTTGCCTTTTTTGCTAGGTGCCGAGCCGCTGGCTGCTACCAACCTGCTGGCTCATTCTGCTGGCGTCCTTCATGCGTCCTGGTCCAGGGCGTTGGCGATGACCGGGTCCTTGGGGCGGCTCTTGTCGGCCGCGAGTCCCACGAACACGGGGAAACGCGGGATGCCGTCGTTCGTGAGCTCCTGGCACTTGTACACGACGATGCTACCGATGGCGGGCGGTTTGTCGCGCTGCGCGTCCGAGAGCCCGCTGGCCACCTTGAACATCTTACCGCTGGCCATGCGGCAGCGCAGCGCGCCCACCATGCCCACGTACTTGCCCTCGCCGTCCTCGTACGCGAGCACCTCGACCTCGCCGTCGTGGAAGCTCTTGATCTTCAGCAGCGACGACGACCCGCAGCGTACTTGCTGCCCGGCTCGCGGATCATGAGCCCTTCGCCCCCAAGCTTCTCAATCTTGTTGAAGACTCGGTCCAGGTGCGCGAGCGACTCGCACTTGGTGTGCTCCACCCACTTGATGTACTTGGACGATGCCTTGTCCACTACGCCCTTGGCGTGCGCCATGCGCTCCTCGAACTGCTTCGTCTTGAGGCTCGGAGCATCGAACACTTTGTACACGAGCTTCTCCTAGTCCTTGGAGCCCTGTGTCTTGGCGATGCCGACTGTGAACTGGAAAGCGCCCCGCCCTCCGAAGAGCTCGCCGTCCAGATGCACGTCGTCTGGGAACCCGGCAGTGAACCAGCTCGGCGCCGGAAACTCGTTGCCCAAGCGCGAGAGGAAGATCTTCTTGCTGCAGTCCCAGAAGGCGCGCACGCCGTCCAGCTTCTCGCTGATCCACCAGCCCACCGGGTCGTCCTTCTCGCGCTCCCATTTCTTGGCCAGCAGCACCTTTGGGGCCGTGGTCTTCACCACTGCCCTGGAGCTGCCGCTGTCACCCGCAGAGGCTGTGCCACGAGGAGCAGTAGCCGAACCGCGGGCGCGTACAGTCTCGTATTCCACGCCGAGAAGCTCCTTCAGGTGCTTGCACGTCCGCGAGGTCGGTGGGTGGCGTTGGTTCCTCCACGCCGGACAGCTGCACGAGTAAACCCTCCCGAGGCGCTTCACGATGTACATCGAGCCTGATGCGCTCTTTACGTCATGAAACGCCCCGTCCACGAGGAGGACCTTGGGCTCGATACCATTCAGCGCCCCAGTCTCTTCGTCATACTCCACCTCTCCATCTCCATCTCCGCTAACCGCAGAAGCCTCCACAACTGCTCGCTTCTTGCTCGGTCTAGCGGGGGACTTGGCTTCCACTGCTACTGGGGTCGCTGCAAGCTTCTGCTCCCACTGGCCCTCCGTCAGCACGGTCACTCCGAGTTTCTGCGCCTCCTTGAGCTTCTGCCCAGCCTTGTCGCCACACACGAGGAACGTGGTGATCTTGGTCATCCTCGGCTGCACCCGGAAGCCCCTCGCCTCCGCCTCGGCTGTCGCCTCCTTCTGCTCTGCCTCATGAGCGTCCCAGTGAACACAACCGCCGCAGGCTCCTGCCCCTTCGCCTCTTCGTCTTCTTCGTCAGCGCGCGCCTTCCGCTTCCTGGTGGCCGCGTTACTCGGAGAGGGGACGGCCTCCTCCTGCCTGCCACTCTTCTGCTCCTTTGCATCCGCTGCGGAGTCCGCGGCCGCGAGCTTCTCTCTCCACTGCTGCTCCGTAAGGGTCGCGACGCCCAGCTTAGCCGCCTCCTCCATCTTCTTGGCGCCCACTTTGGCCCCGCAGACCAGGAAACTCGACGACGCCGTGACGCCGTGAGACGGTTCCCCACCACGGGGCCTCGGCCGCTGCGTCCTTGCGCGGCTGCGAGAGCGTGCCGGTGAACACCACGACGCTCATAGTCTTAGCGTTGCAAGTGCAGTTGAAGTGGCTCGACCGATACGATATAAGAGCGGACCATCACTCTTGCATCCCTTCCAATGCTACTAAAAGCGTTTACAGAGCTGCTCTTGTTTGCAAATTAGTATAGTATTTCATTTCTAGAGCATTTTGAGTTGAGTTCCCTTGTCAAAACGTGGACGCATTTTCCCAATCGCGCTTCAAACATGCAGAGCTCGGGGGCGCGGCCGGCGGCGGCGGACGCGGGCGACAGCGCCACGTCCAAGTGGATGAAGATGATCTCGTCCACGTTCCTGGGGGAGGGCGGCGGCTCCTCCCTCTTCGCGCGGCGCTCGTCGGGCAGCGCAGCAGGCGGCGCCCTGGGCGTCTCGCAGGAGTCGCTGGGTCGCTGGGCCAAGCTGCGCGCCGAGAACGGGCTGGACCCGACGCCCGAGCTCAAGATCGCGCTCGTGGGCGGCGCCGCAGTGGTAAATGCACTGGATTTGGGTCGTTTGCGGATTGGTGGGACCTATTTCTGACGCTGTTCCGACCCTTTTCCCCCTGCAGGGCAAGACCAGCATCGTGCGGCGCTGGCTGCAGCGCTCGTACCCGGCCACGTACTCGCCCACCATCGGCGTGGACGTGAGCTCCATGACGTACAAGCACCGAGGCCAGGAGCTGCTGCTGCACGTGTGGGACGTCTCGAGCGCTGAGGTGGACGCCAGCGCGTCGTCGCTGCACTCGCTGCTGTGCGAGGACCTGGACGGCATCTTCTTTGTGTTCAACGTGCACCGCGTGAGCTCCATCGCGGCCATCGACAAGTGGCGGCACTGCCTGTCCAAGTACCTGTCTCCCAAGGAGGTCCCGTGCTTCCTCATCTCGCACAAGGCCGACCTGCTGCAGAAGAGGGTCATGACCAGCGACGACATCGCGGCGTATGCACGGGTAGGTGGAGCAGAGCTTGAAGGGGGCGTGTCGTAGTGCAGTTGCTGATGTGGACTTTTGCTGCGTTGACTGCAGGCTGCAGGGTACAAGGGCTGGATGTGGACGGTGGGCAAGCCGAACTTTGGCGAAAATGAAAAGAACCCGGCGGTGCGCGAGGCACTGGAGCGCATGGTGGAGTTCATTTGCAGGGATCGCATTGCCACCGAGCACATTCGGCTCGCACGCTTGGCAAGACCTATGGTAAGATCATGATGACTGTAGTTGTTACACTTGATGTCTTGTTGCAAAAGCTGAGGAGGCGTGTGCTGATATTTGCTGTATGAAGGGCATATTGGAGACGTCCGGCAACCCCGCGCCGCTGGAAGTTATCCAGACGGAGGACGCGCTGCACCATTTCTCGACTTCTCTATTGCGAATCCCCACGAAAGCGATCACGACGCTGCCACGCGACGAAAACATGATGCCAATCAACGAAAAGCCCAACCCGAACGAGGGAGAAGAAAAGAGTGCGGCGGATACTCACGTTGCGGCTGCACTACGGAGTGATAAGCGGGCGCCTACATACGGCGGTAACTGGATCCTAGGCAATGACAAGGGGGTGTATCTGCGTGCCACGAACAGCAGTCTCCTTGGAAACGACGAGACTGACGATGACTCGGAGTCTGTTGAAGAGTTTCAGTTCCCGTTCTCGAGCTCGAGGCAGCTCAACGAAGAGGAAGATGCTGCTGCAGCAGCTGAGACTCGCAGGCGCGAGAAGGAAGAGGAGGACCTTGAAAGGCGCCGAGAAGAAGAGAAGGCGGAACGGGATCGACGTAACGACCAGGAGGCGTGGCATTTCTTCGCTGGCAGTATTAGCCGCGCCCAAGCTGAGTCACTTCTCGCGTAAGTTGCGCCATTTCGGAAGCAGTGGCGGATTGGCGACTAATCGTTTCATTGTGATGTCTAGAAATCGAGAGCAAGGTACATTCCTGCTGCGTCGAAAGGATGCACAAACTCTTATCCTCTCGTACAGGGGCCCGGGCCACGTGCACCACGTGCTCATTGAATTCTCGAATCAAAAGTACCACATCGGCTCGTCCAAGGTAAGTTCGCCATCTACAGATAGTGTACTTCGGTTACTCACCGAGAACGATATCACTGCAGGCATCGCAAGCAACACCTTTCAGCACTCTGTGGAAATGCCTGAGGAGTGTACGCCGTTATGCATATCGAGGACTGGTATTCAGCCGTAACGTGGACTTTAGTGTAGTCAACAAGCAGGAGCTGATCCTTGAAGACGACATCATGGCGTCCAGCAGTGTGACTGATGCTACCACGCCATCAGCAGCGCCGATCACGCCAAGCATCTGGCGCACACGAACGCGAAGCGGATCGAGCAGCTCCTTGGGCGAGCGTAGCAACAGCAGCAACGGCCGCCAAGCGTCCCCAACCACAGCTCCACGGAAGAATCGACATACGCCAGGCCTGCAAGCCAACCAAGAGCAAGTGAAGATACCTCCCCAGGCCAGAATCGACGAGCTGAGCGGCGAGTTCTACGACCACTTAACGGAGAGGTTGTCGTACTTGGCTGCGCAGCAGAAGGCCGAGACACCTGAAGGCGGTAAGCAGATATGGCTAGGCTATCTAAACTGGTTTGGACATCGACTAACCTTGCCGTGACCAACTAGACGACGATGACAAGAGCCTGTGTCTGTCCGAAGATATCGAGCCTCTCCTCGAAATGGTACGCGACGTATTGAAACGTGGCTTACGGGAGCCTGGGAGTAACTGTTCATGTGGTCTCAGGCGGCGCAGGAGAAGAGCGAGCTGCGTCAGGTGCGCGGCAGCAATGCCGAGACGCAGTGGCGGCAGATTGTCAAGAACATGGAGGCCTGGAACCGCATCGTTATGAACCTGGTACGCGTCTGCCAGCACCACTACCGCCGCCACCGCCACCACCACTACCAAACTCGCTAACCTCTTCACCCTCTGCACAGGAGCTTAGCACGCTCAAAGTCGCCTAAGAAGCTCTGCATGCACAAACGCAGTGTTGAAGTCTCTGCCGAGCCCGTAGTGACAGCACCGTGAAGACGAACGTGACAGGCCGAGCACGTTGAAGCAAAGGGCGACGAGTGTAGCCATGTGTCAATCCTGAAGTTCTATTTTTGTCCTCTCACTTGCGCTCACTACTGAATAGCCCAGTCTCACTTCCGATTTAGCTCGCAACGTCCGACATGATGAGCGCCGAGGCGGAGGACGCGCCGCTGCTGGTGGGCGGCGGCGCCCAGCGCCGGCCTCCGTCCCCGCGCCGCAGCAGCAGCGCCCCCGACGAGGCCGCGCTGGAGCTGGAGCTGGGGCGTCTGCACGCGCAGCTGGCGCAGGATGCGCGTCCCAAGCCGCAGCAGACGCAGCGAGTCAAGGAGATGCGGTCCGAGAGCGGCGCGTCGTCCGCCGTCTCCGCCGCGAGGAGCGTCAAGGCGGCCGAGCGGATCTCGGTGGCGGTGGTGGTGGTGCACCTGCTCAAGGGCAACATCGGACCGGGGGCGATGTCGCTGCCCAACGGCTTCTCCAAGACGGGCGTCTACGCGGGTCCAGTGCTGTTCGTCGTTGTGGTGGGTTGGGCGCTGACTGCTCTGTGTGTGTGGGGTATTTTACTTGTTGTTGACTGGCTGCTGGGTGTAGGCGCTTGTATCCGTGTACAACATGGAGCTGCTGCTGCGCTGCAAGCACCTGGTGAGTCCAAGAGCGCCCATGTCCTTCGGAGACGTTGGAAGGGAGATCCTGGGTCCCAAGGGGAAGATGTTCATCGACGTGTTCCTAGTGGGCACGCAACTCGGCATCTGCTGCGTTTACTTCACTTTTGTGGCGACCAACATCCACGTCGTTCTCCCTGAAAGGTAAGGAACTGCATGCTGCTAGCCTCCTGCTGATGCATGCTGCCTGTTGCTCATTATTGTGATTTCATTGTTAGTCTCCAGGACGCTATCAATGAGCGGCAACTCATCTTCGCCATATTTCCTGTGCTTCTCATGCTCTCCTGGGTGCGTACGCTACGCCGCATCACGCCGTTCTCTGGACTCGGTGCGTTCTGCCTTTGATGTTGACGGCTTTGCTTCATGCTGACTCGTGTGACTAACGTGATGACCAGCCAACTTTGCAGTGCTGTCGGGCATCGCCATCGTCTTTTACTACTCCATCGACTATTGGAAGCACCCGAAGATTCAGCCGCGACAGAGCCCTCTGCTTGCAGACTGGAGTCAATTACCCGAGTTCTACGGCACGGCGGTGTACTCTTTCGAGGGCATCGGTCTCGTGCTGCCCATTCAAAACGCAATGGCTGAGCCCGAGAGGTTCTCGCGAGTGCTGGCAATCTGCATGCTGTCCATCCTGGTGCTTTTCCTTTTCATCGGAGAGGTGCCAACTATCGCCTTCGGCCGAATCGACAATGGTAGCATGACGGCCGTACTGCACGACTACTGCGAGGGCTGGCTTGTCACGATGGTAAGAGGTGTGAATAATGCACACGTTGGTTATGACGGAAGTGCTCATCCGTATCACTTGTTTCTAGGCAAACGTAGCGCTAGCCTTTGCGTGCACGCTCTCCTTCCCCATCCAGTTTTACCCTGCGATCGACGTGCTGGAGCGGATGCTGCGGCATAAGTCTCTGATGCGGCCAGCACCACCGGCGGAGCCTGCGCGCGTGGCATTGGAAGCGCGCCGGCGCCGCAAGGCCAAAAAGAAACAGCAGTACCGCTCGTTGCATGGACTTGAAGGCGGTCTGGACTACGACTGTGACGGCCAGGCCGACGACCACGACGTTATCCTATCTGCCAGCACCAGCAACAAGAGTCGGCCACTATCGCTCTACTCGCTACAAACGATGCGGCAGTCCTTCTCCCCTATCGCTTCTCTAGCCACGGTAGCGGCTGCAGCTAGCATGTCTTCATCTCGGTCGTCGGTTGGCTGTCTGGAGAGATTGGTCTGCAATTTATCACCGTACGAATGCAATCGCACGCTGTTTCGCTCCATGCTGTGCACGAGCCTCATGGTCATTGCGGTCTGCGTTCCTGACGTGGGTCTTCTCATCAGCCTCTTCGGATCCGTGGGCTCGAGCATGCTAGCGATTGTGCTGCCACCCGTGCTCTACATCGTGGCCTCGGGCTCCACACTCTCACTACCCTCGCGTGTATTCCACTGGGGGATCGTTGTCTTCGGCATCGTTGGGATGATCGCTGGCACCGTGCAGGCCATGCGCCAGGTCATAGCCTCCTTCAACTGACCTGCTCAAGCCAGCTAGACCCTATTTGAAATCAACACGCAGAGCATTGCTTGTACAACTCATGCGCTTGCCGTCCTGCCCTCTAGCGGTGCTGCCTGTTTGTATTATCCTCTTTACGGATTGAACCCGCGAAAGCAAAGGGTCGACAATAACGCGTAAATGCACATGGACCTACCAGCGCCGGCCCGCTGCTCTTGGTGAGTTGGTTGGGTTGGCCTCCTTCGCCATCCTGTTTCTTGTACCATGGGCGCCGACCCGGCATCAATCCTCCTTTACCCCTTCGCGTTTGGCTGTTAGACAGCACACCTGGCATTCGCTTCACTCACACTTGATGTTGCGATAGATGCGCTTTGTAAACACACTGCTGCCGAGGTACCCGACAGTGCCACACATGATGAAGAACGCGAAGCAAAACAGTCCCCTACGAGCCACACAGCAACCAAAACAACCACAGCGTTAGTAAGCTAACACGAGTATCCGGATGCTGCCAACGAAAGCAAGCTACGTACATGTAGCCGAAGTAGAAGCACGTCTGGAGGAAGCCCGACATGTTCGTCTTGAAGAAATAGAAATAGATGGCGTAGATGAAGACGTAAAGCGCGGTGCTCCCTGCGGCAGCGAAAGACGTCCAATGCCACCGGTAGTTCTCCGCGTTCAGCAGGAAGTACGTGCACACGATGGTCACGCATAGCGTCACGATCGTCAGGATGATGAACACCAGCAGCATGAAGCCGTACACGTAGTAGAACTTGTAGTTCCAGAACGACGCGAAGATGAAGTACATCTCGATGAAGATCGAACCGAACGGCAGCACACCTGTGAGCGCGATCAGCACCGGCGGGCGCAGATACCAGCGCGCCTCGGGAACCTCGCGGGGGAACTTGTTCACACGGCACGGGAATCCTGCCTTAGCGGCTCCGTGGCGGCCCAAGATCGTGCCCAGGACGGCTAGCGGGCACGACACGAAGAACCACACAAGCACCACTTGCACGATCGTCACGAACGGGATGGCGTAGGTCGTGCCGTAGAACACGGCCAGCGCGTTGATGAAGAACACCAACACGAACGTGACCGTGGGGAGCAGCGCCGACGATAGGCACATGGCGCGGATCCAGTCCTTCGAGACGCGCGGGTAGAAGAACTGGTGATAGAAGGCGCCGCTCGCGTATCCGTTGGCCAGCGACGAGAACGCGTAGACCGTGAGTCCCACCGAGACGATGCCACCAGGCTCAATGTAGAGCGACGATCCGATGGCGATGAGCATCAGACACACCGCCAGCACCAGCAGCTGCGCGCCCGTGCCCACGAGCGCCGTGAACAGCAGCAGGTAGGGCGGCGCGCGGAAGACGTCTCCGTGCAGCAGCTTCCATCCCGAGTTGGCGTCGTCCTTGAGCAGCGACGACTTGCCGTCCATCATGAGCTCCTCGGCGTCGTCCTCGGCGAAGCGCGCGTAGTCGTTCTTGAGCGTGCGCAGCAGAATTAGCGCCACGAGGCCGCAGAGGAAGATGACCATCATGAACGAGTTGAAGATGGAGAACCAGTGGATCTGGTGCTCGAAGAACTCGTCCTCGAGGTAGCGGTCGAAGCGGTCCTCGAACGCGATGTCCGTCTTGGACCAGACCACCTCGTACGTGAACTCGAGCTTCTTGTTGGACGCGATGGACGTCAGCACGTCCGAGTACGTGAGGTTCACGTGGATGATGTGCGGCCCGTTGTACGAGATCGAGTACTTTTTGTGCGTGTAGAGCACGCGCGTGCCCACGGGGAAGAGTTTGAGGTACTCGACGTCGTCCGTGGGCTTCATTACCTTGCCCACGAGGCCCCACACGGGCAGGTCGTCCACGCTCATCTGGTACCAGTAGTGCTCGTCCACGGCGGCGCCGAACTGCAGCGCGTCGGCGTCCGAGAGCGTCTGCTCGCAGAGCTTCGTCTTGGGCGTGTCCACGCCGAACTGGAGCCGCTGGCCCGAGTTGAACAGCTCGTTGCCCTCCAGGATCTCGCCGATGCCCAGCGCGTGGGCCTCGGGCTGCTCGGCGCCCGGCGCGCGGCAGAAGGGCAGCGTGTTGTACGTGTACGTCTCCTGCGGGTTGTTGAACGGGCCGATCTTGTTCACCCACACCACGACCTCCTCGCCGGGTGTGTACTGTATCCGTCATATGATATGACGCGCACAAAGGAAGGAAAACAGGAAGGAGATATGACGTTAGTTGGCTCATATTGCCAATATGAGAGTTCACGTAATCTTTTGCTTTTGGCTCGCACGCACCTCGTGCGTCTCCACGTCGGCGGAGGTCGTCGACGCCAGCAGCGACGCGGCCGCCAGCGCCACCACGCGCGTCCACTTTCCCATGGATGGAGAGACGGCGGAGCGGACGGGGGTTGAGGACGAGGCTGTCGGCTGCCTGGCTGAAGAAGAGGAAGAGCTGCTGCTGCTGCTGCTGGCGGGCGCTTGCTCGCTCGCTCGCGTACGCGTGTGCTTCTCCGGCGGAATGAAGCGACTATGGGGGAAGAGTGACACGCCACTCGTATGAGGGATATTATGTTTGTTACACAAGTTGAAGTGAATAAATCACTTCAACTTGCAACAACGGGCAGCTTGCCGTTGCCCCCCCCACAGTCCTCGTTACCACTGTATCGCCTATCTTCGCCTTAACTTCGGCCCCTGCACAGCATCAAAACGCGGCCGAAGATAGTGGTTACATTTGGCGGCTCGTGTGCACTTGGATTGTGACGGGGCACACAGCACTTCTTAACAGAGGAAGCAGGAGTATACAAACTCCAAGTGAACAGCCGTTCACGTGTCCCTGGTCTGAAGGGGACGACTTGACTTGAAAAGCGGTAGATCTAAGACTGAATGTATTTATAGGTTGGTACAGATTTGGCCTGCATACAAATACTAAGTTCCCTATAGTTTGTGTCATACAAAATGTATCTGTTGGCTCTGAGGCCACTTGGGTCACTATCCAGGGGAGTGACCGATGTAGCCATCCCGGAATAGTGAGTGCGCGCAGTGCGAAAGCACCTCCGAAACCGCGGCCGTAGGGCCGAAGACCAGGGCGGCCAAGGCCAAGGACGAGTCGTCCGCGCTGATGGAGGCCACGAAGGCGGCCGAGGAGGTGGTGCGCTCTCGTAGCAGCACGCCGGAGAGTGGCCGTCAGGCCGGGGCTCGGAGCAAGTCTCCTGACGCCGCGCAAGGCAAGGAGGAGAGTCCTCGGGGCCATAAAAGCCCGGCTCGCGACTGGGAAGCCGCCGTCTTTGACTGCACGATGGTCCAGTACTCCGGTGAGAGTTCACCCGACGACGAGAACGTCTCGGAGGGCAGCACGCATGCTGCCGAAGGCACAGAGCTGGCGGCAGGCGACATGACCAACGCCTCGGCCGACGCAAAGGCCTCGTCAGAGAAGGAGGCGGAGGACGCCGAGTCCGGCTCAGGCGACAGCAAGCAGTCGCACGACGAAGTCGCCATGGCCGACGCTGGGGTTGTGGCCGAGAAGTCGCCGAGCGACGCGGGCTCCAAGCCCAAGGAGGTGCTGGCATCCAAGCATCTGACGCTGGCACAAGGTCGTGAGCGTGCCCAAGCGTCGAAAGCGGCTACCGCTGCGAAGGCCGCCGAGGCCAAGGCGAAGAAGCGTTCAGCTTCCAGGTCGCCTCGCGGCTCCAGCTCCAAGCTGTTCATCGACTCGGAGTCTGAGGACGAGGAGGGTGCCGTCCACGAGCCCAAGGAGCTCTCCAACAATCTCGACGAGCAGCAGCAGCAATACCACGCTGCTAGCTCGGGTGCGTATGCCAGGCAGCCGACTGCCACGACTGCCATCGAGTCTTCTTCAGGCGGGGATGCCACGTACCCGCAGGGCTACTTCCCACCCGAGCCTGGCACTTGTGCGCCAGCGCTGTTCGAGAAGCTCTCGGCTCCTCGTGGCCTTATCGGCGGGTACACCTCGAGAGGTTCCTATGAGCGTGCTCTTGTTGAGAAAGAGCCACTCTTTCTTGGCGACCTTGAAGTCGCCCGGTGTGTGCTACTAGCACCACACAAGCTCACACTGAAGGAGTTCACCACGCTTCGCAACAAGCCGGAGGACAAGGGTGGACTCCATCCTGTGTGGGGTTTCCACTGGGTCAAGCCGAATGACAACATGACCTGGAGCGAGGTGGAAGACCTCTTCTGGCGCTACGTCCAGCGCAAAGGGTATTCCGACCAAGAGTTCAAAGAACTCCGTGAGGATCGCACTCTGTCCGCAATCCTGGACGTGCGCGAGCTCCGCATCGAGTTCGCTCAACTCGTGAGCAAGCGCAAGCTCCACTCGAAAATGGACAAGCTGAAGCAAGAGGCGAGAGCCAAAGCTCGTGAAGAGCGTGGGCGTGGTGCGACTACGTCTGCTACCGTGCCCCGGGTACCGGCCAAGAAGCCAAGGACTACTACGAAGCTGCCGCTGCTTCTCGTCCCATATCGCAACAGCCTTCGGGCAGTCTGCGTGGAGCTGCTCAACGGGCTCCCACGAGTTATCCGACTCAGGGTAACCCCTCCACTTCACGAGCAGCTGGCGCTTGCATGGAGCCGCCGCTCCCGGACGACTCGTTCCACGTGGTAGTGGATCTGCCCATTACGATCAAGGAGGACCGGCGGTGGCCTCGCACGGCCATGGCTACGAGCCTGAGGCGACGCAGCCGTATGCTGGGGCCCCGAGTCAGGTGGTGGCCCTGCAGCAAGAGGAGATTCGCCTTCTCCGGGACCGTGTGTACGTCCTCGAGATCGCGCTTGGCGTCGGCCTTGGTGGCGAGGCTGCCGCTCGTGCTGGTCAGCCTGGTGCCGTGGAGCGGCTCCGTGAGGATGTTGCCTCGCTCTATCAAGAAACTCGCAGTCTCCATGGCCGTGTGGATCGTCGAGCCGACCTGTCGTCTTACGGCTCGCTGCGAAACCAGCTCGCTGGCCTTCGGGCCGAGCTTCATGGCCACGCGCCGTATCCGGAGCAGCAGCAGCCCCACTCGTATCAGGCCCAGTTTGGCCAGGGCTCGTACGGGGCCCCTGCGTATGCTGCTCCGATGTACGCCGCGCCGTCTTACGACCAGCGCGCGTATCAGGCGCCTTACCGCGACTCGACGCCGCGCTTCGAGGAGCTGCGCTCTTCGCCACCGGGCCACCCGCCGCTTCCTGCGGGGCAGCCAGACCCAGAGGGCCATGGTACCTCTTAAGACGACCCACGTAAAACGTCGGGTGAGTCGTCATCGACTTGGGCAAGTCTATGGTGTACGCCGCGCCATGCCGGCTGAGGACCGTGAAGGGTCCAATGAAGCAGTGCTTCAGCTTGTTGCTCTCGACCGAGCTAACAGTGTTTAGCGGTAGGTTTCTAGTATCTAGGAGAACTAAATCCCCAACCTTAAACACGTTCATGTTTCCTCTTCCATTTCGGTCAGAGTACTCCTTCTGTTTATCTTGGGCTTGCGCCATGGTGTCTCGCACCCTGCTGATTATGTTCAGCCTGTCTTCGGCAAACGAGGACAGTTGCTTCCGCAAGGTGGCTGGACTCACGTCCGAGACTTGGGAAGAAAAGGTTTTCCGAGCCTCTCCCCCACTTAGGACCGAAGCCCCGGTACTGCCTCGTAATGTGAGCGGCACCTAAGGGTGGCGCAACCCGTTCAGATAAAGGGCGTAAAGCCCGTCGATGCATGTACCGCATTGTTGAGTGCGAACTCAACCATGGGCAAGCGATCAGCCCAAGAGCGGGGCATCTCCGCGCAGATACTGCGGAGCGTGTCTTCGAGGACGCGATTGACGCGCTCCGTCTGGCCATCCGTCTGCGGGTGGTCCGCCGACGACATCGACAGTCGTGTGTCGAGAAGGCGAAACAGCGTCTGCCAGAACGTAGCGGTGAACCGCGGGTCTCGATCAGAGAAAATGGTCTCGGGCAGACCGTGGTGTCGGAAGACACAGTCCATGAACAGGCGAGCGACCTCGTCGCCAGTGACGGTGTCACGAACTGGAGCAAAGTGGACCATCTTGCTCAGACGGCACACGAAGGCAACAACACCAGTGTTGCCACGGTCATCTGCCGGAAGTCCGAAGACAAAGTCGAGACTCATCGACTTCCAGCAGTCCGCTGGGACCGGCAGGCTCTGCAATGGTGCCAAGGCGTGACCGGCAGGCTTCACGCGCTGGCACGTCTCGCACGTCTCGCACGTACGGACGTAGGTGGCGACCCACTTGTACATGTGACGCCACCAAAACATCTGCGAGACAGACGCGTACGTCTTCTCACGGCCGAGATGGCCACTGGATGGAGCATCGTGCGCCTCCATCAGGATGTCGTACTTGAGATCCTCGTCGTTGGGCACGACAATACGGGGAGGATCCTCGGGCTCGACCCTATAGTGGAGCAAACCGTCAGCCCACTCATAGCGGTGCAGCCTTGCACGTTGTCGGGGCGTGAGCCACTCGGCCTTGGCTTCCGAGCCAGCGGCCAAGAACCGCACAAGAGGTTCGAGACCGGCATCGTCTCGGTACCCCAGCCTGATGCGATCATACAGATCCGTCGTGACCCGACTAATATGAGCAAGCTCGTAGTCGGGTCGGCGCGACAGCGCGTCGGCAAGCACGTTCAACTTGCCCGGCTTGTACTCGACACGGAAGTTGTATTCCGCGAAGAATGACAGCCAACGCGCCATCCGCTGCGAGAGATGCGGCGTGTTGACGGCAGTCCGCAAGGACGCGTGGTCTGTATAAACGACAAAGGGCGTCGAGCCCAGGAGGTGCACTCGGAACCTGACAAGAGCGTACTTCATGGCAAGTAGCTCCTTGTCGTGGACTGGATAGTTCCGTTCGGCTGCCTTGGGCTGCTTGGACTGGAACGAGATGACCCGTTCGCGGCCTTCATCGTCGGCCTGCAATAGCGCACAGCCAATTGCGTAGTCAGACGCATCACAGACTACGCTGAAAGGCTTCGTCTCGTCCGGCAATGCCAGGACTGGTGCGCGCTGTAAGCTCGCTTTGATGTCGTTAAAAGCGTCTTGATGGCGACGCTCCCAGCGCCAGTCGACATCCTTCTTCAGGAGATCCGACAAGGGCCGTGCCAGCTCGGAGTAGCCTGCACTATATTTGTGCAGGTAGTTGGCGAGGCCCAACCACTGTCGTAGGTCCTTCTGCGACCGCGGTGGCGGCCAAGCCGCGATGGTTTTCACCTTCTCCGGGTCCGCCCGGACCCCGGCGCTGCTGACGAAGCAGCCCAGGACCTTGATCTCCTCAGCTGCGAACACACACTTGTCGATGTTGGCGTACAGCTTGTTCGCCCGCATGACTTCGAACACACGTCGAAGGTGCTGGAGATGCACCTCCATGGCCGTCTGGCTTGCCTCAGCACGGCTGTGGACGAAGCTGTCGTCAAAGTACGTCTGTGTGAACGCACGCAAAGGTCGGAACAGTTGTGTGACCAAGCGATTGAACGTTGCCGGGGCGTTAGAAAGCCCCTGAGGCATGACCAGCCACTCCCAGAGCATACCGCTCGGCGTGCTCATAGCCGTGAGTGGGATGTCGCTCTCGCGCATCAGGATCTGGTAGTATCCGTCCACCAGGTCCAGCGCGCTATACAGCGTGCAGCCGGCCATGTTGTTGAGCAACACGTCCTTGCGCGGGATCGGTGTCTGCGCAGGCACTGTCGCGCTGCTCAGCTTGTTATAAGCATGAACCAGACGCCACTTTTCGTTCGGTTTGCGAACACAGAAGGTGCGGGGACTTCGACTCCCGCACCATGCCTGCCTTCGCCTTGGCGGCAAAGAAGGCATCAATGACTTTACACTGCTCCCGGGGAAGAGGCCATTGCCTCGTGACACAGTACTTCGTGCCCGGCACGAGATCGATCTCGTGCCTGATTCCCCTGTCGGAGGGAGATTGGACGGTGGATCCTTGGACACCACGTCCTCAAACTCCTTCACCAAGGGGTACACCGGGTCCCGGGGGTTCTTAAGAATCTCAGAGCCCATGCGCGACGCGCGCTGTCTCTGGAACTCCTCCAGGACTGCCTGGTCCATGACCGAGGACGAGTTCAACTCGGCCGACGTGGACTCCGGTCGGAGGAGAACCAACTCTGCGATCTCCCCGGCCTTTAGCTCGGCCAAGAAGTCCTCCATGGCGAGCTCCTCAAGGTTCAGCAACTCTGAAACCTCGGGCAGAGCTGTAAGCTCGACAGCTCCTGTCTTGACCCGACTACCGGTCACGCCGTCGAAGATGTGATAACACTCTTCGGCGGCTGGAGCCTTGGCTGGAGGCTCGGAGTCGCTGGCGACTGGCGTCGTCGGCCACACGACTAGGCCCGACTTACGACGTGACCCTCGGGTGTCTTCGTCTCGTGGCGCCGCCTTGACGGCACCACCGATCTTCTCGATCTCGTGCGGAACTACGTTACCCGCCTTATCCTTGAGCGGAACTTGGTTACCCGCCTTGCTGGATGGAACTATGTTACCCACCTCGCCGTGTGGAACTTGGTTACCCACACCAGGAGCGCTTCCAGCGACTCCCGCATCAGTTATGGTCTGAGTGACCTCCTGTGGAACTATGTTACCCACATCGGAAGCGCCTGCAGTGCCTTCCTCATCAGTTACGGTCTGAGTGACCTCGCGTGGAACTTGGTTACCCACGCCAACGCCAGCGGCGCCTTCTCCAGCAGCCCTTGCTGCCTGCGGTACTTCGTTACCCGCGTGTGGACCTACGTTACCCACCTGGTAGGTGCTGCCCGGCACCTCCACTCTCAGGCCTTGTCCGGCCCGGTCGGAGTCGTCGTCAGTATCGACGGACCCCAAGAACTCATTAGACGCTGCTGCCAGAGGTGGGAACATGACTCACCAAAGCTCTGTCAGAGCGTGGGGGACGGCTGGCCCCGATGGCCTTGCCGCGCCAGTCGATCCAAGGCTCGTGTTTCTCCAGCCACGGCATGCCAAGGATCAAGTCGTACTTGTCCATGTCTAGGACCAAGAACGGCTCCGTGCTGTCGAAGTCCTCGAACTTGACAGTGAGGTCCATGTGGACCCGAGGTACTTCTACCACCGTACCGTCGGCCAGTCTTACCGAGACCAGCCCGTTGCCTTTGCTGCCTCGTAGCGCATCGGCGTACTTGTCGCGATTGCGTGCGACAGTCTGGCGGCGCGCAAAGTTCTTGGACGCCCCAGAGTCGATCAAGATTCTCAAGGGATGATCGTATCCCGGTACACTCGCGTGCACCACGAGCAGCCCACCGCTGCCCTTCTCCGCTTCGAGAGTACAGAGACTCTCAGGGGCTAAGTCCCCATGGCGTGCGCCACCCGCATGCCCCTCATGAAGACTTAGTGTTTCCCCAGTAGGGCGCCCCGCCCCTACTGATGTCCAGCGTTCCCCTGGTTCCTGGGGCGCGGCTTCTACCAGCGACCCCTAGAGCCAAAGGGCTTCGAAGAGAACTTCTTCTTCAGTCCTCCCGCGGGACAAGCACGTTTCATGTGCCCAAGCTTGCCACAGCCGTAGCAGCGAATGTCGCTCTGCTCGACCATGCCCAGATCCATGGGAACCGACCCGTTGATCGCTCCATTGCCGGAGTTACCATTAGGCGCACCGCCAGAGGCAGGGTTGCTCTGCCATACCGTGGCGGGGGTACGACCCTGCTTGTGGCTGTTCTCCTCCTGGAGGGCGATCTGAATCGCCTCCTCCATAGTGTTTGCTTGCACACGGAACAGTTGCGTGCGGGCAGGACCGACACGCAGACCGTCCATGAACACGGTCACCTTGATGTGTTCAGGCAGGGGGTTCCCCACCAAAGAGGCAGTGAGCACTCGCATCTCCTGGATGTACTCATGCAGCTCGCGCCTTTCTTGTTTGCAGGCGAGGAAGCGCGAACGCTGGCGGTACTCGTAGTTCGCCCGAAGAAACGCGGCCCGCAGCTGCTCGCACAGCTGGGACCATGATGCGAAGCATCCAGGCGTCGTCGCTTCGCGCGTATACGCCCAACTCTTAGCGCGACCACTAAGGTTGGAGAGCGCAAAGGCGACACGGAGTCGCTCGTCCGAGACGAGAGCCGCGTCCATCGCGAGCTCAACCTCTCGAACCCAGAAGTGAAGGTTTTCTCCTTCCTTCCCTTCGAAGGGGTGAACCTTCAGCCGCAGGGGCTTCGGTTGCACCGGCTTCGGCGCGGCCGCAGTGGCCTGCAGCCCTTGAACGTGGGCGATGAGCCCTCGCTCGTAGGTGTCGAACGCGTTGATACGCTCCACCTGCTCAGCCGGCGTCGCCACCGCTAAGCTACGCAGGGCATCTGTCTCAAAGATGCCTGCCATCTTACGAACGGACTCGTACTGCGAGTCGTTCAGATGGGGAAACTCCGTACGATCCATCTTGGCTCACTCGATGAGACCACAGAGGATTCAGGTAGTCCAATCTACCCGCGTAGGCGTAGGATTGACCAACAAGTGCTACCAAGTGTGACGGGGCACACAGCACTTCTTAACAGAGGAAGCAGGAGTATACGAACTCCAAGTGAACAGCCGTTCACGTGTCCCTGGTCTGAAGGGGACGACTTGACTTGAAAAGCGGTAGATCTAAGACTGAATGTATTTATAGGTTGGTACAGATTTGGCCTGCATACAAATACTAAGTTCCCTATAGTTTGTGTCATGCAAAATGTATCTGTTGGCTCTGAGGCCACTTGGGTCACTATCCAGGGGAGTGACCGATGTAGCCATCCTGGAATAGTGACAGGGTCACTATTCCATGTAACCCCGTTACATGGATAAACTATAGTTGGATATTCGTACCCCCAGTAACTTCGTCCCGAAGCTGGGATTGGCTGAAAAAGAAAATAGGAAGGACAGACCACAGCAAGGACGAGGAGGCGGCTCACACAGTGGGGACACTCGCGGACTCGCAGACTCGGTGGCGCTCGAGGAGATGGTGGGTGGCTTTATAGTTGGTGTGCTCGTGGGCTCGTGGCGCTCATGTTCTTGTTGGTGCTCGCAGACTCGCTGGTAGTGCTCATATAGCTGGTGATGCGTTCGGATGGTGATGCGTTCGGATGGTGATGCGTTCGGAGCTGGCGTTTTTGCGGGGCTCGCGGACGTGGTGGTGCTCGTGGAGTTGGTGACGCTGGTGGGGTCGTAGTGCTCGTGGACTCGGTGGCACTCGCGGACGCAGTGATGCTCTCGTACTCAGTGGTGCTCGTGGTGATCTCGAAGCTCACTCGTGGTGTACACAGAGCTGGAGAGGCTCATGGAGATGATCGTGGGTATGAACTCGGTGGTGCTCGTGGACTCTGTGGTGCTCGCGAACTCGTCGGTGCTCTCGGACTCTCGGAGATCAAGGTACACTCGGAGCTGGTGGGGCTCATGTAGCTGGTGGTGGCCATGGGCTCGGTCGTGCTCGCGGTCTCAGTGGTACTCGCGGATTAGTTGGTTCTCGCGGACTTGTTGGTGCTCACGGAGCGTGTGATGCTCTTGGAGCTTGTAGTGCTCGTGGTCTCAGTGGTTCTTGTGTTGCTCATGTCGCACTCGGAGCTAGTGGTACACTCAGAGCTCGTGCTGCCCTCGAAGCTCATGGCGCACTCGGAGCTCGTGCTGCCCTCGAAGCTCATGGCGCACTTAGGGCTCGTGCTGCTCCTGGTGATCGCTGCTCTCAGACCTCTCCTGCTCTCGGACTTAGTCGTGATTTCAGCTTTAGTGGTGTACTCTCAGAGCTCGTGGTGCTCTCGGGAGCAAGTGGTGCATCGAAGGTGGCATGGCGTGTATTCAGTTATATATGCATTGCGTAATCTCAGCTTGACCAAGAGGTTTGTTTGACCAAGAGGTCTACAACTAGTTATCCCTCTCATGCTGCTAAGAACCGGATACGCGGTAGTGAGCGAAAAGCCGCCCGAGTACACAGTGGCCGAGAAGTAGTGTCATCCCAGCGTTCTCGACGTCGGCGGCGTCGATCTAAACAAGAACAGGCACTGGAGGTTGTTCCAGATGCGGTAGAACAGGTTGCTCTTGACCACGAGGACCCACGGGGCGACACTGGGATGGATCAAGCTTATATCCATCAAATACCAAGTGCACACAGACAGGTTCCCAGCCTCTAGTTGTCATTGATGTTGATCATTGTTGCTCATTGCAGATTGCAGGTGCTGCTCGTTGGCGTACGCGTAGTCGCCGGCCACCACGAGCGTCTGGATGCCCTAAACATCTTGGCAGGATCTCTGCTCACCTCAATGGTTCTCACCTTATCTGAGCCAGGTCACAGCAGTGACACGAACGAGCCCGCGCACTCAGAGTCCCCCATGGAGTACATGTACTTGGTGGTCTCGGTGCCCTTGACGGTGGAGGTACCGTCGGCCGTAGCGGAGACCGGGCAGGACTTGGCGTCGGCTGCGCTGCGCAACCTGCGCAACTTCGTGCAATATGACCTTTCACAGCGCAAGCGTATGTTACAGGAATGTTGCTCTAATATTACTCGTAGCTTGTGCTTAACTTCGGCGACGACGATAATCAAATACACTACTGTACCTTGCGATTTTTCTCCATCTCGCTTCTGAATTCGCCCGTTACTTGGAGCATGAATCTCTCCGGGTTGTTCGCCTTTATCGCCGCGGTCGTAGCAGCTTTTGTCATCCTCGTTCTTCGTCCAAGAGGTGTACTGCTAAGGGCTTGCACTTCTTGTCTTATTAACACTTCGAAGAAGGAGTTGTGAGCGCAGGCTGCACTCCTTTGGACAGCTCATCGAGGAAATCGGTGCTCTAGTTCTGTAATCACGTGCCAACGAAAAGTAATCACTTCAGGCATTGGAAAAGCTAAATAGTCGCATCGGTGAGGTGTGTAATCGCACACTAACGAAAAGTAATCAGTTCAGGCTGGCACAAGGCGCTGTAAAAGTTTTATTTAATAAAACTTTAAAAAATAAAACAGCGCATGTGTACTTCTTCCAACTCACTGAATAATTTGCCCGACGGCGGAGACGTGTAGTCTGAAGCATGAATCTCTCCACTGAGTTCACACTGGCCGCTCTGGCCGTCGCTTCCGTCGCCAACGCTAACACCCTCGACCACGACAAGGTACAGCCGTTCCCTCACCCTGACCCGTCACGATCGCTGAGAAGGCCGCAATCAAGTTCAAGCCCCAGCTCAGCTCGAACGATGGATGTCAGCCGTATCCTGCTGTCAATGCTGCCGGTAAGACTAACGACGGACTAAAGGGCACTGGAGACGCGTCTGGAGACTGTGAAGGCTCACCATTGGGCTCGCAGGTGTACGACCGCTCTGGGTGGTACCGAGACCTGTGGGCCATCATGTACACTTGGTATTTCCCCAAGGATCGGTCCGAAAACATTATCTTCAACTACAGTCACCGCCATGACTGGGCGAGTGTCGTCGTGTGGATCGACAACCCTGCCGCCGAGACACCCAAGGTGCTGGGGGTGTCAACGGGATGGCTCGGTCAAATATACTACTCCAAGAACACCCCCCTTACCCAAGTTCATGGATGGCACGAGTTCCATGCTGTAGCCAGCTGCACTCGCTGACCGTCGTCACTACACGCGGGGGATTCCAAGACATCATCATGTGGGAGCAGCTCACGGATGCGGCGCGAATCGCTCGCAACACGACGTACTTCGGCGTGTCCTATGACACTTTGGTGCCATTCATTGATGCCAACTTCGAAAGAAACCTTGCGAGGGCTTGGCCGTACTGACTCTTGATAGACTATGCAGCACGAATGAAGTTGCTACAGTAAGAATTTGTGCGACTATCCTGTGATCGTACTTAATCGAAGTGGTGTGTGACTTTTGGAGCTAGGCGCCTGACGCCCGCGGGCGCACGTGCCCCCGAATCTGAACGCCGCCTTGGCCATGGATCCGAACGCCGACATACTTATCAATCCAGACGCCATCACAACCACAAATCCAGGCGCCAACATGCCCACGAGCCCAGACGCTACCTTGACCACGGGTCCGAATGCCGACACGCTCACGAACCTGGACGCTGCGGATCTCGCCAGTCAGGTACAAGCAGTCAAGCACAATGTGATCGGCCAGAAGACTGTGAAGATGTACGTTCGTGGAATATGTCGTTATGTAGCATGGCTTTACAAGAACCAAATAAATGTTCTGAGCGATGCATTTCTTGGAGCCTTGCAAGATGGCGACTTCGACCCTAACGAGTTGGAGATGACGTCGCTAAAACAGAGCAGCATTGCTGACTTCATGACTGAGAATCCTGGGGTACCTCCTATTAACTATGATCAGCATCGCGCTGACGACTTCGAGCAGTTCCTGCTGTCTCTTCGGAACCGTAGCGGAGATAAACCTGGTCAATCCGTTTACGATTCGATGCGTTCAAGTTTGTTTCATTTGTATCGAGGATATGGGCGGTCGATGACACCAGAGTTTGCTGCTGATTTGACGGTATTTTTCAAAGGCCTGAAACGCACTGTTGCGCGGCGCAACCACGATGCTGGTGTGAAGCTGACAGAGGGGAAGGAGCCCATGTCATTTTCGCTATTGCGCTCTCTCTGTGCTGCGTTTATCAAGCATGGTGACGAAGAATTTCTTTTTGCGCACGCATTTCTACTGTTGAGTTGGAATTTGATGTGTCGCGCGGGCAACACGGCTTCAATTCATTCCGGTCATATGAGCTGGGATGAAGACGCGCTCGCAATTCTTTTCGGGCACATGAAAAACGACCAAGACGGCTCCCGGCCTCGCGATGCAAGGCACGTGTATGCGAACCCCTTTGTCCCTGAAATCTGCCCAGTGTTGACGCTAGCGATGTATGCTGCTGTACTGGGAATCGACGATTCTAAGATATTCCCCGGTGGTAACCAATACGATCGATTCTCAAAGATTTTAAAGCGCGTCATGCAGGAAGACGAGATGAAGGTATTGCTTGAAAATGAAGGATTGGTACCTTCAGATATTGGAACACATTCCGCGCGAAAACGTTCAGCGACCTTTGTTTCTTCGTGCTCAAATGGGGGTCCCTCTGCTGCGGCTATATGTATCAGAGCTGGTTGGAAGCTACCCGGTGTGCAGGACACCTACATTCGTTGCGATCGCATTGTTGGACGTTATGTGACTGGCTTACCGCTTGATGATACTGGTTTTGCTATATTACCGCCATTTTTCCCCGACTTTGATGATCTCGTTCACGATAGTATTCATTTATGTTTCGACAATTTGCCACCTCATTTAGCGCTGGCGGCTTTCTTTTGGCGTCTCTAGTGTATCACGCTGAATATCTACGAACCACGCTGAGTGAGCAGCATCCATTGTATCGCAACGCGCTTTTCGGAAATACCAGAATAGTTTCCCAGTTGCAACAGAAAGTGGTTTGCCGAACGGGACGTCCATCAGATCGAATAAGGCCTACTGGTGTACCTCCGCACGTTCATTTGATGGCATCGATGGAGCAGCAAGCCAAGCGGCGCAGCTACAGCAGCTATCATTGTCGGTTAGTGAGCTGGCGCCCACTGTGGTGCAGTTGATGAGAGAAGAAATGTCCCGTTGTCGATCTTCTTTGTCGTCAACAGAGCTTAATGCCAGTATATCGCGGGCGCTTAATGACTGTGGAATAGCTGAGCTAGTTGCAGCGGTCCGAAGCCATTTACCCCAGCCATTGGGTTGCACTACAGAAGATTCTCAGGACCGCCTAGATGTAGATGATAACGATGGAGTCCAAATGGCTACACAAAACCTGACTCTTACGAACTCAAGATTGACGCGAGCACCTGCTGATTTTACTATTCCCAGCATGTCGTTAAGGTGTGCTTGGGAGCACTGGTGCTGTGGTGACCCATCTGGGCGAATTATCCCATATCGCTTCCTGCAGTGGCAGGACCTTTCCACTTGTGGGAAGCGGAAGACGCTCTCAGCCTATCGGTGTATGATGATGGAGATACAAGCCAAAGTTCCGCGAGGCTGCTGGATATCAACCCCAACGGTGCAGCAGGCTCGCGAAATGCTTCAAGGCGCTATTCCGAAGCTTCGTATCAGCGATGTAACACCAAAAAATCGTCAAAGGCGCAAAGATCAGCTCAAATGGTCTACTGCATTGAACGAGATTCGAGAAAATCGCAGTAGATCGAGCCAAGACGCGTAGGTTAGCGTCGAAACACCAACACACGTGCATATAAGCAAAATATAATTCAGCTCGTCTTACCTCACGTCGTTGATGCAGTTGCCGAGGACGAGTAATATGGAGCCTAATGGGCGCTGGTGTAGCCAGGGTGCCTGGCCACGGGTTCACGCTGCATTATACAAAGGCAATGCGCGACGACGCACTACTGCCTGTCGCATCGAACTTGTGGCTGTATAAACTTCGGTTGTTATGCGCCTGTGTGGTATTGAGTTTCGAGGTTCACAGTAGTTTTTCTGTGCGTTTGACGCACACGAATTCGAATTCGTTACGACTCTGCATTTCCACCAGCTTAACAGCAGTTTGTATGGAAAGGTCGTCGCGGGCAAAAAGAATTCGTGTGCGCGCAGACGCACAGGAAACGCAAAAGTTTTGATACAAAAATGAGGTCAGACGCACACGAATTCAAGAGAATCTAACCTTTCTTCTTAAAATACGGGAAATGGATTCTTTTTGGAAGAGCGATGACTAACTGAGTTAATATATTGTGCACCAGAAAAATACTCCCCCCAAGCCCGAGAACATGGCCGGCACGAGTCCCAAGGTTTCAACATCAACAACGAAATTGAAAACACTATGAACGGACTGACCATAATCCCGTTACCTGGAGGATTCCAGGACATCATGTGGGAGCAGCTCACAGAGGAGGCGCGTACCGCTCTGAGCATGACGGACTTCGGCAACAGATACGACATCGTGGTGCCATTCTCTGATACCAAATTCGAAGCCAACCTTGATAGCGCCTGGACATGCTGACCGACCTTTTCGCATAGAGGAACACAGAATGAAGTTCATAGTGATATTTGGTACAGCTGATAAAAATTCTACCCTTCCTTCTCGAAACACGGGAACTTCCGCAGGTTTGGCATTTCGTCCATGGGCAAGAAGGCGTCCAGGAACTCGGTGTTTGGCGACAACCAGTCGTCCAGCAGCATTCCTTCAGTAAACGTTCCTTCAGTGTCGGCCGGGTTGTACTGGTACTCACTCTCTGGGTTGAGCGACCACATGAAGCCACCGGCGTATTCGTTCTCCAGCATCACTTTAATCGTCATGTCAGTCGTGCGCTTCGTCGTCATCTTCGGGTGGGCGTCCTTCGTGTACAGCCCGGCAAACTCCCCAAGCAGCAGCGCATAGCTCTTTTCTTCCACTAGATAGCCAAACATGTCCTTCATCGTGCCCTCCACTCGAGTCAAAAGGTCCTCGTCCGACAGCTCCACGTACGTTGAGTAGTCCGACTTGGTGCCGTCTCCGTAGAAGTACGGCTGCGGGGCCACGGCCGTCGTGTAGTAATGCGGAGCCCACACCAGTTTGTTCTCAATAGTGAACTGGGGCTTCGTGTCTCCAGCCTTCTGCAGGCCGCCGCCCCACCAGTCGTAGTAACTCAGCTTCTCTCCTGCGATCGTCACGCTGTGCGAGGCAACGACGCCCTCCACGAAGCCCAGCCACTGCGGGCAGTTGCCGTGCATCACCTTGGCGATCTTCTCGCAGCCGGCCACGAAGTCGTCGTCTTTGCCCGTGCCCCACGTCGCCTTCTCCGGTTCGTTCTTGAGGTCGAGGCCCATGACGTTCCAGTACTGCTGGCCGCAGAGGTTGGAGGACACAATGTCCACCGCGTTTAAGAAATTCTCCTGCGTCACGCCCAAGTCTTCGTCGAACCAGGTCTTGCCCGACTTTTTGTTGGTGAGTCGGTGCATGCTGATGAGCACGCCGATGTTGCGATAGGCCAGCGACTTGACCAGAGTCTGCAGGGTCGAGATGAAGTCCGTCCCGTTGATCGCTCGGTTGCTCGCGAGGTTGATCACGCCCTTCTGCGGAGGGCTGTTGTTCAGCACGTTCTCGACCGAAATGGGCAGCCGCACTGCGTTAAAGTTGTTGCGCGCTAAGAACGCCGCGATCTCGTACTGCTCTCACACAGACAACAACCGAGTTAGTGTCTCGCTTCCTGATGCGAAAGTGAGCATTGGTAGCCTGCACTCACCGCTGTGGTACCGTTCTCAGCGTTCTCCCAGAGTCCGAATGGCACAGCGAGTGACGTCTCCATGCCGAACCAGTTGACACCTTTGATCTGGATGGGGATCTCCGAGCCGTTGGAGGCGACTGCGACGATCTGGCCGTTCTTGCTCTGGTAGTCGGGCATCTCGCACGCTGGGTAGAGTAAATTAACCGTGTTAGAGCGCAAACTGCTACCGCAAAGTTGCACCAATGAAAGCCACGTACTGACGGAGGTGTCGTATGACTTGGGGTTGCCCACTTGGCCATCGTCGGAGATGATGATGCTCTCGTCCGACTTGCCGTCTTTAATCGAGCGTTTGCCTGCCACGTGCTGCTCGTACTGCATGGCTCGTATGGTTCGCGCTTCGAGCGTACTCAAAGCTCCCTCCGTAATCAGGAACAGCGCGCCACCGACAAGAAAAACCAGTAGCAGCACACCGGGCCATCTCTAGCATGGAACAATGTGCACTACACCCATCAGCCACCAGCAATTGCACTCTTCTCGAGTAGAACAGACCAACGCACGCACCCTGTACTGCCCCTTGTAGTCCGACGCGTCTTCCATCTCGCTGGGCTTCTTGACCACGAGCCGCATGTTCTGGGACGGATCGACCGGGTACTTCTGCTGCACGAATCGGTCCTTGTCAGCGCAGTAGTCCGTGTTGGGCACCGCGTTCCGGCCCGCTGGGGCCCTGCCCCGAACGACTTCGTTCGCAATCTGCCACGGCATCATGGGGGTCGACATTCGCTCCCCGGGCCGCTCGACCACGAGGCTGGGGCGGTTGTCCCGCATCGTCACGCAGAACCTAGCTGTCTAATAGTGAACGAGTTTCAAGCGCGTTGTCAAGTCGGTGGTCGATGGCCCGACGAAACGAGTTGTGCACCTGGAGCACACACGCTGTCCATCGTCCGAGATATCTTATCACCCCGTCACTGCCCTAGGTAGCATGTGCTACGAGTCCACCAGCTGGGAACAGCAGGACAAGTACACCTTGACAAGCAAGGTCAGGTGAACACTAGGGCTGCCGATGGATGCAGCGGCCATATGCAGCGTAGAGGACGATTAGAGTGGCAAAAGTTCAGTTCCTCTTCGGCGACGCGAACGCAAGCTCACAGTCAAGCAACAAAACATTTCCACTTAAAAGTATGCACAAACTCTATTGATATCCTCCTTTGCTAACACCTGACTCAATCATCCTCTTCCTCGAGCTCGACGGGGAAGCACGGAAACCTCCTTAGGTCCTTGATCTTGTCCATGGCGGCCATTCCCTCCAGAAACCTCTTGTTGGGTGTGAGCCAGTCATCCTCCAGTAAGCCCTCAGTGAAGTCGCCTGCAGTGTCAGCGGGGTTGTACTGGTACGCGCTCTCAGGGTTCAACGACCACATGTAGCCGCCCGCGTAGCCCCTCTCGACCATCCCCTCGATGTTGTAGTCCGTCGTGCGCTTGGTCGTGAGCTTCGGGTGCGCGTCCTTCGAGTAGAGACCCGCGAATTCGCCTAGCACCATGGCGTACAACGTCTTGTTCATGAGGTAGCCGAACATGACGTCCATGGTGATGTCGACGTTGGCCTTGAGCTCTTCGTCGCCTAGTTCCTCGTACCCCTGTACAATGCCCGACTCCTGCCACTCGCCAGCGGCGTAGAGATACCATTGCGGACTCACGCCGGTGCTGTAGTAGTGAGGGGCCCACACAAGCTTGTTCTCCACGTTGTACTCGATGAGGTCGTCGCCCGCTTCCTCCAGAGCCCCTCTCCACCAGTCGTAATACTCATTCGTCCTGCCATCCGAGACGGTGACAGAGTGAATTCCATTGACTCCTTCCACGAAGGCCAACCAGTTCGGACACCCGTCCAGCATTCGGTTGCCGATCAATGTGGCCCCCTTCTGCCAGTCCGGGGCCCTGCCGCCCCCCGAACACTCGTGCGGCTCGTTCTTGAGGTCGAGCCCGAGGATGTTCCAGTACTTGGAATCGCAGAGGTTCTTGGTCAAAATGTCCACAGCCTCGAGGAAGTCGTCTTCAGATACCCCGCTGTCTTCATCGTACCAGGCGCCCCCGGACTTGGTCGGGTCCAAGGTATGAAGGCTGATCATGGCAGTGATATGGTGATACCCGAGCGCCTCCACGATCGTTTGGAGCGTAGAGATGTAGGACGTGATGTTGATCGCGCGGTTCGTGTTGGCATTGATGAGGGTCTTCTGCGGGGCCGTGTTCTTGAGGATGTTCTTGATAGACTGGAAGGCGGACGCTGTTGAAATTGTTGCGAGACAGGAACGCAGTGATTTCATACACCAAAGTGCCGTTGTACATGTTTTCCCATAAACCGAAGGGGACGGCCAGGCCTGTTTCCATTCCGAACCAGTTGATGCCCTTGATACCCACTGGAACTTCCGTGCCGTTCTTGGATACGGCGAAGATCTGACCGTCCTTGCTCTGGTAGTCGGGGAGCTCGCAGCCCATGTCCGGGTAAGATTTTGGGTTGCCGACTTGGCCGTCCGAGATGAGGACTTGATCATCCTCCAGGCCGTCGTCAATCTTGCGGTAATTCTGCATGCGCTGCTCGTACCTCTCGACTCCGATTTTTATCTTGCGGTCTTGATCCAGAGCTGCCATGACGATCGCAGCTAAAGCTCCGCCGACTATTACCATCGTCAAGAGGAGGCCGGGCCACGTCCGAATCCGACCTTTGTTGTCTTTCATGCGCTCGGGAGGTCGACTGTCGTCAACTTCTGCAACTTTGATCTTAATCTCCGTCTGTCGAGGGTAAACCCCGAACGCGCAGTCCGTCAGTTGAAGACCCTGCGTAAGGTCCAGATGCATGCTGAAGTTCCCATTCGAGTACTCGCTCGTCTGGTTGCTGGCCATGCCGGCCGAGCGCTCTTCAAAGGACCTTTGGACCAGCACTACACGACTGACCTCGGGCATGATGGTTGCTCGCCCCTCAGCGAATGTTGGGAAGTGCGAGGTGGACTCATTCCTAACACCGCTGTCCAGGCAGCAAGCGAGGGGATCAATTACTGTCTGTACCGGCGGGACGCGTTGAATGAACCCCACGCCGGGAGGACAGGCTGTGATTCCAAAGGACTTAACCACCGGCGTCGTTACCTGAGCAAGGGGCCTTTAGCTCGGACCAGCGCAACTTTGCAGCCCATGCGCAAGGCATCCCGGAGGTTTTCCTGTCCGCGAGGAGTCCTCCTTCGCCGCAGCGGGCCCCTGCGGCCGAGCACTGGGTGTCAAAAGAAACTTTGCTGAACGGAATCATGGATTAATGTACTCGACGACTACTTGCTCTAGCTCGCTCACTTGTCTACCAACCGCCTGCGACGCAGGCCCCCTCGACCGAACAAAATGGCCGACCAAAATTCACTCGCGACGGACTCGAGCGACCGACCAGCCAGCCCCCAAGTCAAGCGGTTCGCGGAGGCTTGATAGTTCATATCTACTCGCTTGAAGAGCCCTCGACTTCCTGCGGGAAGCACGGGAACAGCTGAAGGTTTTCCATCACGTCCAGGGCCGCGATGCCCTCCATGAAGACCTTGTTGGGAGTGAGCCAGTCGTCCTCCAGCAAGCCCTCCGTGAACGTGCCGTACGTGTCGGCCGGGTTGTACTGGTACGCGCTCTCCGGGTTCAGCGACCACATGTAGCCGCCAGCGTATCCGGCCTTGAGCATGACTTCGATCGTGAAGTCAGTCGTGCGCTTCGTCGTGAGCATCGGATGCTTGTCCTTCGAGTAGAGGCCGGCGAACTCGCCCATGACCATGGCGATGTTGGAGTCCGCCCCGATCAAGTAGCCGAACATTTTGTCCATGGTCTTTTCGACGTTAGTCCTGAGGCTGTCGTCGTCCAGCTCCACATAACCGTCCAGGCCGCCCTCGGCGTTCTGTGTGCCGGACGCGTAGAGGTACCAGGCGGGGCTCACGCCGGTGTTGTAGTAGTGCGGCGACCAGACCAGCTTGCTCTCAACGTCGAACGTGATGGGGTTGTCGCCGGCCTTCTCCATGCCTCCGCCCCACCAGTCGTAGTAGATCCGGTCCTCTTCACCGTTGAGCGAGATGGTGCCCGAGCCAGCCGTGCCCTCCACGAAGGCCAGCCAGTTCGGACAGCCCTCCAGCATGCGGTTGCCGATCAGCGTCGCTCCCTTCTGCCAGTCCGGGTCGTCGCCTCCCCACGAGCAGTCGTACGGCTCGTTCTTGAGGTCGAGACCGAGGATGTTCCAGTACTTGGAGCCGCACAAGTTCTTTGTCAAGATGTCAACGGCGCTGAGGAAGTCGTCCTCGGTCACCTCGAGCTCGTCGCTGTACCAGGCGCCGCCCGACTTCTTGGGGTCTAAGGTGTGGAGACTGATGAGCACGGAGACATGGCGATAGCCGAGCGCCTCCACGATCGACTGGATGGTCGTAATGTACGACGTGATGTTGAGGGCCCGGTTTGTCTGGACGTTGACGAGAGACTTCTCCGGGGCCGCATCGTTGAGGATGTTCTTGATGCAGACCGGAAGGCGGACGCTGTTGAAGTTGTTGCGGGCCAGGAAGGCCGCGATCTCGTAAACGGACGTACCGTTATCCATGTTCTCCCAGAGGCCGAACGGAATGGCCAAGCCCGTCTCCATGCCGAACCAGTTGGCCCCTTTGATGGCCACGGGCACCTCGGTGCCATTCTTGGATACGGCCACGATCTGGCCGTTCTTGCTCTGGTAGTCCGGGAGCTCGCAGCCCATGTCGGGGTAAGACTTGGGGTTGCCCACCTGGCCGTCGTCCGAGATGATGACTTGGTCGTCTTCCTTGCCGTCCTGGATCTTGCGCTTGTTTGCCAGCCGCTGCTCGTAGTTCTCCCGGTTGACGGTGATGAGGTCGCTGGTCTCTTTGGCCTGCAGGACGATGATCGCGGCCGCGCCGCCGATGATGAGCAGCAGCAGCAACAGGCCGGGCCACGTGCGGATGCGGCCCTTGTAGTCCTTCTTGCGCTCGGGCTTGGCCAGGTCGATGTCGGCCGCTTTGAGCTTCATCTCGGTCTGGCGCTGGCCGCCGTAGACCGAGCTCACCCGGCCACCCGACTCGGTCGGGCGCGGGCCCTGCGACGAGTCCAGGTGCAGGCTGAAGTGGCCGCTCGAGTAGTTCTCGCTGTAGCTGGTGCTGCTACCCTCCACGGACTCGCGGTTCATCATGGGCCGCGACACCTCCGCCATGGTGATCCTGAAGGCGCTGGGCTACTCGGTGCTCGGCCGCAGATCGAGAAGTGAGGCCAACAGCTCCGCGAAGCGGCCGCAGGCAACATAGAGCCTGGCCGAACCCATCCAACCGTCGGCCGACAGGCGACGTTAGGCTGTTCGAACGGGGGGGGGCAAAAATTCAGCTTGAAAGTGCTGACATGTCAGGCGTGATACATGCGAATCCACCGAGGCGAGGGCCCGGACCCAGAAGCTAGCCAACACTAACGGGTTCAGCTCTGGTGATCGCTGCTTGGCCACTGGACTTGCATGCAATGGCGCCGCGATGGCCGAGGCGTTAGCTAGTGGACATGTAGTTAATCGCGCCACGGCACGCTGAACTCGCTGCTTCTGAACATTCAGTCGAAGGAAACGGCTGAAAACCGCTTCATAGCAAATCGTTATGCATTGCGTTCGGGCTCAACTACTCTAGGCTCTATAGCCTAGCCTATAGCCTTAGCTGGACGACGAAGACGACGAAACCTCTTGAGGGAAGCACGGGAACATCTTGAGGTCCTTGACGTCGTTCAGGGCCGCGATGCCCTCCAAGAAGACCTTGTTGGGAGTGAGCCAGTCGTCCTCCAGCAAGCCCTCCGTGAACGTGCCGTACGTGTCGGCCGGGTTGTACTGGTACGCACTCTCCGGGTTCAGCGACCACATGTAGCCGCCAGCATATCCGGCCTTGAGCATGACCTCGATCGTGAAGTCGGTGGTGCGCTTCGTCGTGAGCTTCGGGTGCTTGTCCTTCGAGTACAGACCGGCAAACTCGCCCATGACCATGGCCGAGTTGGTGTCAACCCCGAGCAAGTAGCCGAACATGACATCCATGGTCGTCTCCACATTGGCCCGCAGCTCCTCGTCGTCCAACTCAACGTAGCTTGAAAAGGCACCCGAGGCGTCAACCGCTCCCGTTGATGCGTAAAGGTACCAGGCAGGGTAGACACCGGTGTTGTAGTAGTGGGGGGCCCACACGAGCTTGTTGCTAACCGTGAGTTCTGTCGGGTTGGCCCCTGCCTCCTCGAGGCCACCACCCCACCAGTCGAAGTACGTTGCTGTCCTGCTGCCCACTGTAACGGTGCCACTGCTGGCGATACCCTCCACGAAGGCCATCCAGTTGGGGCAGCCCTCCAGCATTCGGTTGCCGATCAAGGACGAACCCTTCTGCCAGTCCGGGGCTTTGCCGCCCCACGAGCACTCATGAGGCTCGTTCTTAAGATCGAGACCGAGGATGTTCCAGTACTTAGAGCTGCACAGGTTCTTGGTCAAGATGTCGACGGCTTCCAGGAACTCGTCCTCCGTGACGTCCAGTTCGTCGCTGTACCAGGCGCCTCCAGACTTCTTAATGTCCAAAGTGTGGAGGCTGATCATAACCGTGATATGGCGATACCCGAGCGCCTCGACGATCGACTCAATGGTGGAAATATACGTTGTGATGTTGATCGCGCGGTTGGTGTTGACATTGATGAGGGTCTTCTCGGGTGGCGTGTTCTTGAGGATGTTCTTGATGCAGACCGGCAAACGCACACTGTTGAACTTGTTGCGGGCCAAGAACGCTGCGATCTCGTACACCGACGTGCCGTTGTCCATGTTCTCCCAGAGTCCAAAGGGGATCGCCAAGCCGGTCTCCATTCCGAACCAGTTGACACCCTTGATACCAACAGGAACTTCGGTGCCGTTCTTGGACACAGCGAAGATCTGGCCGTTCTTGCTCTGGTAGTCTGGCAGTTCACAGCCCATATCGGGGTATGATTTGGGATTGCCGACTTGACCGTCGTCCGAGATGATGACTTGGTCGTCGGTGAGACCGTCATTGATCTTGCGTCGCTCTTCCACCCTGTTCTCGTACTTGGCTTGCCTGTTGGTAGCGTCTTCGTTGGCCTGCAAGGCGCACGCGGTGATGATTGCAGCAGCTCCGCCCACGATGACGCACAGCAGAATGAGGCCTCGCCATGTCTGTTAAAATGATACGCACGCAACCGTTAGCACTCGGATATTACACCTCATTTCATTCCTATACTGTCGTCACGTACCCGAATTCGGCCCTTGTAGTCCTGCACACGTTCCGGTGGCGAATCCTCGCTCGGGTCCATGGCCATGAGCTTCATCTCTGTCTGCCGTTGGCTCATGCTCATGGTGTCTCGACCGTAGTCGGAAGTCCGATCCAAATACGCGCTTGCTCGGCCGGACGTGTACTCGCTGTTGCGGTAGGAGGAGGAAGGTGGATCACCCCCGGTGGGGGCGGGGGCGCCCCCCACAGAGGAAGCACCGCTTGACTTGGGGGGCATCGGCCGAACGACGCTGACCTCCATGTCGACTGGAGGCTCGTTTCCTGCTGCAGCGGTTGGTACTGGAGTGGCCTCGACAGTCGAAATCGGAGAATGAACCGGTCGAATCCCGCTCTTGCCAACGGCTCGAGACCACCGTCGGTCGCAGCTCGGGACGTTGCATGCGGCCAAAATCGATCATGGCATTGGCGCCTGTCGAGCGGTTGCTGCTGTTAAATCTGGACATCGACACTCTGGCCACGCTCGAGAAGGTAACGGATGCGCGAGTGCGGCAGCCTCAGTTCGACGGCACGACGGTGATACACTGCGCCTGCGATCTATCATCTGCATTAAATGATCGACATGGACACGTCGTCAACAAAGCAGACAGTGTAGGCTCAAAAATGATACATTACTCGGAATGCAGCTACCATATCCCAAGATTGAAAGGTAAAATAGAGAAACGGACGACTTGTATCCCCCTTCAACTTACTCGGAGCCTTCGTCGCTCTCCACCTCCACCTCGAAGCACGGGAACATTCTCAGGTCCTTGATCGTGTCCAGAGCAGCAATACCTTCGACGAAAACCTTGTTGGGAGTGAGCCAGTCGTCCTCCAGCAAGCCCTCCGTAAACGTGCCGTACGTGTCGGCCGGATTGTACTGGTACGCACTCTCCGGGTTCAGCGACCACATGTAGCCGCCAGCGTATCCGGCCTTGAGCATGATCTCGATCGTGAAGTCGGTGGTGCGCTTGGTCGTGAGCATTGGGTGCTTGTCCTTACCGTACAGGCCGGCAAACTCGCCCATGACCATGGCCGTGTTGGTGTCAGTTCCCAGCAAGTAGCCGAACATTTTGTCCATCGTCTTCTCGACGTTGTTCTTCAGCGTCTCGTCGTCGAGCTCCACATAGTCTTCCAGGGCGCCCTCCGCATTTTGCGTACCGGACTTGTAGAGGTACCAGGCCGGACTCACACCCGTGTTGTAGTAGTGAGGAGCCCAGACGAGCTTGTTCTCGATGTCGAAGGTGATCGGGTCACCCCCGGCATCAGCCAGACCTCCGCCCCACCAATCGAAGTAGGTTCTTTCCTCACCGTTGAGCGTGATCGTGCCCTTGGAAGCGATACCCTCCACAAACGCTAGCCAGTTGGGGCAGCCCTCCAGCATTCGGTTGCCAATCAAAGTCGCACCCTTCTGCCAGTCCGGATCGTCACCGCCCCAGCTGCACTCGTGCGGCTCATTCTTGAGGTCGAGCCCGAGGATGTTCCAGTACTTGGACGTGCACAAGTTCTTCGTGAGCGTGTCCACAGCCGATAGGAAATCGTCCTCCGAAACGCCGAGCTCTTCGCTGTACCAGGCGCCGCCTGACTTCTTCGTATCTAAGGTGTGCAGACTGATCATGACCGTAATGTGACGGTATCCGAGGGCCTCCACAATTGTCTGGATGGTCGTCATATACGACGTGATGTTGATGGCCCGGTTCGTGTTCAAGTTGATCAGCGACTTGTCCGGGGCCGTGTCCTTGAGGATGTTCTTGATGCAGACCGGCAGACGCACGCTGTTGAACTTGTTGCGGGCCAAGAACGCTGCGACCTCGTACACTGACGTACCGTTGTCCATGTTCTCCCAGAGGCCGAACGGAATGGCCAGGCCCGTCTCCATGCCGAACCAGTTGAGGCCCTTGATGCCCACGGGCACCTCCGTGCCGTTCTTGGCCACAGCGAAGATCTGGCCGTTCTTGCTCTGGTAGTCGGGCAGCTCGCAGCCCATGTCCGGGTACTTCTTGGGGTTGCCCACCTGGCCATCGTCCGAGATGATGACGTTGCCGTCGTCCATGCCGTCCTTGATCTTGCGCTTGTCCTGGGCCGCGTTCTCGTAGCGCGCGGCGTTGACCGTCATCTGGTCCTGCACGTCCATGGCGTTGATGGTGATAAGCGCCACGGCGCCGGCCACGATGAGGAGCAGTAGCAGCAGCCCGGGCCACGTGCGGATGCGGCCCTTGTAGTCCTGCTTGCGCTCGGGCGCCGCACCTAGGTCGGGCTCGACGGCCATGAGCTTCATCTCGGTCTGGCGCTGGCCGGCCGGCCCGTAGCCGTAGATGGAGCCCTCGCGCGGGCCTCCCGAATCGGTGAGGCGCGAGGACTCCATGGCCTCGCGCGTGTACTCGCTATTGCGGTAGGTCGAGCCTGACACGGGCGCGCCGCTGGTGCCGACCATGGGGCGGGAGATCTCGGCGGCTTCCATCGTCGCTGGGCTAAATACCTACCTGGACTGAGTCTCCTGTGGCGGCGGGTTTCGAGAGTGAGAGACCTCGCTGTCTGTGGGGGCCGGCACTGGCCCTGGCATAGAGATCGTCCGGTTGTCGAGCGTTTGCTGTCCGACTGCAATCCGGTGCGCGTAGCACGGACGCGCTGATTAAAAGAGACGGTGGTTTTGTATGGCGCGCGTCCTGCATGGCAAGGAGATAAGAGCAAAGGACGCGGAGTAGGGCTGGTTGGCAACCAATATTTTGCCTCGCGCGCTGAACTGCACTGGGCTGACACAATGAAGCCTTCTGGTGGCCAGAGCTCGTAGACTTCGTCGACAAGCAACTCTTCGTCGGAGCAGCGTTGCAGCGAACGGAGTCTGGTTCGTCAAGGAAGGGCCGAACAGAAAATCATACCCACAACGTCGCACTCACAGGTTGCATCCGCAGCTGCAGATACCATGGCGTACCCAGGCCGCCATCCAACGAGTTGCCTACTCCGTCGTAGCCAAGCAGCTTCGCCTCGAAGTTCGCTGCGGCGTTGGCTGACGTTGCGCTGCTCAGCTGGGCGGATTGTGAACGCCCCACTCATAAGGGCAGCCTATCAGCTGCAACAATCCAGTCTGATTTTATGACACGCGAAACGGCCGAGATTAAAACTCTAGGTAGCCGCACTTCGAACGCGTTGACCCGTTCAACACGAGTGTCGAACGCCGAGATTCCTACCTACGGAGCCCGCTTGGCAGAGGCGGCCCACAGTCCTGGAGTATCATGTAGTATCATTTACCGGCAGTGGAAGTAGTAAAGGCAACCAAACGTGAATCTATGCTCTCTCATGTACAGTGCCTGCTGCAAAGTGTGCATCTAGGACTTTCAAAACTCTACGGCACAGCGGCGGGGTCCGCGGTCGCCTCCTCTTCTGTTGAGCTGCTCGTAGCCGATGCCGCCGGGCTGTCCGCCTTCGTTGGGCCGTTCTGTCCTCGGCCCTTGCTCTTGCTGGACGGGGCCCGCTTGCGCTCCTGCTTGGCCTGCTCCACGCGCGCGCGAACGGCCTCCAGCGGCGCGTAGCTGGCGTCGTCCATCAGCGGCAGCAGCGCGCGGCGCAGGCTGTTGTACATGTCCGGGTACAGGCTCTCCTCCTGCGCGAGCATCTTCTTGACGCGATGACGCTCCTTGGGCTCTTCGAAGCAGGCCGGGCAGTTCTCATTAATCACGGGCAGCCGCGAGTCGTACGCGAACTTCTTCAGCTCGATCTCACGCACGTAGGCCAGCGGCCGAAGCACCTCCACATCGCGCTGGTCGTTCCAGTACTTGGCCTTCATGGTACGCAGCTGGCCGTTGTGCATGGCCGACATGAAGAAACTCTCCGCCAGGTCGTCCAGATGCTGCGCCAGCACCAGCTTGTTGAAGCCGTACTTGCGGCAGCAAGTGTACAGAACGCCACGCTTCATGCGCGAGCAGTAACTGCACAGCGAGTCGCCGTTCATTTCGCACGTCGCGCGCTCGATGATGTTCTCCGAAAGGTAGTAGTAGGGCACGCCCAGCGCGCGCATGTACTCCTTCAGCGGACTCGGGTCGAACGAAGGAGTCTGCGGATCAACCGTGGCGCAAGCAAGCTCGAACCGGACGGGGGCGCGCTTCTGGAAGCGCAGCAGCACGTGCAGCAAGCTCAGCGAATCCTTGCCGCCCGACACGCCAAGCAGCAGGCGATCTCCTTCTTGGATCATATCCCACTGCATCATTGCCTGGCCGACCCAGCGCAGCAGCTTCTTCGGCGGCGTAGGGAACAGCTTCGTGGTCGTCGTCTTCTGGGTGATGGCCGTGGTGGTCTCTTGTACCGTGGTCGCTGTCGCGCCGATAGAGCACGTCGGCGCAGAGCGCACTCCGCAGCGACCAGTGTTACAGTTGCCAGTGCTGCAGTTGTCGGCCTGAGCAGCAACGGGAGCCTCCACAGCATCGGTGCCATTTGCTGAAGAACGCAGCGGATACTTCCCACCAGTCTCACGGCCGTTGGTAGCAACGAAAGTCTTGTTGTGGTTCGCGCCGCCGTTAGACGCAGCCGGAGCTGACGGAACAGGACAGCACGCCGGGAGCCCACACGCGGCAGCAGGTGCAGCACTGGGCGTTGAAGCCTCCTTCCACTGACCGTTAAGCTCACCCGTAAGATAACGCGCAGGCTGGTACGGACCACGGATGGACTCCGTCAGGGCGGGCTTCTCTCCTCTCTTGATAGCTTCCGCCGCCTCCGAAGGGTACACGAACCACCGCAACGCCTCGTCGTCCACCTCCTCCAGCATTTGCGCAGCAGAAGCTGCCACCACCTGACAAGGAACGCTTTTAGCGCTCACTTCATCCGCCAGACGACGAGCCTCCGCCAAGTTCTCGGCTCTGTGGGCAGCCAGCGCTTCATCGTCTCCATCCAGACTCTTGGAACGAGTCTTGTCCTCCAGCGCCGTCGCGAAGTGCGAGATCCACTTGCGGTCCGGGAACTTCGTGAAGCGAGTCCAGTGCTTCCATACGCCGCTCTTGTGATTGAACTTGTACTGCGGCAGGAACTTCCAGCCGTCAGTGGCCACAAAGTTCACGGCCGCCAACACGTACTCGAGCTCCGCCGTGCTCATGAAATACGGGAAACTCATGCGCGTGAAGCCAGGGCGCAGCATCTCCTTCTTCTCGATAAGCGCGTTCTCCAGTGCCAGCACATCTCGGCGTGCCAGACCCAGCAGCCGAGTCGCGTACGGGCCGGCGCACTGGCAGCCACCACGCGTCTGGATACCGAACAGGTCGTTCAACAGAGCGCACACGAAGTTGTAGTGCAGGAAACGGTCGCCGAAGCGGACGAGGAATGAGAACACGGGGATCTGCTCCACGCGGTCATCTTGGCGTCCAAGGAGCACGATGTTGCTGTTCTGCTGCAGCGACTCGCGCACGCACTGCACGTTGCGTCGCTCGAGAGTCATGATGGTTTTGGTGCCCACGCGCTGCTTGAGCTCGAAGGCCAGTCCGAGACGGATGCTGCCCAGGATGTCCGGGGTGCCTCCCTCTTCACGCTCCGCGCGGTTCGACAGGTAGCGGTGGTCGTTCTCCGTGACGAAGAACACAGTGCCTCCTCCAGGGACCGTGGGCACCGCGTTCGTGAGCAGGCGCTTCTTGACAATCAGCACGCCCGGGGATCCAGGACCGCCAATGAACTTGTGGCCCGAGATGAACACGGCGTCCTTGTAGACGAACGGGCGTCGGCTCTCGTCGGCCACCACGGGGTTCATGTCGATGTTCACGTAGGGCGCACACGTGGCGTAGTCCCAGCAGGCCAGCGCGCCGTGCTGGTGCAGCAGCGCGGACACGGCGTCTACGTTCGTGAGCACTCCGGTGAGGTTGGACGCGGCCGAGAAGGCGCCGATCTTGAGCGGCCGGGCCGCGTACGCCTTGAGCTGCGCCTCGAGCGCCTCCAGGTCCATCAGTCCGTGCGCGTTCTCGGGGATCGTCACGATCTCCGCCGCGCTCTCGCGCCACGGCAGCAGGTTCGAGTGGTGCTCGAAGGGGCCGACGAACACGACGGGCCGCTGGTCGGGCGCGGCTGCGGCGCTGAACTGCTGCAGTCCGAGCGCCGAGACCAGCTTGTTGACGGCGCTGGTGCTGCCCTGGCCCGTGAACAGCACGCAGTCCTCGGCGCCGCGGCCCGTGATCTTGGCGTTCACGGCCTGCGCCACGATCTGGCGCGCCTCGTGGCGGAAGCACGTGGTCTGCAGACCCGTGATGGACGTCGTCGTGTGCGTGTTGCCGTAGAGCGGCATGACCTCCGCGTTCAGGTAGTCCTCCACGCAGCGCAGCGGCTTGCTGCTGGCCGTGAAGTCTGCGTAGCACAGCGCGCGCGCGCCGAACGGCGACTCGAAGAGCGTGCGGGAGCCCACGACGTTGCGCGAGATGAGGTCCACGCTCCGCTGCGCCGCCGCTGAGAGCGCGCTGTTGTCCGCCGCAGATTCAGGCTGCGCATCGGTCTCGTGGATCTGCGTACTCAGGTCCTCCTCCAGCTCCTCGCAGAAGAAGCGCGCAGACGCGGCCTCGTCCTGCAGCGCCATGGTCTGATACGGTACAGGTTGTAGTGACGGATGGGTGGATGGAGCGGAAGAGTGTCCTTTATGAAAATATTTAGTGACTATTTGCATTAATGGCCAGGGGATGTACGCGCAACATTGCAACTTCAATTCGACAAGTTGCTCCAACTAACGAGGGCAGATATTTTTAATTTTTTCATTAAAATAGCAAAGTGTCCGGTTGAAGGCCTTATATGGTTGCAGTGGCTGCAAGATTTACACTTGTAAGATAAGTTAGAGAGTTTATCGTAAGTTTATCGGCTGCAAAACTCCGTGGTCCTTCACTTTAAGAAGATGAGATTGCTTTAAATGGAGAGTACTAATTGAGCACAAGAACGTGAAGGTCTTCACTTATCTGATCTTCGTGAAGACAGCTGTCTTTACCGCCGTGCTACTGGGCAAGCTCCGACGAACGCTAAACCAGGGCCGGACCCCATTTTACCCCCATTTTAACCGAAGGAGAGCTCAAGGGAATCCTAGATGCCGTTGACGCGCGAACCAAGCGAGGACTTTGCTTCACGAGAGCTGAGTTAGGTATGTTTATCCGGCAAGTGGTTGAGGCGAGCCCGTACACGCGCGAAATCCCTGCAACATGCCCCTCGGTGAGCTGGACCAACGACTTCATTCGTCGCAATAAAGCCCACTTCAGCAGACGCAAGTCCCAATCCTTAGACGTGTGTCGCGCCCAAGCTTCCACGGTGGAGAATGTCGACTATCACTTCAACAGCCTAAAGAAAGTCATTGAAAGCTGCGAAGAGCTCCCTCCTTCCCGAATCTGGAATCTGGACGAGACGGGCATGAGCGGACAAGTATCAGGAGCGAAACCAAAAGTACTCGCGTCTAAAGGATACCGGGCCAACGTTCAGCAATCCGACAGCCGCGAAAATGTGAGCGCATTGGTTTGTGGTAATGCAGACGGCGGTTTTGTTCCACCTTTCATCATCTTTCCAGGGTTTAGCTACGACAGGAAACACACGCACGGTGGATACCCAAACTCTAAGTATGCCTCAAGCCCCAGCTCTTTCTTAGTAACGAAGCTCTTTGTGGAATACTTTAAGTAGTTTGTGAAGTTTATTCCTCCCGAACGCCCTGTTCTACTGATCATGGAGGGGTACAAAGCCCACTTTTCGGTTCGCACGTTGCGTTGTGCAAGGAAGAACGGCATACTGCTATACGCGCTTCCAGCCCACACGTCACACTTCCTACAACCTATGGATGACAGCGTATTCACCCTCTTCAAGCGTATTCTCGGCAATGAGATTAGCGATTATTAAACCTCGCGAAAGATCATTGTGGACAAAACTAATATCGTGGCAGTAGCTACCAAGGCCTTTGAGAAGGCTTTGACCCGTACGAACTTTGTTGCTGGTTTCGAGAAGACGGGTATATATGCTTTAAGTCGTGTGAGGATGGTCGCTGGTATTATCGGAAATCATCCCGCGAGCACGAAGAAGTCCACGATTCTTCTCAAGCCGACTGTCATGATTTCCGACAGAACCAGCAGAAAAATAGTTCGCTTCGGTGACAGCGTCGACCGAGTGCGTGTAGAGTCGATGAATCATTGGCTTATGGAAGAGCGAGTGATACATAAGAAGTCGAAGCGTGACATTAGCGCTCAAATGGTGAGTGGAGCGTGTCTGATGACTAGCGACGAGAGCTTCGAGTACCATGTCGCCAAAGCGAAGGAGGACGCTGATAAACTCCGTGAAAAGGAGCTTAAAGCACAGGCTAAGACCGCCAAAGCCAAGGAACGCCAGGACAAGAAAGTAGCCAAGCTGGTGGCAGATGAGCTCAAACGGCAAGAAAAGATCGCGCTTGCTGTCGCCGCTGAGCAAAAGCGGATCGCCGCTGCGGAAGCCAAAGAGGCAAATCGTATTGCCAGGGCTGAAGCTAAGGAAGCTAAACGAGTCGCTGATGCCGAAGCAAAGGAATCAAAGCGCATTGTACCCAAAGAGGCCAAAGAAGCCAAACAGGTTACTGATGCTGAAGCCAAAGAAGTCAAGCGCGTCGCGCGGGCAGCAGCCAAAGCAGCCAAACGAATTGTTACAGAAGAGAAACGAGCAGCCGCCGCGAACGCAAAGAAGTCTAGACAACGCACAACCAGCCTCGGCACGAAAACAATGCAGCCCGCAAGCACAAACCACTCAAAGAAGCGCTAACGCTTCGAAAGCGCTTCTGAGGACCGGCCGGATATGGATGAATATAGTGGTCTTTCCGACAGAGAGACTGGCAGGATTTTGACTGGGCCCAATCAGTTCGCGTTTTGACCAATCACGGAGCTTCAATAGTGTAGTTTCGGCAAATAGGATATAATAGGGGGTAGGTTTCCGGTTCCGACACTTTCCGACAAATATTTGTCGGAATCCACACAGTAATATGAATATGTACATACAAATATCAAGTAGTTAACATATTTTTTAAATATTGTCATGGCACTGACAACTAGGTTTATTCCTAAGGTAGGAAACCGGTTGGTGGATAGGATAACCAGTACGTAGGCTTTGCGTTTGACCACACAGTTAAAAGAACCAAGCAGTAGCAGACGAAGCAGCATGAGCTTAGCTGCCTTCGTTCCTACGAACACGCAGAAGGCGCTGAATACTGCCGTCGCCGCATTCAAGCGGGTGTTGGAGGGGGAGAAGGTTAGCCTTGAGTTTGTCGAGGCTAGCATTCTCCTGGATGCATCCGGCAAACGTTTAGCGGCGACGATGGACCGCTTTGGCTTCTACCTCGCAACTAACGAAGGTAATAAAGGTAAGTTAGCCCGCAACACGGCAACAGCGTATCATAGAAATGTCAAGTCGTGGCTATTTGACAAGTATCCACACTTGCGAGTACCTACTGAGTTGATCTTGCTAAAGCAAGGGAAGACTTTAGATAAACATAGCATGAAACGCGAAAAAGGTGGCTTGGTTAATAAGGCTCCACCTTGTACTAAGCAGGACTTACAGTCTATAGTCCGTTACGTGTACAGAACAGCACGCGTGCACGCCGACTACCAAGATGCAGCACTACCGTGCTTGATGTGGCATTGCTTTGGCCGGTCTTCGGACCTCGGCTACATCCAAAAACAGCACGTGTCTGTATCGGCAGACGGCACCTTCTACCTGCGGCTGCTACGTGTCAAGACATTAGAATAACAGGGTCTTACCTTGATCCCGGACAAGAGCGACTTCTTGACGTGTCCCTTGCACGCTCTGGCCGTAGCGCTAGCGACGCAGGACGCGCCATGCGCGGCACTCCTGTCCCAGTTGCCCGATCTCGTAGAGGAGGTCGCCGTGCCACTTGACAAAGGTGTGCCGCTGCTGGAGCTGCTGGAAGCCGAGCCCGCTTCGCTCGACGTCGCTGTGGTCCCGCCGGAGTCGTCCCTGCCTTCAATGCTCGCGGCCGGCAACGTATCCTCTGTTCCACCTCGGCAAACCTCAAGAAACATCAACACCAGCCCCAACCGAGGCACGTACCGGTGAGGTCAAGCGCGGCGAAGACAGCGTGCAGGCGTACGTGAACAGGATGCTCAAGCGCGTCGCCGAGCCGGCAGGAGCCACCCCCGACCTGACCTCGCACTCCTTCCGGCGTGGCGGGGCCCAACATGCGAACGGAGATGACCGCCTCGCCGCCCAGTGGATCTTCGATCGCGGTGCTTGGGATATGACCTAGATGAACAAGGCCTTCGCCTACATCACTAATACGGCACGCGAGGACAGGAAGGTGGCCCGGGTCTTGAGTGGGTGGGCGGCAGACGACGTTCCAGCGGTCATCGACGTCACGACGCTTGATCACGCCAGTCAAGAACGCGTCGGCCGATTGCAGGGCTTCCTGTTCAATTCCCGTACAGGTCTCAAGCAACAACGTCTAAATGTAAGCACCAATGTCCTCAGTGTCCTCACTGCGTACCTGGTCCGTTACTACCCGTGAGGCGAGGCGGGTGAACGCCTTGATCGTCCAGGTGTATAGCGCACTATGCCGGACCGAATCGGTTCGGAGTACCAGAGATATCCGCTGCAATCCGATAGTCCTCGGAGCACAGGATGTGAACCGGGGGCCGGGAGGATCGCTTGGACTTGGCGTGTGCCCTTGTGTCAACCCCTATAGGTATCGTTTACCTTTGGCGGACCGGACTTCACCGAGTGAGTTGTTGTAAATACAGAATCGAGTCTGCTGGGTGTGTTCCTGAAACAAACTACACCGAATGAACAGAAGGTCAGACCGAATCGAAGGGACCTCAGTCAGATCCACAATTCAGTATAACCAACACACAGAAATACAATGCCGAGCTAAACGTCACAAAATATACAGCCACCACTTATTCTTTAAGACCCTTGGGTGGGGGGTCTATACGCCAGTCATATTACGAGCCGTCACCCAAGGCACTGGTCAACCCTGGATGCACACTCACTCACGCGCACCACCCTCACAGAGTGAGGGAACAATACAAAATATAAGTCAATCCTATCACACAGTAGTCGATCAATTCAGTCTCGGGGGTGACTACCTCTACCGCCTAAGACAGACAGGATGGAATATGAAATGGATGCCCGGATAGAGCACGTAAATTGGAAATAAAGCTCTCACAGATCACTCCAGGGCGCGACACCACAGTCCCTGCCGACTTTGCCTTGGTACCTTTGAGTCCCCACTACACCAGTGCTCGCAACACCAGTGAGGCCTTGAAACGTCCTCCTTTCTAAGATCGCACGAAGGCGGATCCCACGTATAAGCTCTTGAAGACGTCAATGTCAGGGGGAATCCCCAGCCCGAAGAAAGACATCCGCGTGTTCTCGGCAAATTGGTTTCTGTTTGATCTTACGTTTGGCTAGCTATCTGTTTCACTTCACTGACTTCTAATAAAGGTTTCACTATACTTGACTTGTCTTGGATATGCTTCGACCTTGTGTACGGGACTTCGATCTTCTTGCACTGAGCTTGGGTATGCTTGACTTGGCTTGGTTATCGGGCAACTTGTCGACGTCAACGTTCCTTCGGCAACACTCATCATGTGGCGACAGAGGTACGTGGGTACGGCGTCTCATTAAATCCGCACTGGACCTCTGCGTCTAATCACGTGAGCCATCCTGTGTCGCTTGACGTTCTTGGTCGATCCGGTCCTGGATTGCTGCTACACACACAGCAGTACTGGACTTGTTGTTGGTGCGGTCACGATCCAGTATGGGCACCAGGGGTCAGACCGAATTGATCATCCGGTCCGGCCTCATTGGGTACGGCACCTTGGCATCCGGTGCGTCGCTACCGGGTGCACCACGATCCAGTCCGGCAAACAGTGTACTTTGTCCAGCGAGGTCTTGGGCGCATGGGAGCATGGTGGGCATGGTGAACTTGGGGGTTGGTCCGATGTCTTGACGGAGCCAATGCAGGCAGCAGCCAGGATACGTTCACTGGCTGCACTTGCGCGCCTTAGGCTTATCCTGCGGTCAGGGAAGTCGGCGGACGGACAGGATGTGTTACCCCACACCGAATATGAGCGCTCATCCGGTGGGCACATCTCCGATCCTGTGAGCCCATGCTTACTGCAAGCACCGGGTCCCGCCAAATCCACCATGCGCATCCACTATCCACATGTCACACTCCACGTCACTGGAGTCCTGTTCACTGCGACCAGTCACAGTCAGGCGAAGGGTCGTCCCATCCCAGCGGTCAGACATGGGTGCGGATAAAAATCCTTTCCCACATCGTGTCACCCGCAGGTCAAGGTGCTCTCACCCGCGGCCCCCATTGTCACGCGCGTCGAAGAGAGCTTGCGTGCTGCAGACATCCCGATCGGCGACATGCTTGCGAGATCAGTCGCGCTGGACAGCGAAGCCGCTCCGCCTACTCAAGAACAAACCCAAACACAAGATGCAAGCCAACACCACTGTCCAAGCATCGCTCACCTTCTAGCTGTCATTCATGAGCTTATCGCCTCAAACAAAGCCCTAGCTGCGCGGTTGACGATTGTCGAGCCGGATCAGATGAAAGCTAAGGAGCCGCGTAGACCCGCTGAAGAAGACCAAGCAAAGGAATCGTTAGACCAAGAGCCCAACCAAATCGGAGGAAGAAGCAAGATACGCACCTGTCGGCTGCATGGTACGAGTGGTACACCCGTGTCCCTCGCGTCTGGGACTGCTCTGACCGCCAAAAGAAGTCCGAATCACGCCACATCGTCGCCTTCATGAAGCTGTTCCTCGGAGACGGCTTTACGCTTGACCCTACGGTCGCAGACTACAAGGATCAGGTCTTGGACGCCGGCCGCCGTGCTGAAGATGCCGTGTTGGACTTCCTAAAGTCGCGGAACATCAACGCGAAGGGCGCTGACAGTGTTTCGCGCGCGCTGCGTCCGCTGCACAAGTGCGGCGTCTTGGACAAACGCATCGCAGCCCACAAGCGTCTCCTCCCTACAGGCCGAATTCAAGGCCCTGCTCCTGCAGACACACAGGACCTATTAGCTTTAGCTCGTCAAGCCTGACCGGCATAGTATCGAGAATTCCCGAAGTCGCAAACCGCCGAGCGTACACACTCGAGTAAACCCGAAATCACGCACCGTCGAGAATACCCAAAATCGCCCACAGTCGAGTAAACCCGAAACTGCTGTTAATGGGAGTAAGCGACACTCGCGAGCCACCGATGAGCGGCAGGTTTCAAAAAGTAGAATGACTAAACAGCATGCTTATTAACCAATCATTTATGGGTCGTAATTAGTATAGTATGCATTCTGACCAATAGGATTTAAGAAATTTCATCCAATGAAATGTAAGGTACATGTCGAGTTTATCCAAAACGCGACACATCGATTCTTGCCAAGATGTCGAGCTCAGATCAGCGGACGAATGCGGAGAAGATCGAGATCCTGCTCGCATGCGAGCGAAATGGATGGGATGCTACCGAGGGTGGTCGTCGTCATGGTGTGGCTCGGACAACCTTGCTGGGTTGGATGACTAACAAGCACAAGTTATTCTCGTCCCAGGCCGATCCATCCGCAAAGCGGGCAGCGCCACCAGGCATGGCCCCTCCGACGCTTCAATACGAGGCTGGTATTGTTGAGCGGATCAAGGCAAAAGTGGCAAACGGCCAGGTGGTGTGCAGAGATGATGTTGTCGCGGATGCTGCGTCGACAATACCTGGCTTTGCGGAGCGCAAACCCGTGGCTCAGAGTTCGTGGACTATCCGGTTTATAGGTCGCCACAATCTAAGCACTTTCATCTCACGACGACTCCAGAATACCGGCACGGCAGCGCCAAATGGGAATGAACCCCCCAACAATTGACACAAGCGTCACTATCGACTTTAGCCGAAATCCCCGAGCCTCCAGCCAAGTCGACTTTGGCCGAAAAATCCCAGCCTCCAGCCAAGTCGACTTTGGCCGAAAAATCCCAGCCTCCAGCCAAGTCGACTAGCCGAAAACTCCCAGCCTCCAGCCAAGTCGACTATAGCCGAAAAACCCAAGTTGCCGGAGGTCATATCACTGTTGAATGATGACAGTGAGAAGGCCAGCGTCCCATTTGATTTTGGAGATGCGTGGGATATATCGCAGTCCGAGATTGTGTGTGAAACACTAACCCCATGCTTTGTTGTGGACAAAACCAGCATGCGTTTGCTGGTGACAGCGGGAGATGTCCGGACAATTAAAGACCAAAATTGGCTGAACGATGTGATTATGTCCTATTACATCCGAGTGCACCTCCCGCAACACGTCCGAACGTTTGTCATGGATGCAAACGTATTTGGACACATCTACAGCGAGTTCGTTCAAGTGGAGCGAAAAATTGGACTTGCGCACGAGCGCTGTTGCGGTATCACCGCAACATTTCCGTACGAGAAGTACAATCACGTGGTTTTACCTATATGCATGGGCAATCACTGGACTTTGCCATTGGGCAAAACCCTGTAGGCACGACGCAGAATCTGATGAGATGCCTTGTGCATGTAGACTCGAAAGGAATCTCCAGCATCGAAGCGATTAAAAAAGTTGTCGGTGGATATTTCGACGCGGAGCTGCGAAGCACCAGCGTTCGTCGTGAGAGGAGTCCGAACAAGCCCGGCACAGATAAACCACGATGACTGCGGAGTATTTGTTCTATACTTCATCAAGCGCACGGTCGAGGCATTTCAAACCGGGAATACGCTTCTCTTAAGCGATATCAAGAAGATATGCACAAGTCCAAGGTCCGTGCGCTTCAACGCAAAACTGATGCGGAAGCAGCCTGACACAAACGCACGCGACGGCTCACTGGAATACGGGTCTCGGTTAATTCAATACATGTATTACACGTATACATAACGACCAGTCATTGAGTTCTGCAAGAAAGCCATGTACGATTCAGACCAATGCGACCGGAGACCCGACGACTTGTTGGTTCTCTGTGACTACGAGATAAAAGAAAGTGAACGAGTACCTCTTATAGGAGAAGACTCTGATACCGAACCAATGAGGCTTGGTATAACCTGTTACGCCTTGTTACAGACGTACGTGTCGGTTCAGCAAGATGGAGTGTGCCCTACACTGCTCCACGTTGATAGCACACACAATTCTGTGAACAAACGATACTCGGTTGTCGTTCTTGGCGTGTCTGACTGCTGCGGAAAGTATTTTCCGGTGGTATACTACTGTTCGTCCCAGCGGCGAACTGAAGATATTATCTGGTGTTTGAAATTTGTGAAGCGAGTGCTGTTAGAGCAATTCGCACAAAGTTTCGCTCCACGATACGTGATGACCGATAAAGACGATGCTCAGTTTGGTTCATGTGTTGCGGAACTGCCTGCAGCGGTCATTCTGATGTGTTGGTTCCACGTCCGCCAGAACGTGAAGGATAAAGCGCAAGGTTTGCCGCGTGTAAGTCGTGACATGATCTATCACGGCTTTAGCGAACTGCACTTTTGTATTTCAGATACTGAATACGAGACGAAGCAAACCAACAAACGTGCTCGTCGACACCGTGAGCGCGAGGGCGATTATATTTCAGGCCTTGGATTCGAAGACATGTCTGGTGATGACGAGGCATCGTATCTTCTGTTGCATCCCCGCCCAGGAAGCCGCGGAATGTGCGTGGAGCATCGTCGTGAGCGCGCTCGCCTCGATGACGAGTTGCCGATGGTTAACTCAGGAATTGCAATCGGCGCTGGCTTAACGAACACGTTACCACCAACTACAGCCGGACAGATTGCGGACGACCAAGATATTCCTCTATATATTCGAGTGCCGCCAGTACCAACGTTCTTTGCGGAACAGCTTGATGGCTACACGCCTGACCAACGGAGGGCGTCAGGTCAAGCTACCATTTCCGTGACAAACAACGCGCAGGCACCAATACGTGGATCTAAAGGAAAGTCTAAACGTCGATGTCGCTAGCGTTGACGGCTTTGTCGGGAGGAAGGAATTAAGTCAGGCAGCGTCAGGCATGTCGATATTAGACTATCTTGATACATTTATCAGACTGAATACACGTGCATGGGTTGCGACTTTATGCTGGTACGTAGCCTCTTGGAACCCGTCGAACGCTTCTTAGAAACTTTTCCACGACGACCAGTACATAGGAAATCCTTCCAAGTAGCCACCGACGACTGGTACATCTTCCACACCGCCTTGACTTTCCGATTCCTTGTCCTCGCACTGGACAGACTTTTGGTTCGCCTTCGGGTTTTGGTGCTTCTTCGCTGTTTGGTGCGCCTTCAGGGTTTGATGCCTCTTTGGGTTTTGGTACTTCTTCGGTGTCGGCACACTATTCGCAGCGGAATCGATGTCACTAGCGCGTCCAATACCGTCACAGGAGTCTCCATCGTCATCGCCCTCAGGTGTTCGTCGATCGTCGTTGTAGTCCGAATCGTCACTATTGTCCGGAGACTCATCTTCATCCTCTTCCTCAAGCTGCGCCAATACTTCCGCTAGCGCTGCTTCACTTTCACTTTCGTCCTCGTTGTCAGCTGCCAGATGACGGGCCAGGCGGGACTCCCAACGCTCAGCTTGATCAGCACGGGATTGACTGTCTGCCGGGTCCGCTTCAGCGTTTCGGGGCCGATCCTCGTCAGTTTGGCAGCGTGGGGGGAGCGTCTATACTTCGGCACTGTGTTTTCTTGCTGCTGTCGCTTCTTCGCCCGAAGCCGTATCCGCTCTGCTACTTCTGCTTCTTCTGGTGGCGTGAGTGGGGGTGGATTGGTGGTGGGAGGAGCTTGGGCTGAGCTTGCTTGGCTGGGTGTTGCATTCACAGTGACCATCTCGAGAGGAGCTTCTGGATGCACATCGCGAGCTCCATCGGCAGCTATGTCGTTCGTCCGGGGCCTGACATAGAGTATGGATACGTACAGGTTAGTCTTAAGCAGGGAATACATGAACTAACTCACGCGTACGCACCATGCCACGGGGTCAGGACCTGATCGCTTGCGGCCTGCGGGGGAGGAGAGAGGATTTTGGACTGGCGACAGGAGGCCACTGATTTTTTTTCTAAAAACGAATTTATCTTACCAGCCAGTCCGAAGGTAAGTTTATCTTACCCAGCTGCGCGATAGCAGCCGCTGATTTGTTTGCTCTGGATATATTGAATATCCCCAAAACTGCACCAAATAGCACAGAAAGTAGTATTTGCCTACTGTGCAGTTTATGTAGTAGCAGCGTGTTTGTTAGCGAACTGCACTTTTGTATTTCAGATACTGAATACGAGACGAAGCAAACCAAGAAACGTGCTCGTCGACACCGTGAGCGCGAGGGCGATTATATTTCAGGCCTTGGATTCGAAGACATGTCTGGTGATGACGAGGCATCGTATCTTCTGTTGCATCCCCGCCCAGGAAGCCGCGGAATGTGCGTGGAGCATCGTCGTGAGCGCGCTCGCCTCGATGACGAGTTGCCGATGGTTAACTCAGGAATTGCAATCGGCGCTGGCTTAACGAACACGTTACCACCAACTACAGCCGGACAGATTGCGGACGACCAAGATATTCCTCTATATATTCGAGTGCCGCCAGTACCAACGTTCTTTGCGGAACAGCTTGATGGCTACACGCCTGACCAACGGAGGGCGTCAGGTCAAGCTACTATTTCCGTGACAAACAACGCGCAGGCACCAATACGTGGATCTAAAGGAAAGTCTAAACGTCGATGTCGCTAGCGTTGACGGCTTTGTCGGGAGGAAGGAATTAAGTCAGGCAGCGTCAGGCATGTCGATATTAGACTATCTTGATACATTTATCAGACTGAATACACGTGCATGGGTTGCGACTTTATGCTGGTACGTAGCCTCTTGGAACCCGTCGAACGCTTCTTAGAAACTTTTCCACGACGACCAGTACATAGGAAATCCTTCCAAGTAGCCACCGACGACTGGTACATCTTCCACACCGCCTTGACTTTCCGATTCCTTGTCCTCGCACTGGACAGACTTTTGGTTCGCCTTCGGGTTTTGGTGCTTCTTCGCTGTTTGGTGCGCCTTCAGGGTTTGATGCCTCTTTGGGTTTTGGTACTTCTTCGGTGTCGGCACACTATTCGCAGCGGAATCGATGTCACTAGCGCGTCCAATACCGTCACAGGAGTCTCCATCGTCATCGCCCTCAGGTGTTCGTCGATCGTCGTTGTAGTCCGAATCGTCACTATTGTCCGGAGACTCATCTTCATCCTCTTCCTCAAGCTGCGCCAATACTTCCGCTAGCGCTGCTTCACTTTCACTTTCGTCCTCGTTGTCAGCTGCCAGATGACGGGCCAGGCGGGACTCCCAACGCTCAGCTTGATCAGCACGGGATTGACTGTCTGCCGGGTCCGCTTCAGCGTTTCGGGGCCGATCCTCGTCAGTTTGGCAGCGTGGAGGGAGCGTCTATACTTCGGCACTGTGTTTTCTTGCTGCTGTCGCTTCTTCGCCCGAAGCCGTATCCGCTCTGCTACTTCTGCTTCTTCTGGTGGCGTGAGTGGGGGTGGATTGGTGGTGGGAGGAGCTTGGGCTGAGCTTGCTTGGCTGGGTGTTGCATTCACAGTGACCATCTCGAGAGGAGCTTCTGGATGCACATCGCGCCATCAAGGCCGGCGAGGTCTTCGACGGCAAGATGCAGACGTTCGAGCGCTCCGACATCACGTGCACCGACGGTGAGGGCCAGAAGGACTCCGCCGTGTTCCTCGTCGAGGCCGGCGGCACCCTCAAGAACGCCATCATCGGCAAGAACCAGAAGGAGGGCGTCCACTGCGACGACCACGACTGCACCATCGAGAACGTCTGGTGGGACGACGTGTGCGAGGACGCGCTGAGCATCAAGGGCGGCACTGCTTCCAGTGTGACCACCGTGACCAACTGCGGCGCGCGCTACGCCTCGGACAAGGTGGTGCAGCACAACGGCTACGGCACCGTCAAGATCAACGGCTTCTTCGCGCAGGAGTTCGGCAAGCTCTACCGCTCGTGCGGCACGTGCGGAGACATCCCTCGCACTGTGACGGTGGAGAACGTGTACGCCATCGACCCGCTCGTGAGTCTTGTGACGGTGAACAAGAACTACAACGACCAGGCCACGCTCAAGAACATTTATGTCAAGACGACAGACGGCAAGGGCGACGTCAAGGTGTGCCAGTGGTCGCAGGGCAGCAAGACGCCGTCCAACCTGGGCGACGGACCGTCGGGCACGCTCTGCCAGTACACGGAGAGTGACGTCCACATCAACGAGAAGTAAATGGTAGGCAGAAGTGCGAATCGTAGCGCACCTGAGAGTATTAATGTTGTTGTGTGTGGGTAGTTCACTAGGAGGGGGTTAGACCGAATAGATGTGTGATCATGAAACTCAAATCTGGTGTGATGGAGGCACTCCAAGTATTTTTGTCTTTGTTGCCCTTTGAGTCGAGGTATCAGCCGCGGTTCCGAATCGATGGCATTTGGGTTTGTAATATGCACGTGATCGCTGTACTCTTCAGACTTGTGGATGTGAATGTAGAGTGAAGGGAGGTGTTGGCAAACGGGTTACTACTCGGACGGATACCGATTGTTTATTTTGTGCGTGTGAAAACTGCTGGAAGGATACGAGATGACAAACACGTCGACAAGTACAAACTACGCTGCTTCTACGCGTACTTACTCGACACTTCCTCAACTGCGAACCGATCTGCTCTTCTTGCTCTTGCAGCCTCCAGGCGTGACAGTTCCAGCGGGGTAGTCTTCAGTTGGAGGCGCACTAGCGTCACCCGCCACACTGTTCTCAGTGGAGGGGGTGTTCGTGGGGTACTCAGTCGTAGGAGTGTCCGTCTGAGGGATTTCAGCTGGAATGGTGGTGGACGGAGTCTCAGTTGCCATCGTAGAGTTCCCCGCCCCATTGGAACTCCCACTGCAGTTCTCAACGTAAGAGGGTTTGCCGAAGACATAGTACTGCTCGTAGTTGTCGTTGCTCCCCTTGAACTGCGTCGACTCGATCGAGTTGGTGTAGAAGTAGAAGCACTCGTCGTTGCCCAAGTCCTCGTTCTTGGTCACTCGATCTCCCCCCACGAAGGTCGGGCACTCGGGCTCTCTGCCCGAGCCCGTCGACGTTAGTGTGATGTCAGCACACGACACGAACTGCGGCTCGGCCCAGCCAATGTTGCCGTAGCTGGAGCCCACCGCAAACCAGACCCATTGGAGCACGTAGTCGCCCTCGTCGAGCCAATCGGGCAGAGTGATCGTGTCACCGCAGGAAATGGAGTTGGCGTTGCTATTGTCTCCAGCATATCGACTCGTCGAGCCATCGGCAGCCACGCAGTCTGGTCCAGACTCGCGGCACGTGTAGAAGAAGACGTTGTCGTCGAAGTCGGAGGCGGACTCGCTGCCCACCGGCGAGATGGCCCAGCGGATGAATCCGCCGAGGTGGTTGTTGCGCCAGTAGCGGACGTCGATGGTCTCGCCAGGAGAGAACGAGGTTACCGTGCCGGGTGTCGTATTGGGGCAGCCCACAGTGCCGTCGGTCGTGCGAGGCCCAGTCTCCCGGGATACCGGCTTCACGAGCCACGAATGGGCTTCAACCGAGTTAGAGGTGAAGCAGCTGAAGGCGGCGAGGGCGGCGAGGGCGACGACGGAGGAGAGGAACTTCATCGCGAGACGGCGGATTGAAAAGTGAGCGGTGAGGCTCCTGATTTCAGCCTTGGTTGGTACTCTACCGATCAACTTCACCGAAAGATCATCACTTCAGTCACCTGTGGACGGACAGCAAAGCGGATTTATTTCAGCGTAGAAGGACGAGGCCGGATGGTTTCAAGGCGCTACCTCAAACCCATTTGTTCGCTACTTTCTTTTGGGGAAGCGATGACTATCTGATCCCATTTTTCCGGCGACCTTCTCCGTTGTAGAGGAATCCGATATGCCTGCGATCCGTGGCAACAAATGGATAGATGAGCTCGCGTCGTTCTCCATTCGTTGTGGATGTTGCAGCAGAAGCCTCAAAATGTTGTGTGTAAAGTTTTCTGAAGGTGGATGTGTAGCTTTTGTGGCGAAGTGAGATCATTGAACTGCTTCACCATCAGATTAATAACTTTCGTTGTGAGTACCGCCAGTTATCATCTCCTGGTTGTTGGTTGAGTGAGTGATGCTCAGCCTCGATCGTCGACGTTTCCGCTCCTTCCGCGCTCTCCGACGCGCAGCTTCGTATTTGGCAGCGGCAGTCGGATTATCAAGTGACGTCAAGGGGCTGACCATCGGGATGAGGCACAATGGAAGCTGCTGCCCCGTGTCTTTTCCAAGAATGCTCCCACCGACGTGGTCTGCAGGCAGTTGGTAGGAGAAACTCGCATCGTTTTCACATCGTGTGTCATAAACACCCGAACCGCACTCCTCGGACTCCACATCTTGCCAAACACTCGGTAGCTGGTGCTCCCCAGGTTTGTACCAAGACGACTCCCCCGTCACCGAGTTGTAGTAGTAAGCGCAGCCATCCTCCGTGAAGCTTTCAATCCACTCACCACCTTCGGGCATGGTTGGTCCGCCTCCCCAATCGCCCGATGCGGCTACGGAAGCCTCAGCAAGCACACTCTCCTTGGCTTCAGTCAACGGAGGCAGCGTGTAGCTTGTCACCGGTACACTTTGGTAGTCGTTGATGACTACCGCGCATTGAATGCGGTTGTTCCGCAGTGCGAGGTGGTAGGCGCTCTCTCCATTGAAATTGCAAACGTGCGGGTTCGCTGCCGTTTCCAGTAGCGCGCATACATTGTCGATACATCCGCAGCCAGCGGCGACGTGAAGTGCTGTGTTTCCTTCGCTGCATTGAGTGTCGATAAAACCATCGGCTAGAAGCTCGCACAGAAAATGGAGAGCCTCGGGGCCCGTAGGACAAGCAGCAGCGTAGTGAAGTGCCGTCCAGCCATTCTCGTCTCGTACATCTGGCTGAGCGCCAGCGTCGCACAACAACTGCAGCATCTACTTGACAATTTACATACACCGGGTTGGTGAGTATTGCGTAGCGAGGTCCATGCTTAAGCATCCGCTATACAAACCTTTACGTCTCCAGCATTTGCAGCGGCGTGAAAAGCTGTAACCCCAAGAGCGCACGGCAAATCAACTTGAATCGATGGGACACCGAGTAACACACTGGCTGTGGCGAAATCTCCCGATGCAGCGATCAACAGCAGTGGGCTTTCTCCTCTGAACACGCCAGCAGGACAGTTAAGAAAAATGGTGAAATGGTTCAAGTTCCTGTGCGAATGAATTGCACTTACTCGTGGTTTTGCTGATTGCCGTCAATACCCAAATCGAGGAGCACCGAGACAACAGCGGCAGCTTTGTCGCCAAGATTCAAGTTAATAGCCACGTGTATCAACGAGTTTCCGTCCTCGTCAAGCAGCAAGCCGATTTGCAATCCGAGCCCGTATTTCTCCAGAACGTTCCCAATTTTGTTCTGTAGCCTGCATCCCCCAGGGTTTCTTACACGACCTTCGTCAACTAGCAGGCAAGAAATCTCCTGAAAACATGACTCGACTAGCTTATCTAGCGGGTGGGTATCCGTTAGCAGAATTCCAGCGGAGGATTGAGCTGTTAGTTCATCAGAATGAGAATTTCGAGCGAATTTGCTGAGTTCATCAAGATATTCTTGCCACTGACGCGCGTCCAGCTCCAGTCGATACGGAACGAGGTCGCAGTCAGCCTCAGCTCCATCGCTCCCAGGCCTCCATTGGAAAACAACAGTCCGTCTATCGGCAGTGACGATTTGGAAGCTATTCACAGGCTCGTCCAGCACTGACACCTCAGTTATGTCGGCGAATGTGACGAAGTTTGTAGCGGAGGCGGTGGTGTCTTCGCCATCAAGTTCTCTGCTGTGTCGCCACTCCAAGCGGCTGAACGATCCGTCCACCTCGCACCATACGCGCCGTGCCACGCCTAGTTTGGCAGCATCTAGCTTGATATCCTCGGGATTATCTGCGTATTCCTGGGTGGAGCATCGCCGCAAGTGATCCAGCTCGTAGCGATGGTCAGACACCCAGCACGTTCCACATCGATCACATTTTCGAGGGTATTCGCGAATCTGAGGGGCTGGTGGAGGAACTGCCATGCTGATCATCCCAGAGCGATTGCTACCTTCGGACGGAAACTTCCAGAGATACCCGCCTATCGGTAGCACCTCAACATTTCGGGCCGTATCATCACTGCGATCAGCTGACAAGACAACTGCGTCAAGCAAGGAAGCCAAGGTGGCCTCAACCTCTGACAGCTCTGTCATGGTGCTCGAAGTGCCTCCAGTTGTTGGAGTTACTACTCCCGCCATAGTCGTTTCGCTACGACAAATATAAAACGAGTTCCTTACCTGCCTCAGTCAGGACGCGTATATTCTCGATTGTTGTGGTTGCTGGAGCTAGGCAAACGATTGTAACTTGTCGACAAACTCAGCGGCCGAAAGGACCTGAACGCCTCGACTCGAGAAGCTCTCGAGCATCGAAGTCTTTTTGGAGCTCCCAACAGCGGGTCCTGTTAGCGGAAGCAGAGCCTCTTTTAGCACCGACACTTGGTAACCTCTGTCCAGGGCAGTCTGTACGCAGGACTCCACGCTGCCCAGTACCGAGATGCCCATGACCACGATGTGCGTGACCATGAGGTTCCGCAAGACGTAGTCGAGATTCGTTGCCGCGAACACACTGGGAAAACACAAGACAAGACATTGATTAGCGACGTGAAATGTGCCACACAACAGACAATGTACGGTACGTACTTGACTCCGGTGCGAGGGAGCACGATGTCGTTTCCGTCGTCTGGTGCGATTCGCTTCGGCACTTGAGCGCCGAATCCGTGCTTGGGCACGTGGATACCAGCGTGCTTATGCGCACGGGAGCGTTCCCGTCCGTCGCGTGTGGCGCTCTCCACAACCGAGTAAATCACTTCCATGCCTTCAGTCGCGCGGCTCGCGAGCAGAACGTCCTGGATCGTGGGAATGAGGACATTGTCCACACCCTCGTAGAACTCGACGCTTGATCGGCCTTTAGACGGGCTGATGCGGGTCGGCACTGTGTCACGTTTGATATCAAACTCTTCGTCGCTAGCAACACCCATAGAATCCGTCGATCGCTTTGCGCCGTACCCGTGCGGCAGCGTGAAGTAGTTCTGGACGTCCAGGATCACCAAGGCCGTCGTCATCGGGCACCAATGCAGCATGGCCAACGTAGCTGCAGCATGAACATTCTCCACCTGCATTAGCTCGTGCTGGTTATCTCCTCGGCACATTTCGTCTTCACGGTTGCGAGTTCGACTACGGCGTGCTGAGGCACTGCTTCTCATCGACGAGGCCGGCGACCAGTCGAAGGTTAGTTCGCTTGCACTCGTGCTCGGTGTCGCTAGAGCACTCCCCGATAACGACGGAGGGGCGGAACTCTTGGCCTGGGCCTGGGGTGTTTTGCCCAGACGATTCCGGAGCAAGGTCGCTGCCTCTTGCTGCTGGTGCTCGCGCTGCTGCTTCATCTCAATGTTGCGGGCTGCGTTCCGGTTCTGCTGCGCCAATCTCTCTTGCTGGGCTAGCACCCGCGAGGCCGTCTGCGCTCCTAGGAACCTGATCGTGAAGGCCAGCTCCCTGCGGTCCAGGTACGCCTCGCGAATCTCCTGGAAGATGTCAGTCGAGTGCGCGCGTGACACCATCATGGCCGGGATGCTCACGGTGTCGGCCGCATGATCGTGGCGCTGGCCTGCATCCATGACGAACGCTTCCCCGTTGCCGCCGTCGTCGCTGTTGTTGGCCACCAAGACCGCAATCGCGCCCGCTTGCTGCGCGTGGAGCACCTTGGTGACGAAGTCGCATATCCCGCGCTGCAGCACCGCGATCTTGCCCTGCAGCTCGAACGCGTTCTTCAACGGTATGTGGCCCGTCACGGGCTGCGCCACGACGGCCTGCGCGTAGATGTCTTGGCCCTCCCGCACCCCGCATGCCCCGAAGTCGGCCAGCGGGCAGTACACGAGCTGGCCCCGCAGCTCCAGGAACGGCCAGAACATGGGGGTCACTCGTCGGTCTAAACCAAGATATGGGCAACCTTTCACGGCGACTACAGCGACTGAAGCGCCACATTGGTTTGGGCTCGCACTGCACTGGCGATGGCGGCCCTGCCCCCCAGCACCTCCGGGATGGCCAAGCAGTCCCCGCACACGGCCATGGCCGGCGTTGGCTTCCTGTCCTCGCCGCAAGCCTCCGACTACCTGCCGTCCATCTCGCCCACCGTCGTGTACTCGACGGCCCAGGCCGCGTGGACGCCGCAGGAGCTGCAAGCGCTGCACGCCGGCCTCACGCAGTTCCCCGCCGACCAGTTCGACAACGTCACGCGCTACATCAAGATCGCCGCCACGCTGCCGCGCAAGTGTGTGCGGGACGTGGCCTTCAAGGTCAAGGCCCTCGGCTACCCGAGCGGCCAGCCAGCAGCAGCAGCAGCAGCGCAGCCGGCCACCGTCACCAAGCGCATGAAGATCGAGCCGTACCAGGAGCCGAACCAGGCGGCCACGTCCACTGCTGAGCTGGAGGAGGCACGACTGGCGGCGCTGCTGCAGGACAACGTGCTGGCCATCAACACGATGCGCACCAACCTGCTCAACGGCAAAGCGGACGAGAACCGCGCGCAGATGATCAAGTTCCGAGACAACTGCCAGACTGTGCTGTCCGCGTACGTCGCCAGAGCTGTTGCATGCGCTGCTGTCTTGGCAACTGACCTTTGTTTCCTTTTGTTTATGGTCCAGCCTCGGGGACATCTGCACGTCCATTCCGCCGCTGCCCCTGCAACTCGACACGTCGCTGCTAGACGAAGACAACGAAGGCAGCAGCAACAAATGCAACAACACAAGCAGCAACGCCAGTAGCAACAAGAACCAGCAGTAGGAAAGGGTCAACGTCAACGTCAGCTCCATCATCATCAAACTTGCTCACATACCTGGCGGGCGGCCGACCTGCAAACGCGCGAGCAAGGTCCAGCCCCAGTATCTATTGTATTGTCCAAAACAAGTAGACATTGCCTCTCTCAGTTGTTAGCGTCGGCTGTGTCGGTCCGAGCGGCTATGGCGATCACGTCGACGATCTCTGTCGCCCTCTCGGCTGCGACTCCGACTTCGGCTGCGCTTCCTTCGGTCCGACCGACCGCGGCTTCGACTGCGCCTCCTGTCCCTGTCCCTATCTGGCGACCTGCTCGTTTTCCTGCTGCGTCGGTCTCTGTCGGGCGACCTGCTCGCCTTCCTACTGCGTCGGTCCCTGTCGTCGTCCCTCCGCTCGTCGCGGGGCCTGTGGTCCGCATTGAGACCAGAGCGTCTCTCCTTGTCCTTGTCCTTCTCCTTGTCCTTGTCCTTAGCGTCGTCGCGCCTCTTCTTCCGCTTCTTCTTGTCTTCGCCCGGCAGCGTGGGGCGCTTGGTGGCCCCGAGGCCCAGCAGTTTGTGCCGCGGCTGCGGGGCCGCGCCCATGTCGTCCGGGTCCACGTCGCCCGTCCAGCCCATGCCGCGCAGCAGCGCCGCCCCGAAGGCCTCCACGGGCACCGACTCGTACGTGTCGCTGTGCACGTCCGGGGCCTCGGGCCGCAGCGCCACGTCGTGCCGGTACTTGTCCGTCACGTCCTGCAGCGCGTCGAGCCCGGGCACGGCGTTCTGCTGCAGAATGGGCTTCTTCTGGTCGCTTTTGGGCCGCTTGTCGCCGTCCTGGAACAGCTCGGCGCGCTTCTGCTCCCTCGCGTCGGCCACGGGGATCACCAGGTCCCGGAGCTGCGCGCGCTCGTCCGGCGTGGCGCTGGCGGTCTTCTGCGCCTCGACCACGAGCTGGGCCGCCGCCTGCTCGTCGGCCGAGGGCGCGTCGCCGCTGGCCGGGCCTATTCCACCGCCATTTGGGTCCTTCTCCGCGCGCTTTGGGTCTTCCTCCTCCTCCTCCTCCTCCTCCTCCCCCTCCTTCTGCTGGTTCCGCTGCTGCCAGGCGTTGGTCTCCAGTAACGGGATCACGAGCGGCTTCTGCCCGTCCGCCGTCAGCTCCGCGGGCGCGTTCGGGTCGAAGTCCGTGACGAAGACCCTCTCGGGCTCCTGCGGGGCGGTCGGCGCGGCGGCCGAGAAGCCCGCGGACGCCACGAGCGCCTTCTTCCGGCCCTTCTTGAGCGCGAACCCGCCCAGCTTCATCGGTACCTTCCTTTTTCGAGCCCCCGCGTGACCACTGAGATAAAATAACCTATCTCAGTGGCTCAGGTTGCTGGTTGAGACAACTTGAGCCACCTCGTAACCCGGATTTGTATCGGGGGTGGCGCAGGTTGCAGGTTAAGGGGTCGGCACGGACCGGCGTGAAGTTACTGAAAAACTGACATTGTTTACTACGCGCTAACTTGTATCAAGTGCCCAGTATGCAAAACAACCCTTTCATTTTCGAAAAGATCCATGGCGGTTCTCGAGTGCTATTGCTGTCGCGAGATTCGGTTCTCATTAAGAATCCTTTTCAGCAGCTAACGGCACAACATACCCCCGATTAAGAATGCGACAATGTTGTGCCAATAGCTGCAGGCATATCGTAACCCAATTTTTGTGTGGTGTTGTACCGATTGGCTCAGGTTGCTTGTTGGTGTTTGTACGCTTCCAAACTGCTTCTAAAATATTAATAGTTATGACGGAGCTTCTGATTGGCTACAAATGCAAGGGGTTATGTCATAACTTATGGTCAGTCTAAACTAGAATGCTTCCAGAAATTCGAAAAATTGCAATAATCGATTTTAACAAAGTTAATCTCTCCGCCCCGTCCAATTGGAACCGGTGGTGAACCGGTAACAGGTATAACTTCGATCAATTTTTTTACAGTAAGTGATGTCGATTGTCCGAGTGTTCTCGACTTCTCAAGAAGAATGATGGAGGCAGTTCATTCGTTTTATTATTGATTTTGCTCTAAAATCGTTTGTACGTCGTGCGTATAGTGGTGTTACATTGTCGGGCAGATTCTGCGGCTGTGAAGCAGGCGCAGAAGATGCCCTCGGAGCGTGCGGATTGCGTAAATATATGAGCGCTTACAAAACGGCATGGTTTGATATTTTGGCGCAGGTCTTACGAACATGACTAGCGAGACCGCATCAGGGGGCCAGCGATCACCAACCTATCCCAGCCTTCGCGAAGCCCTAGTTCTAGTGTTTGACGTTGAATTAGCGAGCCTAATCGACTGACAGAATTGGCGAAGAGCACATGTATTTCTACCAGAGTTGGCAGAGATCCTGCCACGGCACTATACAAGCTTAGTACAAAATTGCTGCCAGCAACGTATGGGGAGTGACCACGGAGTTCGGGATGGCAAATTCCAAGGTACAACAAAGTCAAAGGACAAAACAAGCAAACTCATCGACCGCTCTCAGTTACAGTAGTAGAGCGCGAGGCGACCGGGACTAAGGACAAGGTCGTAGTACAATGGAAAATTTTCACGTGTATGCCAGTTTTGATATCTTGACCACCAAGTTACGGTTACGGCGTGTTCGCGATCAGTTCTGAGTCTTCCGGGATGCTGGCATGATTCACCGAATCCAGCCGCCTTTGTCCTTTGTTTTTAGCATGGGCACATCGCATGATCAACAGCTGGATGTGAGCGCCTCGAATCCAAGACGATGGATACGTTTGCTTCCTGTTGGGAAGCCTCAACAGATATTCATTTTGAAGAAGTTGTAAGTACAATGCCGGCGTTGGTGAGGCAAGTTGTTCTGACTTGAACTTACCTTTCGTTTACGATGAAAACGTTGGAAACTCCACCAAACCATGTTCGAATGGATTGCTCCGTGCATCACTAGCAAAGCTCGGTCTGGCTGTGTCCATCTGGGATCGGACGCCAGCCCGCGTCGGGCAGGGATGGCGAGCGGTCTCCTGCTCATTTCGGAATTGGGCTCTCCAACACACCGAAGCGGGGATACCTATGCGTCTAGTTTCCGCACTACTCGCGACTGCGGTCGTCCTGCTTATTGACTCCGATGTTACCGCCTCGATGACGTCCGAGATCTCTCAAGTTATTGCCCCATACACCACCCGCGAGCGGCCCGCTGGACAGAGCGCCATGACTGGCAAGCGGTTCCTGCGAACGATTGACGCAACCGACAACGCCGCCGCTGAGGAGAGGATGTTCTCGGTGAGCGCGATTAACGGTGTGCTGGGGAAGGTCGGGTCTGTTGTTGAAACGGGTGGAGCCAAGGTCGTGAAGGAGGCGCCGAAGTTGGAGAAGTACCAGCAGTGGCTGAACGCTGGGTTGTCCCCCAGCCAGGTGCGAGTGGATGTGCTGAAGAAAGCGCCGTGGTTGAGTCCAAGTTTCCCTATTGAACCACGACGATTTCAACCAGTACGCCAAGTTCATGGTCGAGCACAATAGGCGACAGCCGGGGCGCACGATTGCAAAGGAGGCGTCCAAGATGAGAAGTACGAGCTGTGGATGAGTCTCGGTCTGAATCCGTCCCAAGTCCGAGTGGATATCATGAAGAAAGACCCCAGCATGCCGGTGGAGTATCTTCCCCACCACAAAGACTTTTACCAGTACGCCAAGTTCATGGGCGAGTACGAAAAGCTGCACCCGGGGACGACGCCTTTCTTCAATAAAAAGTTTGTGCAGTGAGTGTTTCGTGTAAAGTGAGCGCCTCGACATCTTCAAGGCGGCCGTCCTATCAGATTTTCTAGAAAGACGCAACAAGTAATAATTCATACCAACCCAGTGCCTCGGGATTCGTATTGTGCGTCACCACTGTGCATCTATTTCTACGGACACCAACTCAACTAAACTTGTCCGTCCACTTCATCGCCGACTAAATGCAATCCTCCACCTAGCACGGTTCGACGGCCTTTTTGCTGTCTTATGGAAGTCATGGGGACTAAAGTCACACCGGTCGCGGATACTCGTGCGGCCGATGATACAACGCTCCGTTACTCATCCACGGCCTCATCGACCTTCTCGCAACACCAGTACAGGCCGCCTGCTGGCACCAAGAAGCGACCACGACCTCCACTTGAAAATGGATTATCAGTATCGAGCGAGGCGTTGAGAAGGCGAAAAGCGACGATGTTTGCAGCTGTGACAGCTAGGCGACTCAAGGCCCGAAGCCCTCTGACTCTGAATGAGGAGGTTGGTGAAGAGTACATGCGTCGACTGCGTGCACTCTTCCACGCGAGCGACGCTGACGAGGACAATGCTGTGACACCAAACGAAATGCTGGTACTGTTGGAGCTTATGGGAGGCACTCCGACAGAGGCTCGAGCGTTTGGCGCAACAGCAAGCGGGAAGTGTGTCGCCCACCAGAGGTCCGCCAATACAGTATCATATTGGATTGCACCTGACACGAAGCACTAATAAAAATTGCAATTTCTTAGCAAACAATAATAAAAATTCCCGCAATTTATATTGCAATTTATATGGTGCGCCTAGCAAGTCTACCCCTGCCACTGGTGCCGGTAGGAACCCCAATTGGAATCACCGCTCGGTAATCGACCGGCCAGCTTACACCAAGCTCAGCACGTTCAAACTCACTGATGAGATCTTGAGGCAGGTCAACTGCGGGCTGCCATGTTAGCTCTGCATAGCCCACCCAGCCAACAAAATAATAAGCGGCACCTGCTGGATTAGTTTTTTTCGCGTAGATCGCGTCTACTGTGTAGAGATTGGGACCTTCGCCGAAGTCGGATGAGTTGTCTTCTAACGAAGACGTATCACACTCGTCCACGGCTGGACGTGGACAGCACCATGGCGTCGACAGCGCTTCTTGTCGGAGAACTTCAAGAGGGGCTGGAACAGCTTGGTGGCGTGCCTGCCGGTCGCGTGCCCGCTTAGCTGCCGCTCTCGCGGCAGCTAAGCGTGCTAATTGGCTAGCTATTGTAGGAGTATTTCAAGCAGTATATTATTACACTCATCAAAGGTATATTGAAGGATTGACCTATAATTATTTATTTCGGGCCGACCATATCTTTTTAGAGGGGGATACAGGTCAAGATAGGCATACGCTCGATATGAAATGCATCTTCTTCATCAATATGTCTCTGTCGAGGCTGGGAATACCTGCGTTGAAAAGCGGACATACTTGGTTACATAACTATGATTTTACTTGGATTGAAAGTACAGTATTAGTGTCGTGGCATAATTTAAAAAAATTCTAAAAGTATGAGGAGTGTAAACTTCAATGTTAGGGATGGTCTTATTGAGTTATGTAGCTAGAACGCTCCCCACTATCAATGCCTCTGCTAGTTTAGCTACCCTGCTGCTTGCTAACTCGGGCTACTGTGGAAACGTCCCACATGCCGTGGTTGACCCGGAGAAACGCCAGCTGCTCGAAGTTGGCCGGAAGCATAGATCGACGCTGCGGTGTCAATACCAGCTTGTACTGAGAGAAAATCCGCTCGACCGTGTTTGACGTCGGAGGAACCATTTTCACGAGCGGCATGTAACGTGTGGTACTTGGCGCTTGTTTCCTCTTCTTTCCCTTGCCTTGGAGCAACATCGTCGCGTAGTCTTCTTCCCGCTCCTTGCGCTTCTTTCCTGTGGGTTGTGCCTGCTCGAACCGCTTCAAAGCTGCTGTCTCCGCGGGCGATAGAGCCGTGCCAGAGATGACCTTGACAACACCCGATTCGAATGCAGGCGTATGGACGATCTTGGCGGTCGACTTCAGAGTCTCTGACATGACAGGGTACTCCGCGATGAGGGAGTCGACCATCAGGCGTACCTCTCCCATATCGGTGTCCTCGCGCTGAAGTCGCTTACAGACGTTCTCGAACTTCTTGAGGTGCTCAAACAGCGCGACCAACTTCCGGTGCTTCCCGCCGGTTGGGACTATTTCCTCCACGGCGTCGACCTTCTTGATCTCTGCGTGAATACGAATGTACCTCTCCACCATTGTAAACGTCGAGGACCAACGCGTGACGTTCCGCTTGATAGGGACGAGATCGGTGTACTTCTTCAGCTCGGCACGGTTGTTTTCATGACGAAGTTCCACCAGAAGGTTGTTGACTTCGTCCAGTAAATCGCCATACGGCTCCATGAACTTGTTCACAGCCAGGTTGAAACGATGACTCTCGCAGCCGACGAGGGGGATACCCATCTTGGTTGCAATGGACTGGTTAGTTGCGCAGTTGTCCTCCACCAGAAACCCCACCATGTCGCTGGTCTTGTCGTACACATCCAGGATGTTCTTGAGCAGCTTGATGTGGGCGTCTGCCGTCTGATCGCCATCTTCAAGGGGAGAAATACCAAGTAGCGGTATGCGCAGCTTACCAGCTGTCTCGTAGACGGCGTAGAGAGCAACATAGTGAATGCCAGCGTGGGTCCAGCCGTCAAACATCAGGGCGAAGAGCGTTCCCCTCTTTCCCCAGCTTCTCGCCGACTTCAATTGAGATCCCCTCCATGCACTTCTTGGCGGCCTTGGCGGTCACAGGTCGGAGCTTGCTGATGGTGCATCTTCGACTTCGTGGACGGGCATGTTGCGTTCGATGATCCAACGGACCCATTGGAAGAGATGGCTGGCTTTCTCTGCGACGAAGCCGAACGCTGGAAGAGATCGATCCGAGCTGGCCTGGAGCGATGCGTACGTTGCCTCGTAGCCAGCGCGCTTCGATCCCAGGTGTGCCACCAGATTGGAGTAACCTGACCCAGCCAACTGTTTGCGCACGCTGTTACATAAGTTGCAGCTGAACAGGCCTTGGCCACGCAAGTTGTAGAAGAAGGCGGCGAGTTGCTTGTTGGCGACCATTGTTATCCTGTGGAAATGGAGATATGAACTGCCAGTGGAGCCGTATTTGCAGGCTGCGGAGTTGGTTGGAGCACGTCTCCAAGCCAGTCATTTGCCTTGGGCGAAATGTGGTGTGGTTAACGCCGTTTTTGATGTCATTGGAGGCTGAACAGGAAGCTTTGTACAAAAACTATAGGAGTCCAGCCAAGGCACTTTTATGGAATTTATTGTCAATAATTGGGCCAATTTAATATTGTAGGGGGACCATTGTAGCCCAATAATAAAAATTAATATTGAAAAAACTGATTATTTATTGTATTGCACTATTTTTTCCGACCTCTGTCGCCCACTTATCGTTCGGCGTGTGCAGGAGCGGCGCCCACTCCCGCCGACGAGCTTTGTGGCCCGATGCAAGCCGCTAAAGAACGCGTACCAACGCTGCGATACCGACGGAAGTTATGAGATTTCGCGAACGGAGCTGGAGATCGCTCTACAGAAACTCGGACTTGTGCTTAGTGATGAAGAACTGGAAATTATTCAGGCGCGACTCGACCCGAATGGCGACGGACGCATCGAGTGGAGTGACTTCTTGTACGCAGCGTGGCAGGAGTCACAAGATGAAACAGGAACCAGCAGCACTGCGTTGCACAAGTACTTTTCAGTGGATCTTTTCACTGAACTACCGTCTTTCATTCGTGCTTCCGCCGACAGGCAACGCCAGCAGCAGACGCGTAAGCGATTAAGGAGAGGAAGCGTTTCCGCCGAGCCTTCTGACCAGAACGAAGCCGCAGACGAAACATCTAAGAGTTATCTGTCGCGTATGGAGCGAGTCGGCGTCGAGTTTCTCACGCGTGTGTCCAAAGAGCGTATGAAGCGCGTGAAGCGAGCGACGGTCGCTGTGAGTTTGTCAGCTCGATTTGACAAAAGGGCAAGAACGTCCCAACTGCAGCCAGTTAATCACACCAAAAGCTCGGTATCAGTTCCTACACCCCACGCATTGCCAGCTCCAGAGAAGAGGAAACTTAGTATATTTGGAGGCCCGCGACTGCAAAAGCAAGAAATCAAGCAGACTTTCATACCCGAGCGGCGGTATGGCTACTCTACGGACACAATGCGCCAACTGAGAAATATCGAGTGGACAGGAACACTGCTGGGATTCCTCGCAGGGCTCGTGAGTGGTCTCATCTCGATTGGATTGGAGAGCGTATTGCCTCCGCAACTTACTGTTGACGAGATTTGGGGCTTCAATCGGTATGTACTGCTTATCAATATCGCAGTCTCGCTAGTGGAGGTGACGGTGCTGTACACGATAGCCGTGATCTGTGCGTTCCGCCTGACAGTTAGCGCGGGCCTCACACTATACCCGCTTGACCAAGAGCGTGAATTTCTGGCCCGAGCGGTGGCCCGCGCGGCGCTGCAAGTTGGTCACCGCATGGACACGCTCTTCGGGATGGATCCTATGCGGGGCTCTCCGAAGATCATTCTGCTCCTGACATTTCTTGTGTACAAAAGCAAACGCTACGTCGTCAAGTTCCTGCTCAAGCTATTTATCAAGCGAGTACTATCGAGAGCAGCCGCACGCTCGGCCCTAAGCGCCACCGTCCTTCCGATTCAAGGGCTTTTTGATTCCTGGACGCTACGCCGGGTGCTGCGGAATTGTAGGGTAAATATCATCGGTCCGCCGTGCGCAATCGCGGCCTTGGAAACCTTTCTGCTGGAAGACGCGTGTTTCAAGCCCGCCCAACGCGTAGATTACATGCGAGCGATGGGAAGCTGTCTAGTGCAAGCGCATCGTGCACCCCAACGTCGAGATCATGGTAGAGCACCTGCGTCACCGCTGGATTAATGTGGATTCGTGGCCTATTGGAGACGATGGCTGCACGTGCATGCAGAGTTCTGCCGACGCCTGCCCCGCGCACGTGCTGGACGACGTGGAGCTCTTCCTCGCCAATGTCCGCGCGCTGGGCACCACAGCCGCAGCCGCAGCGGCCGCCTCACGTACCGTGTCCTCGTCGTCACTGCTGTTGCTGTCTCCCTACCACCTGCGTAACCTCTTCTTCCTGCTCGTCGTAGCGCTGGTGATCGACGGCAGCCTGGACTGGGGCGAGCGGCGATTCTACGTGCGCGCGTGCGAGGCGGCGGGTGTGCAAAACCACTGGAGCGGCGTGCTCAAGCTGAAGGAGGCATTCGTGCACGACCAGGGGCTGGACGTGGACGCCATCTTCGCGCTGGTGCAGTTCGAGGAGGACGCAGAGGCCCAGAGCGCGGCGGAAGACTCAAGCAGCGTGCCGTGGCGCGAATCGCTCTCGTATCTGAGGCTGCTGTCCTGCTGAACTGGCGAGTACGTGTACCGTGGCGTGCATAATAGAGGATGTTAGCAACTTCGTAAATAACGACTCAAATTTACGGTCAACATTTTTATGTGTTTAGTTAAAACGAAATCGTCGACAGTGTTAGCATTTTCGTATCCGCCCATTTACGAAATCCAACTGCATTGCGGACACGAGAATGAATGTAATTGGCCGAATCTCATCGGTACTCGGAATTTGATTGGACAAATAAAGCACTTTTCTGTGTCCTGGTAGTGTCCTGCAAAATCCGTTCAAGAATCATTCTCCTGAATTTGCAGGACATCTAGCAGATATACGGGCCTTAGCGCAGGAACGAAAGTCCTGTATTTTCCAAGTCGAAATCTTCCGGCTTTAAATCCTACACAAAACCCAGTATTAGTGGTAGAGGGTAAGCAAAGCCATTCTTTTGTTTTTTTGCAGGACAGCTTGTCCACTACATAAGTCGATTAGCGACGGATCCCCCACAACCCAGCGGACTCGATGAACTGAGGCGCCAAGCAGAGCAAATTCGAGATAATACAGTCGCCCCGAGCTCACGGGCTGCCTACGTCAACTCCTACTGTCGCTTCATCTCGTGGCTTCTTCTGAGCCATCAGAACCTCATTCCGGACGCATTTGCAGGCCGTATCGGCGACGTAACGGGACTCTCCGAGAAGCAATTGCGGCGGCGTATTAAACCCCTGCTCACCAGAAGAAACGACGACCCTCCCGTACTATTTGATAATTTGGGCGCAGAAGCTTTTGAAACGTGACTTTTCACGCTTCGAAAGCAAGATGGTTCATCGCTCAGCTACTCGGCTCTGAACACCCATCGCGCTGGGTTGTTTAATCTCTACAGAGACTACGGCCGTTTAATGGGGCCTCTCATGGAAAACGAGTTGCGCCAGTTCTTCAAAGGGTTGAAACGACAGTTGGCTACAACGCAAGCGCGGGCGAAGGGAACGTGAAAGTGGGGAAGGATCCTCTGTCATTTGAATTGTATGAATTTCTCTGCGACCATTTGCTTGCGCTACCAGGAGTTGACGCCATTTTTTCCCGGACGTACCTGATTTTATCGTGTGTCGCTCCGCGAACGCATTTGGTGTAAGGCACTCACACATTGAGTGGCGTGGAGACTCGAATTAGCTCATATGAAAAACGATCAGAGTGGTGACCGTCCGCGAGACCCGCGGCATGTATATGCCAACCCATCACAACCGAGTATCTACCCTGTATTGGGGCTTGGAATTTACTGGGCGACAACTTCTTTTGACACGGATAACCGCCTGTTCCCTGGGTCGGACCAGTATGATCGATTTCGGAAATGTCTGCAACGTTTGCTAGTGGATGAGAAGGTTGCTGCAGAGCTTAAACGACGAGGGGTCAATTCTAACGATTTGGGGACTCATTCGATGCGCAAAGGTGCTGCAACGTACTGTGCGTCAGGGTCGACAGCTTGTCCGTCATCAACCGCGGTTCATTTGGGTGCTGGGTGGTCTCCTGGCGGTGTTCAGAATACCTACTTACGCTACGAGGCTGCTGGAGATATGTATGTCGGCAGAACGGTTGCTGGTCTTCCATCAGGTAGTCACGAGCTCGCAATTCTACCGCCACATTTTGTGGAGCAAGATGAATGGGTAAAACTTGGTGTTACAATGGTATTTCAAGGGATACCCGAACATTTACTGTTTGTTGGAGAGTTTTGCCTCGCGTCATTAGTGATCACACGCTGTGCATCAGAATGCACCTCCCTCCTCGCCACCCTCTTTTCGAGACGGCATTATTTCAGGATCCAGAGCTTCTCGGGAATTTGAGCTCACGTGTACAGTGTGGATACGCCGGGCCTAAAACACAGCTCAAAGCAACGGGCCTTCCGCCTCATGTATCCATTTTAGGCCAAATGAGAGCACTGCAAGACAATACGCTGTCAACTATCGAAAAGATTGAGGAATCCCGCCGCGAAATTGTGAAGGATATTATTCATGAGCTGGAAGAGCGTGCTATCGGCGCTGGAACTGTCACGTTCGACGGGCTTCATGACGCTCTACGGAAGTGCCTTGAAGAAGCCGGTGTTCACGATCTAGTTAGCCAGCACAACGTGTCAGAAGTACAGCAAGACATCGAGCAGGATCCAGATGACAAGCGAACAGCGCTGCCTACCTTCTTTTGGGCTGGGAGATTTCGTCGGGTCCCCCCTGACTTCGTTTTTCCTGAGTGCTCTGTCGCGCATCTTTGGGTGCTATGGCGCTGCGGGAATGTTGAGAAGCGTCTACCCCCTCTTCGGCTTCTGGAAGGCGCGGACATGCCAAATAGAAACAGTCAGAAGCGCCTCAGTGATGCCCGGTATCTGATGAATAAGATCGAGACGTATGCAGCAGATAGAAACTTACTTCGAGCTGGCCAGACAGTGTCGGAGGCCATCAGCGTGTACGCAGCGTGCGCTCCAAGTATCGAAGTCTCTCTCAGCACTACCCGCGCGAGAAAGCGCCGTCGAGGTCAACTAAGCTGGGTCACGGTAGTCCGCCTGCATCGTGTTGCCGACAAGCATAGACGGCAAGAGTCGCAATGAATGTAATTGGCCGAATCTCATCGGTACTCGGAATTTGATTGGACAAATAAAGCACTTTTCTGTGTCCTGGTGGTGTCCTGCAAAATCCGTTCAAGAATCATTTTCATAAACAATGCATCTGATTGAGGAATGGGCGAGGGCGAGCGGACGCGAGCGCGAGCCTCACTCAGTACATTCACTGGTTCCAACGCCCGCCGATTAGGCGGGGCTGGTCTGCGCGATCGAGCGTAGCGAGCGCTGCAACCCGATTTTTTTTTTCTAGACACCGCGCCTGGCCGAGTCGAGGACTTCGACTAAGGGGGTGGGGCAGGCCGCGTAGCGGTGCCCCCCGAGTGAAGCGAGAGAGGGGCGGGCCCCCCGTGTCGATGTCCGCAGACGAGAGCCAACGCGCGAGTGTCCGCCCCCCTTCAACATGAAAATATGCCCATTTTTTAAAATGGCCCTCTCTGGAAATGGCCCTCGTTAGACTCTCCCGTGTGATTCAGTCTCCCGGCTGCTTCGGCACCGCCGTCGTCCACTTCCCAGCTCCAGCCCAAGCAGCCGAAGCGCGCCATGGTGACGATCATCATCATCTTCTTGGCGACGCTGCCCGAGGACTGCCCACACGCTTGGACGTGATGCCGGCGCAGATCACGGAATTTTTCGACTGCTGCGGCGGGCTGTGGGCCAAGGGCGCGCTGATCGGCAATGTCATCTTTAGCTACGGCAGCCAGGGCGGTGGTAATGAGACCATAGCGTTACCTGCAGACGCCCGCTTGGACGAGATGTTCGGTACAGGTGTACCGGCAAGTGGGCGCTGAAACCTACACTGGCACGGGTAACCGTCAGCAGACGGACTGCAATGGAGCACGGCCAACATTCAGGGCGAGAGATCACCAAGACGCTGTTCTTATAGCTTACAAACACAGGAGGCCTGTGTTTGTAAGCTACACCGGTTGCTGCACAGTACTCGGTGCCGCGAGGTAACTATCATATCAAAGCGTCGATGTCCTCGATCGTATCGCTTTCCTTGTGAATATTCGACGTTCGTAGGGAACTGAGTTCACCATGAACTATGTGCGGGTCGATGGTGGGTGGTTATGGCGAATAATTGTGCGAAGTTAAGGCTGAACTACCACGAAAAATGCACAAGCTTTACTCCGTGCTGTCACGAAATGCCAGTGTTTCGTAGGACAGTACTATTAATAGATTTGTGTCGATCTCGTCCCAGTGAATCGGTGCGCGCACATCACACTCATCCGGTTCTAAAATGGCAATTGCTGCTTTTGCGTTTGCAAGAGGGTAGATATCGAGAAACGCGGCCTATGAAAACGCACTGCGATGAAGAGCGTGAGTGCACCTTCGTGTCGACGCGCGTCGAGCAAGCGTCCTGAATGAGGGAGGCAATCTCGGATCTTTGAGATCTTGAGAGCAATGTGGACCGCCGAGAATGCACCATGATGACCAGCTGCTGCAAGACGAGTAGGGTACACCACGCAAACGATACTTGTGCCTGACCTCGGTGCAGCAAAGGGCTTCTTCTGCAAACTGAGACAGCGCAGGGATTCCATGCCATGGAGCGCTCCCAGCGGCAAATTGAAGCGGGGTTGAAGAGGTTGAAGAGGTTGAAGAGTTTGAAGAGTTTGAAGAGGCTAGAAAGCTTAACCGGCCTCAAACGCAGTGCCTGCAGGAGGCCATTCGCACAGACTGCCAGATTGAAGCAGCATGCTCCTCGTGCCGCGATTCTTGTGGTTGTGCAACACCCGCGATACGCCTTGCTACGCCCACGTTTTCCGTGTTGGAGAAGGGAATGCGGTGCCCCGATCCGCCGTGATCGGCAAGTTCAGTCGTCCTGCAGCAGATCGAGAACGTGCATCGCACAATCCAAGATTGGAAAGAGCTGCGACTGGAACACACACATCACTCTGACTGAGGAGAGGCGACTCAAAAGCGCTTGGTTCACACTCGATGGCTCAAAGTGGCTTTGGTGGTTATGGCGCGCTTCCGTGCAGCTCAGTTTCAAGATGAGATCACCCGCAAAGTCTACATACTTTGGCCGTTTTGGTGTGGGCCTGCAAACACTGGAATGATCTGTGCCGCAGCAGTCCATGCACACATGGATACATGTGTACGTTTGTTTTGTTTGGTCGCACATGTGTAGGTCAAGCAAGTCCAATCGCCTCGATAGGATGCAAAGGGCCGAAGCGAGCTCGTGTGCCTGACCTCGCGAGACGCATCGAGTCGTTTAGATGCGCGCGTGCAGGGCCCGGTCTCGAGCGATGGTCTCCGCCCACGTCGTACGGTGTCATGTGCGGGGGGAGAAGATACCCGGGGACAGTGAATGCTCGTGTCATCGTCGGGACGCCGCCAAGACCCATGAATCTACTTGCCTAAGTGTATCTGGGACGGTTGACTATCGATGCAGCGCATTTGGCGGAATATCCGCATCGAACCCAGGTCGAGTTCCTCTCTCTGCTCGTGACAAGCATGGCGACTTTGCTCGATCTCACGCGAACCGGCCAGCATGACGGCGCCACGCCTGACGCTGAGGCATGCGCCTGACCTTGCTGGCGGCTCATCTATGCAGACAACACCTGGGTCGTTGGGGCCTGCAACGGCGGGAAAAACGGCTTTGATGCAGGATGGCAGGCAGCTCAAACAGGGAACGGCTCGCACGAAGACGACAAGAACACCCAGGACCAGTAGATCTTGCAGGTTGCCGCTGCATCCCAGCTTCGAAGCCACTTGGACTGGGAGGATCACAGACAATGCACTTGAGGGCTAACAGAGCCGACCTCGCTCGTCCCCAGCTCCCAGCACTCAGCGGCAATCGAACTAACTGTCATTACCCAATTTGCCTTCCAACACCCACACACCCGCCACGCCTCCCAATTGGCCATGACCATGGTGTGCAACAACCAAGAGCTGGAGACGCCCACCGGCCATTCGTGGCCACCGCCAGTCTTGAAAAAACCTGCGGCCTCTACGCGCACCCAGCAGAAGCGCGAAGAAGATGAAGAGCGGAAACCCTCCGAGCGCTCGTCCACCGGCGCGTCGTCCTTGGCCCTGGACTCCTCAGTCTCGTTCGACCTTGAAGCCGACGACAACGACAACGACATTGCCGACGAAACCCAAATGCTGCACGACATGGCCGACAACATGATCGGCCGCAACGTCCCCTTCAACACGCCCTTCGGCGTCAAGGCCCAAGTCTACGCCGACTACACGGCCAGCGGCAAGTCGCTCGAGTGCATCGAGCGCTTCATCCATGACCACGTCATGCCCACCTACGGCAACACGCACACCACCACGTCCGTCACGGGGCTGCAGACCACCTCGTTCCGAGAGGAGGCGCGCCACATCATCGCCAACGCCGTCAACGCGCGCGCGTCCAAGGACGTCGTCATCTTCGCCGGTCAGGGCTGCACCAGCGCCATCAACAAGCTGGTCACGGCGCTCGGCATCAACAAGGGCCGCCGTCGCCACCGGGCCAGCAAGCGGCCCGTGATCTTCACGTGCCCGTTCTCACACCACTCGAACCTCCTGCCGTGGCGCGAGAGTCCGTGTGCGGACGAGGTGCAGATCCCCGAGGCGGAGGGCGGCGGCCTCGACCTGGAGGAGCTGGAACGGCAACTTCAACGTCACCAGAACCGGCCGCTGAAGATCGGGTCCTTCGCCGCGGCCTCCAACCTCACGGGCATGCTCATCGACGTGGACGAGGTGTCCAAGCTGCTGCACAAGTACGGTGCACTGGCCTGCTGGGACTACGCGACCTGCGCCCCGTATGTCGACATCAACATGAACCCGACGGATCCTCTCGCCTACAAGGACGCGGTCTTCTTCTCGGGCCACAAGTTCGTGGGTGGCCCGGGGTCGCCTGGTGTGTTGGTCGTCAAGAAGAGCTTAATGAGCAACGAGGTGCCGACGATGCCGGGTGGTGGCACCGTCCTCTTCGTCACGGAGAAGGCCCACAGCTACCTGTCCAACACCATTGAGCGTGAAGAGGGAGGCACTCCGGATATCCTCGGCAGTATTCGTCTGGGCTTGGCCTTCCAGCTGAAGCAGCAGATTGGCCCTGAACGGATCATGGGTCTTGAACGGCAGCACGTGGAGCATGTGCGCAAGTCTCTCGGTCGCAACAAGAACATCATTCTGCTCGGCCGGCAGTCGAGCGACGTGGACCAACTGCCGATCTTCTCAATGATGGTCCGCTTCGGCGACCGGTTTCTGCACCACAACTTCGTGTGTGCACTGTTAAACGACACGTTCGGTATTCAGGCCCGTGGCGGGTGCCAGTGCGCTGGACCCTTCGGCTCTCGCTTGCTCGGCCTCAGCCGCGAGCACATTGTCGACCTCGGCCACGCGGTCGTCGCCAAGCACGAGATTCTCAAGCCGGGCGTGACTCGCATGAGCTTCCCGTACTTCGCGGAAGAGGAAGAGGTCGACTACGTCTTGCAGGCCGTGCACTTCGTAGCCAACCACGGCTGGAAGTTCCTGCCGCAGTACGACTTCAACTGCCGCACAGGAGTGTGGCGCCACATTTCTCGAGCCGAAGTGGCCTTCCCGGACAAGAAGTTCCTCTCGGCTATGCAGATGGACGAGGCTGAAGCTGTGCGCTCGTCGACTGTTGTCGAGCCTATTCACGACATGGCCGCGCATCGCCGACAGAACCTCGAGCAGGCCGCGAAGCTTGCGGATCGCTCCATCCAAGAGGCAGCGGCGTCCAAGTTCCACCCGGGCGAGAGGGTTGCCGACAGCTACGAGGGACTGCGCTGGTTCGCGTACCCGAGCGAAGCCATTGATGCTTTTGAAGAGCTGGATGGGAAGCCTGCGCTCTCGGACGAGATCAGCGGCCCGTGCCAGCCGCAGCGGTACTTTGATCCGGCCATCAACCACGTCTGGGATGGCGTGCCGACGTTGGCCACAATGAAGCGGCACTGGATGAAGATGGCGGCGCGAATGTTCATCGCTCGCTATTGTCTGCCAGGCCAGAGCTCTCCGTTGTTGATGGATATGACTCCCGTGACAGACTCGGAGGATGAGAGCAGCAGTGAGAGTGAAGACTCGCCCCAGCAGCACCACAAGCACGCGTAAATTACTCCACACATATTACATAATACATTTCGTTGGGCATGTAAGAAGGCTGGGACTATGTAGATTCTGGTTCGTGAAGTTCTTTTTTTGGCCTTGGCTTTCGGAGCTTTCAAGATCAAGATCATCAACAGGTAAACTACTCGAGAGCATGTAAACTTCAAGAATGCCAACACAGAGTTTATGTTCTGAAATTCGTTTAGACAGGGCGTCCTCTGTGAATATTGGTTCACTGTTGCCGCGCCCTGACTCCTGCATTTCACGGTGTTATTTTGCCTTCCCGGAGGGGAAGCCTCACTCATCAATTCATTATCCAGAACGTACAGTTTACAGAGGTCGCCGAGTCTATCCAAGACCTCACCGCCACCCGAGTCGGGGTCCGACAATGAAACGTCAAGCAAGCTACAAAGCTCGCGGGCCGCTCCATCCAGATAGCAGCTTCATGGGTTTGACCTCCCGCGGAATCAGAAAACCAGAGGGGCCCCTGCACTGGTTCGTGTGTCTGATTTTGAAAATTTCAAAAAGTAAAAAAAAATAGGTGGCAAGCCCAGCAGGTCATGCCTCAACACCGCTAAATGACGAGTAAAATGGCGATGATACTACAAGATGAAGACGTCGCTGTGGTAGCTTGGCGTCGTTCTCCAAGTTTGAGAAGCAACACCTCGTAGACCCGTCGAGAGGGACTTATGTAGAGGAAGTTTTTCAATGATCGCACAAAAATGGCATAGCAAAGCTTTCAGCCGTACATTTAGATGTCTGGCGGGTGTGTGGTGGTCCGCAACTTATAGTCGCGAGGGTTTCAGTATTGCAGTCAATCGTATTACATGTACATCGTTTTAAGTGAGGTTTCATTTCAGTCTTTTAGGCTAGCTGACCAGTCCATCTCATGATCGTACATGTACATGCAAATGTTCACGGAAAGAAGGTGTCGTCCATCTAAACACCTTTTTCAGGTCGCAATTTGTACGAGTGAGTTGAAATACATCTGTGAGTGATGTGCAAGTACATGTAAAGACGACAAGGGCAGCTCATCGAGCTGAAATCCTCTGCGCCTTCATCACCTTGACATGAAGTGAAAGTCGATCGGCAGGATTTCCCATGACATCTCAAACGACTTGGTGAGGCTTTTTGGTTTTGTCTCGGTGTAGATATCGTAGATACCGTTTGATAACATCCCCTAGGTAGCGGTGCATACGGCGCTAATGCAATCTAATGCATTACTGTAGTTTACTCAACTCGCGACGCCCTCAACGGCGTTTGAGGTACGTGTACTGCAGGCGCAATCCTTGAGGGCCTTCTAACGTCCGCAAGCGCACAACATATTGACCCGCGTGCGTTCCCGACCCGATCTCCGTTTGAATCCGACGAGCTCGTTTCTTTGGCAAATACTGTACTGTACGTATTTAATACATGTATCCCGTTCTCGCTGGCTGTGCGGCAGTGGAAAGCCTCCTTGGCGTCAACGCCTGCGTGACTATGTGAAGACCCAAGTCCTCCCGAGGTGCCCTCCAGCTGGGTCCTGCCTGACCGCGCTGCGTCGCCGAGTTGTCCGCATTAAACTCGTGTCAAAACAGTTTGTGCGGACAGAGGCGCCCGACTTGAGGTGTCTTGCGCTCGAGCGGACACTTCTTCTACAGGATGCACCAGTCAAATCCACCGTGATGATCCTCCGACGCGCAAAGCTTGAGCCCCCGGGTAGTTTTTTGTATGGTGTCGGCAGCTCGCCATCCCAGTCGCCGCTCTTTCGCGCAATAAAGCCGGCGCCTCGGGCTCGCCTGACCGGCGGCACATCGTCCGCCGCCTTCCGGGGATGTGGATCCCGGGTCAGCGGCGGCTCGTTGCAGTGCAAGCACCTCACCGAACCACGTTCGGGGCCTGTCAGTGTCTCCATCACTTTCCAAAACCCCTCCGTGCCCCAGGGTTTATCGGTGCTGGCTGTGGATCTCGAACCATTCACTAATATGCCGCCTACCAGTAACGAGGACAGCACGGCTGCAGCGCTCCCAGCTCCGTGGGTTTCGCAGGTGTTCCGCGTCTCGGAATCGGGGGAGGCCAGGCGCAGTTCGCTGCTAATCCAAGACATCTCCAAGGAGAAGGGGAAGCTCGTCGTCGCCTCGGAAAAGTCCGTGAGCATCGTTGGCTCGGACATCGACCCGCTGGGACTGTCGGACACCTCGTTCAATTTCAACGAGGAGGATGGAGAAGAAGATGCCACGACCTCCGACTCGTCCGTGGTGCGCGGCAACAGCGTCTGCGTGGACAACGAGATGGACACATCCGACGACGAAAACGACGACCAACTGCTGCGCGGTATCGCGGACGACATGATCGGCCGCAACGTGCCGTTCCAGTCGCCTTTCGGTGTGAAGGCGCAGTGCTACGCGGACTACACGGCGAGCGGCAAGCCGCTCGAGAGCATCGAGCAGTTTATGCGCAGCAAGGTCATGCCCACGTACGGCAACACCCACACGACGACGTCCGTCACGGGGCTGCAGACTGCGGCGTTCCGTGACGAGGCACGCCAGATCATCGCGCGTGCAGTGAACGCTCGCGACTCGAAGGACGCGGTGCTGTTCGCTGGCCAGGGATGCACCAGCGCCATCCAGAAGTTCATTTCGGCGCTTGGTATCAGTACCAACAAACGCCTGCGACTCCCCTCCAGGCGCCCCGTGGTGTTCACCGGTCCGTTCGCCCACCACTCGAACTTGCTGTCGTGGCGCGAAAGCCTGGCTGCAGATATCGTGGAGATTCCTGAAGCTACCGATGGTGGGGGTCTTGACCTCAACGAGCTGGAGCGTCAATTGAAGAGCTACAGCGGCCGCAAACTCAAGATCGGAACCTTCAGTGCTGCTTCAAACCTCACGGGGATGCTCATCGACGTCGACAAGATCTCCTCGCTGCTGCACAGGCACGGCGCGCTGGCCTGCTGGGACTACGCCACCTGCGCACCTTACGTCGAGATCGACATGAATCCAAAGGACCCGCTCGCTTTCAAGGACGCAATCTTCTTCTCCGGTCACAAGTTCGTTGGCGGCCCCGGGTCCCCCGGTGTGCTAGTTGTCAAGAAGAAACACATGACCAACGACGTGCCCACGATGCCCGGCGGTGGCACTGTGGTGTTTGTCACGGAAAAAGCCCACAGCTACTTGAAGGACACTGTGGAGCGAGAAGAAGGCGGCACCCCCGACATTCTGGGAAGTATCCGCCTTGGCCTCGCATTCGCGCTCAAGCAACGCGTCGGGGCCAAGACGATCATGGCAGTGGAGCACCGCCGCGTGCAGCGCGTGCGCGAGTCACTTGATGGCATCAAGCATATCGTCTTGCTCGGTCGCCAAAGCGACAGCGTGGACCAGCTCCCGGTCTTCTCACTTATGGTGCGCTACGGGGATCGCTTCCTGCACCACAACTTCGTCTGCGCACTGCTGAACGACCTCTTCGGCATTCAGGCGCGCGGCGGGTGCCAGTGTGCCGGCCCCTTTGGAGCTCGTCTACTGGGTATCAGCAAGGAGCATACCACGGCTCTGGGTCACGCGTTCATGGAGAAGGACGAGGCCATCAAGCCTGGAGTTGTCCGCATGAACTTCCCGTACTTTGTCGATGACGCCGAGGTCGAGTACGTTCTGGACGCCGTCAACTTCGTCGCCGACCACGGGTGGAAGTTCCTGCCACAGTACGACTTCGACCTTCACACAGCGGCGTGGCGGCACACCTCGTGCGCGAACGAGATCCTCCCGACGAAGAGCTGTCTGTCTGAGCTGCAGTTCTTCAGCGACGACACCAGCAGCGTGTCCTCGTCACCTCTCGACGGGCCTATCCGCAGCATCGCTGCCCATCGACGCGAGAACTTGGAGCAGGCGGCACTCAAGGCCGACGCCTGCATGAAGGAAGCGTCGTTGCTCGACACGTTCCCCGAGGGCCAGAAGGTGCCCAAGGACCACGAGTGGCTGCGCTGGTTCGTTTACCCGTGCGAAGCTGTCGCGGACTACAAGAAGCTCGGTGAAAAGGCCCCGTTGACGGACAAGATCACGGGCCCGTGCCAGCCGCAGCTGTACCTGAGCGGCACCATGATCCGCATCTGGGACGACACGCCGTCCATGGCCAAGCTTAAACGGAGTCGCATGGGGCGGATAATGCTCCGTCACTACATGCCGACCCCATGAACAAGCCTGGGGCGGGAGGGGGGGGGGGCTCGAAGTGAGAGCCTCTCTGAAGACCTATAGATTATCGCGTTTTAGTATTAGTGTCGAGTTATTAGCAAGGTGGGGCGATCGCAAGTCCCGCCATCCCAACAGTGTATGCATTTTGAGGCTTAGCACCTCATTACCAGAGATGAAACGTATGTACGTAAGCCGTCAGTGTGCACTTGTATGGACAGAAATACAAGCTATAGTATTTGTTTTAGTGCACATACCTACCGTACGCGTACATGCTCATACATGTACATTTGAGTGTTATTCTTACTCAAAGTGCAGCGAAGAGTCTTCGCTGTCTTCGCCGAAGACACATTCGCACACATGCAGCATTCATGCAATAGCCAGCCGGAATTGATACGCCTCGGGCGGATGCTATCCACACACCATGATAGCGGCCATCCTCCGGTTGTTGCCAGGCATCCCTCACATCCATGATGCGACCGCAAAAGTAAACGATCCGCACCGAGCAATAATGGCCATCCGCCGAATGGTCAGGGCGGGGAGACTTGGTGAAGCTTGGTCAAGTTGATCAACCTGTAACTTACAATATACCACTCCGTTTCAAAAAAGAAAGCATGATTCACCGTGAAGGTTGTTTCAGAAAGATAGCACGAAAAAAGACTTGGTTTGAGTATGGAGGGATTACTGACATCTTCAAATCACGGATGACTTGTACTTTCTTGTGCATTTCCGAAGAGAAAAGCCTACTAGCCATACGATATTCAAGTGTACAAAGGTCAATTCTAAACGGTTCAAGTAAACTAGCACATCAATTGAAAGAGGAGAATTCAGCAGTTCAAGTGGTGCAATTTTTACGCGAAAACGTTGAAAATTGATTTGGAGGGCGCATTTTGACGCCAATCGTGCTTTCATTTTGAAACGGAGTGGTAAGGATTAACACAAGGATACATGTAGTGTTTGTGTAGCCTCCTTCACTCACTATGAGTTGTGCACGAATGCAAAGTCTATGGACCAAGGCACTGTAAGTCGCGGACACGGCGCTGCCCGATGCTGAGTCTCTGGCTCGGTCCGCCCCGTTTCGGCGAGGAAATCCATTGTCGTGTGGCGGATCACAGTGCATTTGTACACATGCAAGTGCATCAGATTGGTGTTTCAAGTGAATCGACCGTTGTCAACTGCTTGCAGAGACCTCATCCAGCGTCGCCGTTGCAGTCAAAAATGTATGCGGCAGGTGTCGACGGCCAGTTGTTGCAGTCGGGGTCAGGCACCTGACGGATGTAGCATACGGAGGCGTGCCACGTGGGAATTGTCGATTCAGGTGCGCCGGGCGACGGCAACGCGGCGCAATATATGCACCTCCGAAAAGGACTCGAAACTCGACCACAACGCGGCAATGGACCAGCGTGTTGCTGCTGCCTCGCAGGTAGGACAGCCGGAGAGGCCCCGCAAGATTCGGTTTGCAGCAAAACTTTGTGATCAGCATCCCAGCGCCTTGTCGGCCGAGGCGACTGGGCTGGACTTGGCTCGCCTATCGCGCCCGCTCGAGGTAGCGATCTCGGATAGACAGGAAATAGTACAGTACAGTGTACTCGCCCGCGCGGTCGAGCAGACATTTGCTGGCAGGTGCATGCTTGTACTGTAGGCCACGCCGTTAGCGAGTGGTATTTGGCGTCTACAGCTGCGATGCCCGAAGATCCAAAATCTACAAGTATTGTTTCTCGCTGCGCGTGCCGGCCGTGGACCGGGTCAGCTTATACCCTCCACCCCCCATCAACTGCATGTACCAGCAGCAGAGTAGCGCGGGAGCCCCGGAGACTGCGCCGCCGCGCAAGCTCTGTGCATGCTGGCGTACCCGGTTGACTCGTCGCTGCGGGGAGAGATACCGCCTCAGCAAGCGATACCGGGAGCGGCGCTGCGCCGCGCTAGCTCTCCTTCCCGCCGTTGCAGGTTCCCGTGGCTGGCGTGGCGTTGGGTGGGGTGATCCCTGGTATCCACCGTACCAGACCTGGTCAACACAAAGCGGACACCAAGGCTATCCGCAGCAGCCCTTGAAGCAAAAATTCTCCCGAGCTGGAGACGCGCCGATCGATGCGATGCGCTCGCGACCGAACCCATTCGGCCCGAATTTCGGGAGCATTTGGTATGGAGATGTCGCTCCTCAGATGGTGCCGCTGCAGCTCGCTGCGACCGAGCTCTCGTCCTTGGTCACGCTGAACAATGCCCATGCCCCTCGCAATCGGACAGGTCTCGTCTGAAGGATAAGAGACGCAAATCGGCGACGAGCGGCGCATGCAACTCGTCGTGGCGTTTCTGCAGGCCGCGCCGTCAAACGTGGCTCGACTGGAGCGCGTCGAGCCTTTTCTCGGCCATTTTGCAGCGTCTACGGCGTCGTGGGGCTGCGCCTTGGACAGGCCTGTCAAGATGCAGCATGTGCGTGCTTGAATACCGGCCGGGGTCCTCAACAAATGGCCGGGTGAGCCGATCGCTTTCGAGACCCTAGTCGGCAGGATGCCTGACCTCTGCAGAGAGCTCCATTCAAATCAGTTGCTGCTGCCTGTCACTTCCAAACTTGACGCCAAACGGTGAAGCGCATCGCGTGGTTGGTGATCCGCTCGCTCGTCTGATACGGTTCGTATCCGCCATGATGCGCCACAGCATTGACGAGGGCGCCCTGCCGCGCCGCAGTCTACTGGCGGTGACCAAGGACTCCGAGGACCCGAATGTGCTCTCCTCGCGCTCCAACAACCCGCTCAACCGCACCGACACATCGTCCATTGACCTGGAAGCCGAACGCATCGACCGGCAGTGCCAGGTGGCCACGGCGACTGCTGCCGCCACCTCCGACGATGACAAGCACGAAACGTCTTCGGAGACCTCATCCAGCTCCAACAGCGTGGTCGAAGCACCGACGCCCGACATGGACGCGGAGTTCGCTCTGGACGTCATGAAGGAGGCCGACCGCCGCATGACCGTGCGCACCTCGATCGCCACCGACCTGTCCTCGGTCGAGGGCGCCACGGTCGAGGCGGACGAGGACGACGACGAGATCGACGTTCAACTGCTGCACGACATCGCCGACAACATGATCGGCCGCAACGTGCCGTTCGAGACGCCGTTCGGCGTCAAGGCGCAGTGCTACGCCGACTACACGGCCAGCGGCAAGGTCATCGAGAGCATCGAGACCTTCATGCGCAACGAGGTCATGCCCACCTACGGCAACACGCACACCACCACCTCGGTCACGGGGCTGCAGACCACCTCCTTCCGCGAGGAAGCCCGCCAAATCATCGGCAAGGCTGTCAACGCCCGTCTACACGGCAGCGGCGCCCGCGACGTCGTGCTCTTCTCGGGTCAAGGATGCACCAGCGCCATCAACAAATTCATCAATGCGCTCGGTCTCACCACGATGCGGCGCCACCATCGCGCGTACAAGCGGCCGGTCATCTTCACGTGCCCGTTCTCGCACCACTCGAACCTGCTGCCGTGGCGCGAGCTGTACTGCGCCGATGTGGTCGAGATCTCGGAGGCCAAGACCGGCGGCCTCGACCTGGAGGAGCTCGAGCGCCAGCTCCAGAGCTACCAGGGCCGCGACCTCAAGATTGGCACGTTCGCCGCTGCCTCCAACCTCACGGGCATGCTGGCCGACGTGGACGAGGTGTCCAAGCTGCTGCACAAGTACGGAGCCCTGTCGTGCTGGGACTACGCCACCTGCGCCCCGTACGTCGACATCGACATGAACCCCGAGGACCCGGCCGCCTACAAGGACGCGGTGTTCTTCTCGGGCCACAAGTTCGTGGGCGGCCCCGGTTCGCCCGGTGTGCTGGTGGTCAAGAAGAAATTGATGAGCAACAAGGTCCCCACCATGCCCGGCGGCGGTACCGTGCTGTTCGTCACGGAGAAGGCCCACAGCTATCTCGCCAACAAGGTCGAGCGCGAGGAGGGCGGCACCCCCGACATCTTGGGAAGCATCCGTCTCGGCCTCGCTTTCGAACTCAAGCAGCGTGTCGGCCCCAAGAACATCATGAAGCTCGAGCGCCAACACGTGCAGCACGTCCGTGAGGTGCTGGGCCGCAACAACCACATCGTGCTGCTCGGCCACGACAACGTGGACCAGCTGCCGATCTTCTCGTTCCTCGTTCGCTTTGGTGACCGCTTCCTGCACCACAATTTCGTGTGTGCACTGCTGAACGACCTGTTCGGCATCCAGGCGCGTGGCGGCTGTCAGTGCGCCGGCCCCTTCGGTGCCCGCCTGCTTGGCCTCAGTCGTGAGCATATCACTGCTCTGGGCTATGCCGTTGTCGCCAAGGACGAGGTGCTCAAGCCGGGCGTCGCACGCATGAGCTTCCCGTACTTTGCTGATGAAGATGAGGTCGAGTACATCCTTGAGGCGGTGAACTTCGTGGCCGACCACGGCTGGAAGTTCCTGCCGCAGTACGAGTACGACCCTCACAACGGAGCGTGGAGACACGTTTCGCGCAGTGCCTCCTCCTTCCCGGCCAAGAAGTACCTGGCTAGTATGCAGCTTGACGACGTGGAAACGGTGCGCGCCTCCGTGTGCGTCGCCCCTATCCGCAGCATTGCTGCCCACCGCCGCGAGAACCTGGAGTGGGCCGCTGTGCTGGCCGACGCCTGCATCGAGGAGGCCGTGTCGGCCGAGGAGTTCCTGGAAGGTCAGAAGCTGGTGCCGAGCCACGAGTGGCTGCGCTGGTTCGTGTACCCGCACGAGGCCGTCGCCGCCTACAAGGAGAACGGCCAGAAGCCGATGCTCGCGGAGACGATCGAGGGCCCGTGCCAACCGCAACGCTACCTCGACGGATCGGTTCACAAGGTGTGGCAGGGCGTGCCTTCCATGGGCAAAATGAAGCGCAGCCTCGTGGGACGGTTCGTGCTGAAGGTGTTCATGAGGGAGGAGCTGAAGGCCATGAAGGACAAGAGGTCCGACGACGAGAAGTCCGTGCTGAAGGAGGAGGAGGCCATGTGCGTCGTCTTCGGCGGCTCGGACAAGTGTCAATACGGAAGGAGTGAGTGAGGTTGTTGTAAATGGGGGCCCGCCCCAGATTAGAGGTGTGGGCAGCGCTGGTCTTAGCTTTAGCATAACATAGTGAAATGGAGCTCATCAATATTAGAGCCTTTCGACTCGCTTCGGTGAGTCAGCTTCAAGTGCAGCAATATGTCGATCCCACGGCTTCAAGCGCAAGTCAATTCCCCCACTCCCGATGTTTGCTGCCACCCATGAGGCATGTGGCAGTGTGACTGTCACGTTGAGCAGATCACCGCTAAGGTATCATCACACACAATAGCTCACACCTTCTACGAGCCCTGGGGAGAGCCGGGCTCCTGGGTTCTTGGGTGAACCCAAAAAGTCGCGAGCTCGGGCTCCTGGGCTCTTGAGTTCAATAGGTTAAGTGAAAGGAGCCCTCCAGAACTGTGAGCCCTCGTTAAGGGCTCCCCCTCACCTGTGTTAAATATCTCGCTGATGATTGGCCGTCATTGAAGTATCTCCAGGTTCTAACCTGAAAAGGCATAGGAAAGAGGGCTTCTCCTTGAGGGGGAGGAAGGACTATCGGCGACGCTGGGGTGGCCTCGGAGCGGCTGTACACATATGAGCGGCGCGAGATCTTCTACTGTGGCGATCTTTGAGCTCGATCTTCTAGCGTGGCGCATCGATCACGCGAAGTTGCTCGCCTTAAGTCTAGGTAAAATTGGCCAATCAGATATTACTATGGAGAGCCCGTCATAGATTTGAAGCTAAATTTGGGGAGCCCTGGAGCCAATGGGGAGCCCGAACCAGGGCTCCTTGATCTCGTACTTACCATGAGGGAGCCCATTTTGTGCGACTTTTGGCTCTCGTTTTAGGGGGAGTCCACTTTTGAAGTAGACGGGCTCGGGCTCGTAGAAGGTGTGCAATAGCTTACTTAGGCGTCGTCGTCTGCGCGCCAACTCGTCATGGATGTAATGCTCTATACTAAAAAATGTCCTCAGGCTCAGCTGTAAACTCCCCAGCACCAAATTTCAAACGGCTACATGTAGTACTTGTACGGCCAGGTCGCCTGAAGGTTCGCCTCGAAGTTGACGTCAATGAACGGGACCTTGGCGTTCTCGCCAAAATCGGTGTTGCTGAGAGCGTCGCGCGCTGCATCGGCCAGTTGCTCCCACATAATGAGATCTTGGAACTCACCGCCCTTCATCCAGGTCGTGTCCACCGTGTGGAAACCGCTGTTCTTGGAATCAGCGAGGTACAGTTGATCATGACGCTTGTGCCGTTCATGCCATCGGGCGGAGGTGGGGTGTACTTCGCGTACGACGACATACGACGAGGGTGCGACGCCGATATCTTTCGGGTTCTCGACGGCGTTGTCGATCCAAACCACGACGTTGACCCAGTCAAAGCGCTGGCCCTTCTTTGAAGAGAGAAAACGTGATTTTCACAGACGAAAAACGCAGAATCACAGAGCGTGCAGCAATTTCACAGAGCAACGTTTATGACAGAACAGCTGTCTGAGGAGACTCAACTCCCAGTGTAACCTCCAGGGTTACACTTTTGGTAGTCACTATTCTGGATGTATGACCTATCATAAAGGACAGAATTGCTATGATGGCCTGCAGTCATCACACCTAAAGCTGTGGACGGCGTCAGATCCATCAGCAGAAATAGAGCACTAGCACTGTCACTACTGGCTGAGTGCCAGCAGAAATACACAGTGCTCCTTGCCACATGCAATTCTGCCAGCAGAAATACATAGTGGTCTTTGCCACATGCAATTCTGCCGGCAGATATACATCGCGGGCCTTGCCACATGCAATTCTGCAGGCAGAAATACATCTTGGTCCTTCTTAAATGCAATTCTGCTAGCAGAAGTACATAAGGGCAATACCGGCAGCAGCAAATGCAATTCTGCTGGCAGAAATACCGGCACTTGCGAACTGTACGAGCAAGGACCCAGCCGAATCTGATGGGTGCTGTGTGTGTTTTCTCTCCTATGTGATACTATGCCGTGATCGAGTAGATAGATGGTATTTTGTGATGTGCGCTTGCTGCATGAATACCTGCCGCCTCGTTGCACTAAAACTGTGCTCCTCGCGACCAGACAATGCTAGGAGCAGAAGTTTCATGCTACACTGCAAGATAAAAGCTGTCGATCATCATCGTGCTACAGCCTTAAAGAGGCAGACGAGGCTGTAGTTTATGCATTGAGGTGTAGGAAGTATTTTATAATATATAATAGCGCATCCTACTCGCCTACAGGAAACCTCGTCGATGGCGCCAAAGTGCTGAACGTGGTCTCCACCGGACGCAACGCCAGTCAGTCTGCCGCATGAGTCACCACTATTTGATCCTATATCGACCTGCCTTAAGAGCTATATCGACCTGCCATAAGAGCGGCACAACGCATGGGGACTCGAGTGTTTCATTGCCGCGCTTCCAGCTCGAGAAGCATACCTGACTGAGAGATGTGTGTGCTACCGCCGCTATCGACGCGCTCAATGGCCACGGCCAGCTGTGAACGGCCACGTCGACATGGTTGAGAGACTTGTAGCGCACGGCGCAAGTGTCTTTTCGACTAGTGCTCCGCCCTCCATCGGGCTGCTACTCGAGGCATGGCAACCGCAGCCTGTGCTACTGCACGCTGTAGCAGCTAGCTCGTATTTCACTTCACTCTATGCCATTCTAGATTTATGCGGGTGATGTACACGTAGCCCTGTTTCATCCGCTTCGCGTTACCACGATCGCGTAGCTGCACGACGCTCCCCCATGCTTAAATACCTCGCTTTTCAGTCGAGCTACATGCGTTAATAGCGCGCCTAGTTCGAAAGTAGGAGGCAGCGGGGGTGGGCTGTAGTGATCCCTCATGGGCGCCACACCACAAGAAGTCCCCACTGTACGCAGGCATTGAGCCGGCCAGTAGCAGCAATAATATGCAATAGTAAATGTGCGGCAATTCTGCGGCAGAATTGCGCGGGTTACGCTGTGCCGACAGGAGCGTGCTCTGTGAAGCAATCGCTGTCTCTGTGATTATGCACTACCGTCTGTAGTTTGACCCCACGCTCTGTAAAATGACCCCACGCTCTGTGAAATGACCATCTTCCTCTGTGATTAGAACGCTCTCTCTCTTGAAGAGCGCGGCCGGCACGTCTTTGGGGAAATACCCAGGCATCAACAAATTAGGATATTGTGCCTAATGCCCATTTGGACTTGAAATCGGCACTTTGGAAATCTTGAATTAGGCACCATACAAAGATCTATATATTACTATGGCAAGTGAAGCATATGAATTAGATAATGTGTTCTACAAGTCGCTATCAACAGGTTTGTGTTCCTAGCAAGAGATATATTCATGGGGCCGAGTGTGAATCGTTCTCACACCGGGACTAATTCACGGGTAGTCCCGACACTGCGTCGATCAAGAATTTCAGTCTGTGTGGTGGTGATGCATGGTCCACCAAGCTAAAGAGCTGTTGTTACCCATAATATCTGATAATTTCCATGATGCGCAACAGAGCGCAGGTACAGTGTAGCTGCTCCTTGCTCGTTCTGTGGTATCCACAAGTCAATGTAAGGTAACGAAGATTTGATAATAAGTCGATTGCCAGGTTACATGTAGTTAGTTTATTATTTAAAATATTTACTTTGGTATATTGGTCTGTTACGATTGCCTGGTCGACCCAGCCCCATCTCATAATTTGGCAGGTACGGCTGCCGCGGAATGCGCTGTCATGTATGAGAGCTTGATTGGCGTGCCAAATGCACAGAGCAGAGGGAGGTCGAGCTAGCACGAATTATATTGGCGCGAAGCTTGAAGGCATAGTGACGAAAGTAACGGGAGGAGGGTGGTGGCAGTGGTTATTGTAGCGGCGACGGAATGAGTGGTTCTAGTAGTTCTAGCCCAGCTGCTACTGCGCTAAATAAGATAAAAGCACCGAGAAATACATGTACCAACGACATAACCATCAATGGACCACTATTTACTATAGAACCGAGCCTGAAGCCATTCTCTTAAACAAGGACATTTTGAAAACTCCATTTAGGTACTTTGGATTGTGTATGTACCAAGTGCCTAGTTTGTTGATGCCTGGAAATACCACGCGTACATGACGGCCCAGAGATCGCTGTACTGTACCATCCAGCTCGGCCGTAAACGAGACTCAAACATGTTTTTGGACAAGAGCAAACACTTTTGGGACACGACCAAACACATTAAGACAAAACCAAAATCAAACACCTGTGCAGAGCAGAAACAAACAGATTCAGGGAAAAACCAAACAAAAAATCGGGCACAACCAAACATCCAAGGGTGCTACATAATAGTGTAGTCCACTTTATTTGTAGTCCCCGTCCTACATTAGGAAATTATGTGCGATGAGGGCCGCGACATACAGAATCCAATATATATGTAACCTAACCAAGTCCGCTTATTATGCGCCGAACTTCACAATAAACTGACTGAGTTCGATTGTTATGCGCCGAGCTTCACGATTATTATATACCGAACTTCACAATAAACTGACGGAGTCCGAATATTAAGCGCAGAAGTTCACAATAAACTGACCGATATACTGGATTACGGTGATTTACCTTAAGTTCGGCGGTGGTCCTGAAGTAGAGGCGTGTGTACACCAAATAAAATGATAGGACGGCATTGCTCATTTGCTGCTTCGCACAAGCCACAAGACACTTGGTTTGAATCTCCCGCGTCGTCGCCTCAACGCACCATGGACACCGCCGACTCGACACCAGAACCTCACCAATCATGGACCATCATCGCGGAGGGGCCCACCACGGAGACCTACACGAAGGCGCGGCTCTCAATTATGTGCTGTTCCGGTGCTTACGCCAAGCGCGTGAAGCTTTGCCACATTTGCCTAGGCGACCACGAAATGGAGGAGCGGCGTTTGCGTTGCTCTAGTGCTACTTGTGTAAATCTGTCGGTGCCAACCGGACGTAAGAAACCGCAGTGCAGCAAAGTGTGGAAAGTTTGGCAATGCTCACAGTTTCATACCTGGCAAATTATGGCGACTGTGGTTCCTCACGCGCACGGGGACGCCTGTTGTGAAGGCAAACACCGTGCGATTATTACACCCGCAATGAAGAAGTACATTGGCGATATGGATGAAACGGGGCTCGCGCCCAGGCACATTTGATCTGGTCTGCGCCGCTACAGCGCAGCTCCACCGCTAAATGATGTGCCGTCCTACAAACAAGTCGCTCGCTGTGTAAAGCATTTGCGAACGAAACATGGAGAGCGCAATTCAGTGGGATCGTTGAAACAATTGGTGCGTGAGTTTCCGCTCTCGTCAGGGATTGACGCAGAAACAGCGTTTGTTTTTGGCCCGACGCGTGATGACGAAGGTTTACCGTGTGTTGGAAATGGAGACGATCACGATTCGTTGGTTTTAGGTGTTACGACGCTTTGTGTAGTGGGCCTACCTTGGCTCACTACTACGGCTTACACGTATGCGCACGTATGCGCACGTGTATGAGGAAGCGTATGTTTCTTTTACTTGAGTTAAGTATACTCGAGATCCACGAGTATACTTTAAACAAGATAAAGACTCCAAGTAGCGTGTTTTGGTAAAAGATGAGAACTGCTATTTTTGTTTTATGTTTCTGACTTCCTCTAAATGTAATATTCTAAGATAGGAATCTGCCAACGGCTGGTTGGCAGAATTCCAATGCTATGCATGTCGCTCATTGGCTAAAAGATGCTGCTTTCAGCCAATAAGAATCCTAAATGTGTATGCACCACCGTCGTGGTGGTCGTAAATGTATGTAGCCATTGGTGTACCTTACACCAAGGTCGAGGAAGTGTTCAAACCTCTAACAGACATCGCATCTGTTAGAGTAACAAGTGACTGTAGCCACTTGTGCGTGTAACCCCGTTACATCATCCCCCCATCAAGGTTAGACGTGCCGGTCTCGGCACGTCTAACCACCATTGACCGTTTGGTCAATGCGTGACGTTTGAAGAGAGCATGCTCGTTCCGTAACGAGCACGTCGAAGTTGAAGACCCCTGGCGCAGCAGCGGAGGACATCTCTGCTGCTGGGTATAATGCGCGGCAACGTGCGAAGCGCGTCGCTGCCACGGGGGCAGGTACCTACGTCTGCCCTCGAAGTGCCTTCGGGCGCTGTTGTTAACAACAGCGCTCGTATTACTTTCCCGCATGGTGGGCTTCGTACACCCTCACCATGTCCGGGACGTCTTCAAGCAAGACGTTCCGCGGCTCCTATGTATCTTGGTTGGGAGGGAATCCTCTCCAACGGATACGAAAACGAACCGGTTGCCTGTTCGTTCTCGGGATACTGTGACCAACAATCCGCTCAACTATCCATCGTGTTGAGCCGTGTGCGTCACGAATTTGCGGCGGTGGTGGTGGAAACACGCCTCGTGTGTGGTCAACTTGGTGTTGACCCTGATCTCGCGTCTCCCCACGACCGAGTTCCGGTCGCGGAGTAGTTCTAGAGCGCTGTGTTCGGCGCTCTGAAGTATCCTCAGGTTACGGCGGCCTCCCAGGCCGCCTCGATCGTTCCGGCCGAGCTGGACCACGCTGCTCCAGCGCGACTTCGCGCTGGTGAGGATGACGGCTTCCGCCGAGTCTTCTGCTTCGGTTCAGCCGAGCTAGGTAGCTCGTACTGCAGGTATGGCTTCAGCCGTCCGACGTAGAACGTCGAATGGAGGCGCATACTAGACGGTATGTCCAGTGTGTAGGCGTTGCCGTGCCAGCACAGCGAACGGCCCGATGTAGCGCGGAGCGAGCTTGCTCGCCCCGAAGTCGGAAACTGCATGTTTAGACAGGTTTTGAGTAGCTAACAAAACCAATGAACCCTTCTTGAATTCATTTGTGTTGCCCCTGCCAACGTTGTCTGCGTTCGGCTTCTGTCGATCAACAGAAGCTGCAATAGCGTCTTGGACAAACCGAATGACGGCTTGTCTGCGCTGCAAGAAGTTGATTGCGTCCGAGCTGAACTCGTTCAGCTCGTTTTCAGCAGTAGGCCCGGCCTCTGCGTTCGTCGTCGCGGTGTCTGTGCCCTATACATACCCGTTCTTCTTCTTCTTCTTCTTCTTCTTCTTCTTCTTCTTCTTCTTGGTGTCTGTGCCTCGCACAGACACGTTCTTCGTGCGCTTGTCGGCGTCTGTGCCCTGCACAGACGCGCGGTTCTTGGCTTTACTTCGTGTCGTTGCGGCTGACACTGTGCAAGTGTCAGCGGTACTTTGCGGCTGCCGCGTTGCAGTCGGAGATCCTCCCCCACTTAAAGAAGGAGCCACCATCCCGAGTAGACTCGGAGGCGTGGGTGCCTCATGGCATTCACGTAGAACGGTGTATGCCCAGTCGAGGCATGTACCGAGTTGTTGATGGCGAACTCCGCCATCGGTAGACACTCGCTTCAGTGTTGGAACGAGTGAGCGTAGCTCTTAAGCACGTCAACGAGCACGCGGTTCACGCGTTCGGTCTGCCCGTCCGTCTGCGGATGGTCCGCAGTCGACATCGAAAGTTGACTCCCAAGAAGTGTAAACACTTCTTGCTAAAGATGTGCAGTGAAGCGCGGGTCCCGATCCGACACAATGTCGATCGGCATGCCATGGTGTTTGAACACCATGTCAACGAACAGACGCGCCGTCTGCTTCGCAGTCACTTTAGCGGGTACCGCAGCAAGATGTACCATCTTGCTGAAGTGGTCAACAAAGACCACAACGCCTGTGTTCCCCTGGCTGTCCGGGGGAAGACCGAACACGAAATCCAAAGACATGGACTGCCAACACTCTCGTGGAGTTGGTAGTGACTGCAAGGGAGCCTGCGCGAAAGGCGCAGGCTTCACACGTTGACAAACCTCGCAAGCACGGACGTACTTGCGCACCCATTTATACTGGAGGGTCCAGTAGAAGTCTCGCGTGAGAAGAAGGTATGTCTTCTCACGGCCCGGATGCCCCGCAGTCGGTGCATCGTGATACTCGTACATGATCCTGAGTCGCAGGTCATGGTCATTGGGCACGCCAACGCGGTCTGCGTTGTCGTCGACTGCACTGTAGAGTAGTAACCCGTCGTGCACCCGATAACGGTGTGCACGAGCACGAAGATGCTTCGGCAGCTTCTGACGAGCTTTGTCAGAAGGCGCTGAGCCGTAGACCAGCAAGAGCTTCGTGTCCGCGTCGTGCGCGTACGTGACCTTCACGTCGTCCAACAGTGACGACGTTGGGGTGCTCGATCGCATGGCGTCAATGGCATTGACGTCGGCATCAGTCGTGGCGTAATCAGGTCAACGCGAGAGCGCGTCGGCCACCACATTGAGTCTTCCGGGTTTGTACTCAACCCGGAAGTTATACTCCGCGAAGAATGAGAGCCATCTCGCCATCCGTTGCGAGATGTGCGGCGACTTCACAGCCGTCCGCAGTGACGCGTGGTCCGTATAGACCACGAACGGTTTGCTTCCGAGTAGATACACTCGGAACTTCGCGAGTGCGTACTTCATGGCAAGGAGCTCCTTGTCATGTACGGGGTAGTTGCGCTCAGCTGGCTTCAGCTGACGCGATTGGTAGTAGACAACACGATCACGACCCTCGTGATCGGGCTGCATCAACGCACATCCGATTGCGAAGTCGGATGCGTCACATACAACGTGGAATGGGCGATCTTGGTCGGCCACCGCCAAGATCGGCGCCTCAGTCAAGCCCCGCTTGACTGCATCGAAGGCCTGCTGACACTCAGCAGCCCAAACCCACTCGGCGTCCTTCTTCAGGAGCTGTGACAGCGGGCGTATCATGTCCGCGTAGTCCTTCACGTACTTGCACAAGTCTGTGGCCAAGCCAAGGCACTGCCGCAGTTCCTTGACGTTAGACGGCGTCGGCCACTCATTGATCACTCTGACCTTCTCAGGGTCAGGGCGGACACCGTTCTTCCCAACGAGACACCCGAGCACGGGTATCTCGCTCGCCCCGAAGATGCACTTCTTCAGGTTCGCATAGAGCTTGTGCTTGCGCATGAGCGCAAGCAGCTTCCGGAGATGCACCTTGTGCATCTCAACGTCGCTCATCCCGTCCGCAGCTGGCTGTGGACGAACCCATCGTCGAAGTAGCTCGGTGCGAAGTCGCACACCGAGCGCAACAAGTGCGTCACGCACCTGTTGAAGGTCGCAGGGGCGTTCTTCAGCCCTTGCGGCATCACCAGCCACTCCTAGAGCATGCCGCTCGGCGTGCTCACAGCCGTGAGAGGGATATCGCTCTCACGCATGAGGATCTGATAGAACCTATCGCGCAGATCAAGAGCACTGTAGATAGTGCACCTGGCCATCGAATCGATGATGACATCTTTTCGCGGTATCGGTGTCTGCGCCGGTATCGTCGCATCGTTCAGCTTGTTGTACGCATGAACGATGCGCCAGCCGCCCTGTGGCTTCTTGACACAGAACGTCGGAGCACTGTGCGGGGACTTCGATTCCCGCACTTGTCCAGCTTTGCGGCGACTCTCAAAGAAGTCGTCGATCGCCTTGACCTGCTCTCGCGGCAGTGGCCACTGCCGCGTGACACAGTACTTCGTGCCCGGCACGAGATCAATCTCGTGCTGGGTGCCCTTGTCCTGCGGAAGCTCCGCAGGGATCTCTTCCGGAAGCACGTCCGCGTGCTCCTGTAGAATCTCGTAGAAGGGACTCGACTTCAGCGAGTCCCAGCTCTGCTCTTCAAAGCGCTCCTTCTTCGTCTTCGCACTGAGAGTGTCCTCACTCTCAGTGGTGGTCTCCATGAAGAACTGCCTCAGTTCTTCATTCTCGCTCTTCGTTCTTTCGGCGTCCGAGAGAATGCATATTTGCTCGATGCGTCCATCGTGCAAGTCACGCGCGAAGCGCTTCCAGCTCATGACTGGAAGCGAAGTAAACTCCGACGCTTGCGTCGGAGGGTTAGCGAGAGTCATCTCCCTGTACCGGAATCCGGCAAAGGTACGCGTCAAGACGTTCAGCGTCTCGACGTCCGGCTTCTCAGCCTCCGTCTACCCAGCAGACATTTCTTGTAGCGTCTCGGCCCCAGGCCAAGACTTGCGCAGCGATCTTCGCATGCGCCGTCTTTTTGTTTTGCGGAGCCCGGCTCCGCATGATTCATGACCTCGTCCAGGCCCAGTCGTGGACGGGTGTTCTTCTTGTATACCGCCGGCGGGTACGTCCCGCGGGCGAGCGACTTCAAACCCGGCTTGGTCGCCCGGCGCTTCGTCGTGCAGCCCGGCTGCACGACAGCATGCAAGTTTTTCCGGTGCGGGACGTTTGCAACCGTCCGCACCGCTTGCAGCGTCGACTCCCGGAGTCAACACGCCATCTTCACCTCGACGCCTGTTATTGGCGGAGCCTTCGTTACAAAGAGTGCGTCGACTCCCGGAGTCGACGCGAAATTCCTTTTCGCAGCGCCGGTTCCCGGAACCGTCGCGACTTTAATACCTCGACGCCAACCATTGGCGGAGACCCCCATTACGTAGGGTGCGTCGGCTCCCCGAGCCGACGAATCAAACTCGTCCAAGCTATCGACTCCCGGAGTTGATGCGACTTCAATACCTCGACGCCAACCATTGGCGGAGACCCCCATTACGGACGATGTGTCGGCTCCCCGAGCCGACGAATCAAATTCACCCAATCCATCGACTCCCGGAGTCGACGGCGTTTCGTCACCTTGGCTCTTATTATTGGCCAAAACTGATGCAATCAGAATCGCGTCAGCCTCCACGGCTGAGGCGTGTGACTCGCCTGCGTCATCCGTACCCCTTGAGGTCGGAGACGCTTCCTGATTCGCTGAAAAGCGGGTGTCGATCTCCGAGATCAACACATTTTCTCCTTCAGCCGTCGGCGGCGACGCCGACGCTTGCTGCTCGCGCGCGCCCAGGGCGCCGGGACAGCGGCGTTAGGCGCTGTCTCGAGTGGGGAGTCGCGCGCACCTGTCGGTGCGTGCGTAGCGGCAACAGGGCCATCGCTCACTGTTCCGCTGCCGCGACCGAAGCGCACGAGAGTGCGCTTCTCCCAATCGATGACCGGATCATGCCGTGGCATGCCCAATACAATGTCAAACTTATCGTCCATATCCAGGACGATAAAGGTCTCGACAAACTCTTGATCTTCATACGTGAAGCGCACGCGTACCATGCGCTTCTCGGTCTTCACGACGGCACCCGTTGCCAGTCGTACTTCCAACATCCTCGAAGTCAAGCCTTGATAGACTTCGCAGTCGAACAAAGTTCTTCGACGCGCCAGAATCTACCAAAGCACGGAGAGAGCTGCTTGCTCTCATCGAGTTCACATTCAGGATGACAAGGTCAGGCTTGTCATCTTGGTTCTTGTAGTGAGGATGAATCTCACTGGGGGCTGCAGTCCTCAGTGTCGCGTGTCCAAGGTCGACACGCGGAACTGCATTACCAGTAGGGCGCCCCGCGCCTACTGGGTTCCAGCGTTTTTTGTTTGTCCGCGACGATGCCCGGCATCGCCGCGTCGACCACCATCTCGGTGCCCGGGTGCCGTGCACTCTCGAGCATAGTGACCGATCCTTCCGCAACGGAAGCATCGTACATTACTTCCTTGTTGCTGTTGATAACCAACAGCCGTTGCATTCGAGAGGTTCATTGGTTCCGGACCTTCCGCTATCGCGACCGGAGGTGGTTGCAGCCTCGGCGCATTCGCATGCAGCTTAGCCTGTCGCAGGCTAAACTCCTCCTGCATTGCAAGAGTAATTGCAGCTTCGAGAGTACTCGGGTACTCACGGAAGAGATAGGTCTTCACAGGCCCATCTCTCAGTCCCTTCATAAACGTGACGACCTTGGTCGCCTCGTCGATCGGATTGGTCTCGATGTTCGAGACCAAGTACCGTGCTCTCTGCGCGTAAGCATGGACATCGTGCTTACCCTGCTGTAGGTCGAGGAACTCTGCCCTCGACCGAAACTCATTTTGCGGGGGCTCAAACGCTTGCCTGAGCTCCTCCTTGAAACCCTCGTACGTGCTGAAGCACGTAGGATCAGAAAGTCGGCGTCCATACGCCCAACTTCCGCTCGTCCGCCAAGGCATGACATGGCGAACGCAACCTTGGACAACGGCTCGACGATACGTCGAGCCGCGATGGCAGTGTCGAGTTCGACAAGCCAACGGAGGAGAGGCTCGCCCTCTCTTCCGACATAGTTGCTCACGTTTAGCTTCAACGTTTGCTCGCGCGGTGTCGTCGGGGACGACACCGTGATAGAGGAAGCAGCATCACGCTGCTCCTTCATGATGAATCCCAGAGCAACACCGTGTTGCTCCGTCGGCGATAGTGTGCGCAGCATTGCAGCTACAGCCGGTTCCCCAATGGCTGTTGACAGTCGTTGGAGTGCCTCCCACTCTGGATCCGACATGTGGAGGCAGTCAGCGCGTGCAACATGAGTTGCAGGCGAAGTGGAGCTTTCCATGGGCACCTCCGCGCTCATGAAAAGGTTCTCGGCTGCTCGTTCGTACAGCTCCGTACGAACGTTCAGGAAATCGGTCGTTGGACGGACTACGAAGTGCTACCAGGTGTAGTGGGCCTACCTTGGCTCACTACTACGGCTTACACGTATGCGCACGTGTATGAGGAAGCGTATGTTTCTTTTACTTGAGTTAAGTATACTCGAGGTCCACGAGTATACTTTAAACAAGATAAAGACTCCAAGTAGCGTGTTTTGGTAAAAGATGAGAACTGCTATTTTTGTTTTATGTTTCTGACTTCCTCTAAATGTAATATTCTAAGATAGGAATCTGCCAACGGCTGGTTGGCAGAATTCCAATGCTATGCATGTCGCTCATTGGCTAAAAGATGCTGCTTTCAGCCAATAGGAATCCTAAATGTGTATGCACCACCGTCGTGGTGGTCGTAAATGTATGTAGCCATTGGTGTACCTTACACCAAGGTCGAGGAAGTGTTCAAACCTCTAACAGACATCGCATCTGTTAGAGTAACAAGTGACTGTAGCCACTTGTGCGTGTAACCCCGTTACACTTTGCCTTCTCGAAAAAGTCAAGCATTTCCAGCAAGATGATACGTTTGCTTTATTTCATATCGATGCTACTTTTAAGCTGAGTCAGATTGGATACCTGGTGATCACGTGTGGCTTCAGTGACGCTTCCCGAACGTACCATTTGGCAGCAATGTTTGTCGTCAGCCAACTTACGCAGAGCGAGTCCTCTGGTGTTTTATCTGTGCTGCTTCAAGTCTATGCGAAACTGTTCTCCGTGCAACCTAGGATTGACGCTGCGCTTGGGGATGCTGAGAAAGCTCAGTACAACGCGTTACGTGATATCATTCAATTTCAAGATGCAACATTTTTAATGTTTTTTTTTCACGTGCTGTACAATGTGAGAAAGCGCACACGGCAACTCGACAATTTTGCCGGTGCAATGGTGTACAGGGGCATAATCGCTATGCACTACGCGAGAAACCTTTTGGAATACTACCAAATTCGCGATTCGATTTTGGTGCAGTGGAGGAATGTTTTTGTGCTTCGCTCCTTCGCAGATTATTTTGAAAAGCAGTGGCTCAATAGTGAGTACTGGCGTTGGCAATCGTTTCACACACCTATTGGATACGCTGCCACGAACAACCCGTGCAAAACATTCAACGCTAGTGTCAAAAGGCATGTTATGCGCAAAATGTTTGACACAACTCGTTTGCTGAGGAAGCTTACTGTGATTACGGAAGATGTCACGGCGGATAAGTTGACCCCCACGACTTCATGTGGCAACCCACCTACTTCACTTGTGAACGCTACCAAGCGCCTTTTGCGTGCGCAACAACTGGTATTGTTTGAGACCGGTGATCGCGATGTGGTTCGTATTGTTCACCTCAAAGCATCTTGCTCCGAGTCATGGCGGCTAAATGATGGTGCCAACCGGGCGTTTGAGAGGCTTATCGCTACAAAGCCTACTGGTCTACTTCACGAACCTCTTGGCCAAAGGCAGCGGCGAAAGGCTTCCGCCTTGCACGGCAATGCTATTAAATGGTCTTTATACCTGGCGCATCGTATGACATACCCTCCGCTGGTTGGAGCGTCAACATGGCTTCAGCATCGTGCGCGTGTTGCTACTCCTTGAAAATGGGGTACTGCTGTCATATCATTGGAGCCCGAGTGATATCCGGTACTACCACGTACAGTGGGACAGGGAGTTGCATGCGGCTGAAAGATCGCAGGGTGAGAATAGCACGCCAAGCTCAGGTTAACACGGACAATATGCGTCAGCAAGAAGGAACCTCACGGAATGGCCAAGATGTGGCAGGGTTGTCTGGTGTTACCGCATACGTCTCTGGCCAGGTTTATAGCAACGCCCTGGAGCGTTTCAATGCCGCATACCATACCAGCATTTCGAGTCTGCTGCCAGATGAACTCTTCATAGCACGCGGAGGGATTCCCGAATCCAGATAACCCTTCCGTCTCGATGGCTTCAACCAAGACTATGGATTTAACGTGCAACCCCAAGTGACGCCAGCACGTGAGTTGCTCTATCGTGTGCAATCACCTCGGAATCACGGTGGCTTCTCTCAGCGAATACTGAATGAGAATGCTATGGACAGTGAGCAAGGACGTGTGGGAACCGCGGAGGCTAGGACGACCCCCGTTAGCTCGGTGCGCCTTAGAGATCCAGTACCTTCTCAATTGACACCGCAGTGAAGACAATTGATTGTAGAAATTGGTAGTGGGACTGCTCTAGCAATCGGCATGAATATGTATTCACAAGGAATGAACTCCATCTTAACCCTCACTGTAATATGCAGTTGTCTAAGCTTGATCTAACCATTAGTCGGGCCACTGTTCTCCGCAATCTGACCCAGTCTTTTTATCGTGAATACTTGCGCAGAGTAATCTGACCCAGCCATTTTATTGTGAATACTTGCGGGCCGGTTCACCGGTGAACCGTACGCACGGTTCACATCAATCGGGCCGGTTCATATATCAGGATTTGCGGTTGAGATCCGCGCATTCCGGGTTTCTCGCTCCCCCCTCTCTCCCCCCTCAACCCCCCCTCCCCTCCTCCCAACCGACGACACGGGGAAGAAGACGTTAGTGCTGGAGCAATGGGAGGCTGTCCAGCGTTGGAAGCGTCACGGGTGGAGCACTGCTGAAGCTGTGAGGATTCTGGGTGTTCTCAAACCCACGCTGTTAAGCTGGAAAAAAATACTGGAACATGCCCGAGCCTCCACCAGGTGCCAACGCTCGCTACCGTATCAAAGGAGGGGGGGGGGGGTGCAAATATAGGTTTGCTCCGTATGAGTTTGATTTACTAACCTTCAATGATGGGTGCCTACGTGAGAAGAATGCAGCCACGTTCGCCGAGATGATGAAATTCTGTCTCAAAATCCCCGTGTTTGCAAAGCTGAGGGAACGCACCCAGCACACGCGTGTGCGGCGGTTCATGGGCCGCTACAACCCCAAGAACGTGAAGACGGCGCCGGCTCGTGCGGCTCTCCGAGAAAGCGCACAGGTAGCTGCGAGATAATCCAACCAACCAACGACCAACAGGGCTACGGTTGCTGAGCGCACTGCGGCGGACAGTGAGGCCAAGACCAGCGAGCCAGGCGAAGAATCAACTTCAGAGCCCGCCGACCAATCAGCTCAAGCTCCGGGGTCCGCCGACCAATCAGGACCCGCCGACCAAGGACCCGACGACCAATCAGCTCACGAATCCTTCAGTTGAAGAGTCCAGTTCCGAATCAGACGATGTCTCGGCCAGTTCCCAGTCAAGCGCCATGGCGGCAGGACATCGGCGCCTCAAGCGACTGGATCAGGCGCTGCTGGATACGCATTCAGGCGCCGTCAGGACCCTCGCGTACCAGTCTCCGTTCCTGTGGCAGTGGGTGGTGACATGAGGCCCGTCACCATTTCCGTGCCTTTGTTTGCGGAAGACTTAACAAGCATCAGGGCGGGGAATATGGTGATGGGCACCGTCGTGGACTACTGTGTCTCCCGTTTCGCCAAGAGAACCGAAGGACTCGTGTTTCCGGTTCTAGCTGCCGTTTTCGCAGAGATCGTGTTCGCCTACGAGCGCCGGACAGAGAGGGTGCGTAGCGCGACGGAAATCACGGGTGACATGACATGGCTTGGGAAACCTTCCGGTATTTTTTGTTGCCCGTAAATCTGGACGAACACTGGAGTTTACTTGTTGTCGAGCGTTCTCCAACAGGTGAAATGGTTTTCTACCACGTGAACTCTGTCGCCGGTGTGCACGAACCGGACTACCTGTTTGCGGTGCTCAAGTGGGTTTTCCAGGCACGACACTCTGGTGCGGCGGGGACGTTCAAGAACAGCTCATTTGTGTATGTAAGTAAGCCGCGTCAAGCCAACCGGGTCGATTGCGGCATTTATATGCTGTACTATCTGGGCAAGGTAAAGTGCTACATCGAGAACCACCAGCCGCGAGCGCTCATGGACGTGATGCGACTGCTAACGATTGGGTCGTTCAACAGTTCAAGCGCAGAGTCGGCGAGGGCGTCACTGCTGACCCAAGTAACCAGAAATGCTTAGCAAAAGACCAACTGAGGTGCCTTGGATAACTACCATTTCAATTCAATCAAATGTTTGTACTGCTAGTCTTGCTGGGTTAAAGCTATGTGCATCTCACCTTCGCCAGCTCTTCCTACATTCATCAGCTCTTACTTACACCGTTGTCCCCTGTAGCAGCCCCGACGGTGCCACCTGAAGAAGCTGTGAGACAAGCTGCAAGCGCAATCGATGGTGCTACAGAATTGGGCAGCATGAGTTCTCGAAAGTGGCTACACCTGCTAAAAATAGAGCATGTCTTAGATACTCAAATGCCTACGATATGCACTTCGATAGTTCCTTTCCCTGGCGGTTGAACGACGGCTCCCTGGATAGGCGCTTTCCTTGCCCCGTCTACTGCACATGTGTTTGGTTTTGATCTCTTTTACATTTTGATCGTGTCCCAAACGCGTTTTGATCGTGTACATTACGCGGCCGTAAACCTGCAAGCCCAGACTGGAGCCCGTGCAGCCCCCGTCGCCATCGCCGGTTCCTTTCGTAAAGTACACGATCAATACGCGTTTGGGACACGATCGAAATCTAAAGAGATCAAAACCAAACACAAGTGCAGTAGACGGGCTAAAGATCAAAACTAAACACAAGTGCAGTAGACGGGCTAAGAAAGCGCCTATCCGCATCAAAAGGTGCGCTCTCCCGTGCAACGAAGGTACCTTTTTGTGCACAATAAACTGACTATTTGTCCACAACAATCTGCCAAAGTCAGTTTATTGTGCGCAGGTGTTCATAATAATCTGACCAAAGTCAGTTTATTGTGCGCAGGTGTTCATAATAATCTGACCAAAGTCAAATTATTGTGCGCAAGTATTCATAATAATCTGACCAAAGTCAAATTATTGTGCGCAAGTATTCATAATAATCTAACCAACGTCAATTTATTTTGTGCGGATTTGTATAATAATCTGAGTAAATCAGTTTATTGAGCGCAGCCACATCTACCTACTCATCTCGCTACCTTGATCAAGCTTTCGAGTGGGCGCCGTCCGTACTCGACGGGAACCAAGACGCAACAACGTGCAGGGGTTACTTTATAAAAGCAACTTGATTCATAACGACAGCAGTAATATCATGCTTTTTATCTCGTTTTCAACCAAATTTGATGGAGACTACAGTCGCCTTGGCTCTGCTGAATGGTTTGACTGATCGCCGCTGTGCTCGCATCCGTGAATACTAACTGGGAAACATTTGCATGGTGCGTCGAGCTTTGTTAGGAGGAAAACCGGCATATAACTGCTCATTAAGTAAGAAAACTACTCTCAACATAGTCTAGATTTCGAGTTTTCTAAGTAAGTAGGTATTAAACCTTGGTTCCGCAGGATGTTGCTGCATTTCCAAGCTGTGAGCTGTGTTGTACGTAACCGAGGAAAGCTTGGCTTACACCTTGCTGAGCGAAGATAACCTTGTTACTTAGATAGCCCCCAGGAACATCGATACATGTACTCAACTACTAGTAGTATAGCTATGGAATTCCTACTACTTTGCATTTACGACCGCCCGTTATTACAACTTACTTGCCTTCAGTTCGCAGCGAGAAGGGCACAGTTTCCAGCAAGTTAGTGCACTACCAATAGTACTTATGTGTAATTAAGATACTCCATTTTTTCTGTTGCGCAATAAAGCTATCGGGTTTGCAGACACAGTGTATTTTGCAAATGGTGCAACGCCTACGATTTTCCCCACCGATTTCTTTTACAAAAAAATTAAGGCCATTTCCACACTCGGATTTTTGTAGCTCGGCTATCTAGTTACACGGTTGAGCTGCACAAGCATGGATCGCCGAACGGGCCCGATTGTTATGTCGGCGCATGCTCCTCATATATATTCAATGTCAAGTAGTAGGCATAGAGAAATGTTATCACGACTAAGTAGGTGGAAAAGATGAAACATCGTATAACTCAGTAGGGTTGTCATGTAAAATATTAGTTAGATCAACCAGCTGCAATCGACCTAGCAACTGTCCGGACAGTAAATACAAAAACGATGTACATAATAGACAAGATATTCTATCTGTATCGAGATAAATTGTAGCTAACAGTATTTGAAATTCGTATAATGAACAGTGCGCACAAGCTAACTACGGTACGTGTATAATAAGTGCATTATAGTAAGTGCCAGTGCTCTATGCTGACTGGTGTGCCTAACGTTAGGCAAACTACACTAACGTTATTATTTTGCAGCCAGCTAACCGAGTGTAGGATGTTTGGTTGTGCCCGATTTTTTGTTTGGTTTTGCCCTGAATCTGTTTGTTTCTGCTTTGCACAGATGTTTGATTTTGGTTTTGTCTTAATGTGTTTGGTCGTGTCCCAAAAGTGTTTGCTCTTGTCCAAAAACATGTTTGGTTTGGACCGAGTCTCGTTCCTTTCAGCCCGGCACTTGTATCACCCGCTGCATTGACGGCAGCGTATGGCTGAATATGACGACTTATCCGACCTTACTTATTTATTGTATGCCCATTAACAGCCAATTACAGATTGTTATTTTATTTTTGGCTACGTCGAGGTTTCGTCCAATAAATTTTGTTAGGGTTAGGGAGGTCCGATATCCGACGCTATCGGACGTATCGGGTCGGAGGCAGACGCAAAATATGTGTACCGTATTGCTCCTGTCCTAAGCGAACTCCTTTCCTATGCGAACTTTTGTTTTGGCCAATCGTGACGCATTTTTTTAGCATATGTTTGGGTTAGGCAATCACCTAAATCTGAGCCCCGAGCGACTAATTATAGGCTTGCTGTAGCGGGATGCTATCGCGTCTCACTCTTCAATAGTGTCGGCGATGACTCGACCTCGTACGACTGGCAATGGCCGGGGGCAGAGGACGTACACTCGCATTCCAGTCGATTACACGCACAAGCTCAAAGCCCTCGACAAACTGGCGAAAGGAGCCGAAGTAGGCGCAGTAATTGACGAGCTCTACCCATCGATCTCGAAGGCGGAACGAAACAAGAAGCAGAAGCAAATTTCCAAGTGGAAGAAACAAGCCGGCTTCATTAAAAAGGTGTATGACGATGGTAAGGAACACCTACAAAACTTCCGCAGGAGTGGTGATGCAACGATTCTATCAGCGGACGCTGAGAGAGATATAGTCTTGTGGCTGAACACCATGCGGAAAGAAGGCTGCTCTGTATCGGAGAAGATGCCCGAGCTCAAGGCGTTAGAGGTAGCTGCAGATAATGGAATTTCCCTCGACGTGTTCAGCGCGTCCTACTCGTGGAGACATCGCTTTCTGCGCTCTATACGCGCGCGAACCCGACAAGGCCAAACCACGCCCACCGACGCCGAAGCAGCCCGGGTGAAGTTCCTCGAAGAAGTCCGACATGCGATATGCCAGCACAATATCACAAAAGTTTTCAACGCGGACCAGACAGGTACGCAACGTCGAAGGTCGGCAAAATGAGCGCCTATGCTAACATTATTATTGAGTATTGTAGCTGTTTTCTTTGAATATCTGCCCCGCAAGACGATCACCACTCGAGGAGAGAAGACTGTCTGGGTCAAGTGTAGCGGTAAAGATAAAGACAGAGCGACGGCAATGCTCCTGGCAGACTGGCATGGAAACAAGCGAGAGCCTTTCATTGTGTTTAAGACGGGTACGTCGCGCCATGATCACATCCAGGATGCCAACGATGAGAAGCGTCATGGATTCAGTACGCGTTTGTGGGAGGAGATCTCGCGCCTTCAAAAGAAGCATACCTGCCAGATCTACGGAAACCCCTCGGCCTGGGGGAATGCCCAAATCTCACTCCAGTTTTTAGACTATCATTTTGGACACAGGAGCAATATCGAAGAAAAGTTTCTGCTGCTCTGGGACGATTTTTCTGGGCACTGGACCGACGAGGTCAAGGACTACGCTGCTTCGATTAATGTCCTGTTTTTCAAGGTACCACCTCGCTACACTTACGTTTGCCAGCCAGCTGACGTGGCTTGGAATCGGCCGTTCAAGACACAGTTGCGAGGCAGTTGGCTGGACTACCTACGCGTACAGATAGCTGACCACCATACCAATTCTATGATATAAGCGTATCACACAAATATTTTCATTTATCCGACCTTATCGGACCTGTACCATAATTCTGGTACATATGTTGTCATGAGCATCTCGACGTCGTGGCACCGATGTATGAGCCAATGCTCAATGAGCGTACATGCGCGAAAGGCGAGCCGCCAGACGTGTACATTAATGGTTAAGAAAACGTATTAAATATACGTATATTATATCAAAGAAACTCATAACAATGCTACGTGGCCGCCATCGTGCAGACCGCACGACGCCAATTGTGCTGGGTGCTCTCGCGGCGAGCAGCACGCCGCCAGCCCTGCCGGGTAGGGCACCAACACTCGCGGGGTCTTCACGACGGCGGCAGTGGTGGCGGCGGCTGTTTCGGCAGGCCGCGGGGGGGGGGGGCTACAGGAGGGCGTGCCGCAGCTTGCAGGCGCTCACTCAACGGGCAGCCTGCCGGTCACTATGTCAGGCAAGCAACTTAGGGCCCCGCCCACCCGTGTCACCAGAAGCCACCGCCCCGCCACCGTCCTGCCACCTCCCTGCCGCCGCGGTCCTTCGCCGTCCAACCTGGTGCCGCCGTCCTGCCCTCCGCCATCCTACCACCACAGTCCTTCGCCGTCGGTCCTGGCGCCGCCCTCGTCTCGCCATCCGTCCCTCCGCTCCGCCTGTCCTTCGTAAGGCCTGCCGCTCAGCCGCCTCCCTGCCGCCGCAGTCCTGCCGCCGCCGGTGCTCTCAGCCATCTCCGTCCACACGCAAAGCCTGAAATGCATTGAGGCAAAAATATATTCAGTGTGTAGTCCAGAACAAAAACATAATCTAATAATATTTGTTTTAGAGTATGGGGTACCCTAGTTTTGGTACAGGTCCGATAGGTCCAACAGTCGGATATTTCATGGTATGTAGCCATGCCACTCACGGTTGACGCGAGTCACCAACTACATCTCCCCGGAGAATCTGCAGAGGTCGGACCAATAAAAGCCGCGAGCTCACAAAATTCGCAAAGGTTGAACAAAAATGGAAATATTCTGAGTTTGAGCTAATGATGCCTGGATACATCCTTCCGCCTTACGACATTTTCCCTCTCAAGTTCATCTAACTTAGTACATCCTCCTGACAGCTGGAGCAAATCTCGAGCATGGCTGCACTACCTTTGTGAGGTATATTGTACGCTGCTCCGCGGTGGAGCTCGACGTTCACGATGCTGGAACAGTACGTGCGCATCCGCGATGAGATCAAGCGCGTGGACGCCGTGTACGACCTAGTACCAAAGCCAGCTGCTCATCGCCGGATAGTCGCGCTGACGGAGACCCTCAAGACCATCAACAGCGTATGCAAGAAGCTCCAGGAAGACACCCTCAGCATAGGCGCCGTGCGCGTCCGCTTCGACAAGATGGCGGAGATGTTCCCCATTACAAGTTCGTTGCTGTCACCAGATGCCAACATCATTCACTCTTCGGTGTTTGAGAGCGCTGTTGTAAAGGTAATCATGTTGCGGGTGTTTTGCTAATGTTGCGCTTAATACTAATGTTGCTGTATGTTGCACTAGATTGCTGGGAAGCGCGAAGCCGAGCTGACCCTAGAAGATCTAGACGCGGTGGCGCCGTTTGAGCTCAGCTCTGCGGCGAACGTACCCGCCGCCAGCACGCAGCGGTGCCGAAGACTTCGCAACCGCGCTGCTGCACTCCGACGATGTCCCTGCGGAGGCTGGGCCACGCTACAGCCCTCTCGTCAGGGCAATTCCACCGACCAGTAACCGCTGCGAGAGACTCGTCTCGCAGTGCAAACTTGTGATGACGCTGCAGCGCTCGTCTCTCCTCCCTATCAACTTTGAGATGATCGAGTTTTTGCGTACAAACCGTAAGTACTGGGATGCCCACACTCTAATGGGCATTGATGTTGCTGATGCTGATGATTAGTTGCGGTAATGGCAGCTCTAGCTAAATAAAATACCTATTGAGTAGTTATTTATTATTGTATGCGCTTTCACCATTTCGTTACTATTGTTGTAGGACTTTGGGCATCCATTACTTTATTGTAATGTCCGAGCACTGGTCGAGAACACCGAAAAAATGGACGTCAGCACCGAAAAGTAAGGGTCCGCCATGTGCCGAGTTGGGGGGCGGAACCACCGACGATTTGGACGCCAACACCGAGGGGTTGGTGTGCCGAGTTACACTTGGGGGATAACTCGGCGCTGTGCCGAGTTACATATAGAATCTAAAATCGGCGGGGTGCCGAGTTGCACTGCAACTAGAACTCGGCGAAGTGCCGAGTCCTAATCTTGGCATTCATGCGCCCCCCGATAGAAATATCACGGGCTATCCAGTCGGTATCAGTCTGTACTTTGCTGCAACGGTGTAGATCAACGTTCGTGTGAAGGTGCGGATGGCACGCCGTCGAGGAGGAACGGCAAGGTGGCGGGGGGCTACAAGCCGACGAAGAGCGGCAAGGTGGCGGAGAACGGCTAGGCGACGAGGTATTCACTGTCCAAGCTATTGCTTATTTGAAAATGTTCACTAACCATCAATCTGTGTGACTTTATTTACATTTTTTTCTTTAGGGTAACGCGAGTAGAAGTCGACGTCCTCCTTGGACGATGATTTGGACTACCCCACCAAATGCAGAAATCCAATGAGACGCGTGGGAAAAGTTCATGTCCACTATGCCAAGTTTCGCCAAAAGGAAAAGCAATCTTACGAACTGTAGAGTTGGTCATGCTGCCCGTGCAGAGACCGATCTTGTTGCCTTGTCTCATGACATGCGGTATATTGTGACGGAATGTAGCTCGTCACGATGCAAGGATAGTCTAGCCAAGTGCCGCAGCCGCTACAAAATCCTATGTTGTGTGGTGAACTATGCGGCGGTCGTTTTTGTCGAGGGTGCTCACGCCATGGATAACTCGGTTCTCGCATCTCCAAGGGACGCTATTCTCACAGCAGAAATGAAATCTTACATTGGAGCCAAGTTAGCAGAGGACTCAGCCGTGCTTCCATACGTCCTATTTTCTCTCATCCGTGACAAGTTAAGGCCGGTGATTTTCGAGGACCTTCACCCGAGCAGGACCAAGTCAAAAACTACGTTAAGCGCTGGCGCTCGAAGAATCGCGATGACTCTACCCGACCAGTCATTGAGTTCTGCAAGAAAGCCATGTACGATTCAGACCAATGCGACCGGAGACCTGACGACTTGTTGGTTCTCTGTGACTACGAGATAAAAGAAGGTGAGCGAGTACCTCTTATAGGAGAAGACTTTGATACCGAACCAATGAGGCTTGGTATAACCTGTTACGCCTTGTTACAGACGTACGTGTCGGTTCAGCAAGATGGAGTGTGCCCTACACTGCTCCACGTTGACAGCACACACAATTCTGTGAACAAACGACACTCGGTTGTCGTTCTTGGCGTGTCTGACTGCTGCGGAAAGTATTTTCCGGTGGTATACTACTGTTCGTCCCAGCGGCGAACTGAAGATATTATCTGGTGTTTGAAATTTGTGAAGCGAGTGCTGTTAGAGCAATTCGCACAAAGTTTCGCTCCACGATACGTGATGACCGATAAAGACGATGCTCAGTTTGGTTCATGTGTTGCGGAACTGCCTGCAGCAGTCATTCTGATGTGTTGGTTCCACGTCCGCCAGAACGTGAAGGATAAAGCGCAAGGTTTGCCGCGTGTAAGTCGTGACATGATCTATCACGGCTTTAGCGAACGGATCGTGTTGCTGCTACAGAAAGTGTTATTAAATGATAGCTTCAAATAATGTGTCTTTGCCGGACACAAAATCTAGTCTACAAGAATATATTACGGGGAGCCAGTAATTTACGTATTCCTGTGCGTTGTATCAGCATAGATTATAGTGGCCATTCATCCTAGCCAATGCTCTCTTCCACAGCAACTTCTGTGACAGATGAGTACCTATAGGAGCACTTAATTATAGTATTGGAAAATAACAGGTACATTAATATTCAAAATTTTGGAGTGGCGTCTACTTTCAACTACCACAAACGCTAACAAAAAAAACTCTAAGCCCCTTAGTTTCGGTATGACTTTGGTGTTTTGGTCTGACACAAAAATCAAGTACCAAATATATGTATTGAAGTTAGGGTGCCTACTAAACCTGCTGGGGCTGCTGAAGCTGCAAGCTAATCACCTTCCGAAGGTAGCGCAACCTCAAGTAGCCTACAACTTCGTACAGAGAGCCCTTCCAGTAGTCAGACCAGGTTTCAGGAGTTGCACCAAACAGTAGTAGTTCCAACACCACCAAGCACCAAATGCCACACGACGTAGCATCCCTCTGCTGGCAGTGGGCAATGACGTGGTAGTCCAGTTGGTCGGTCATGTCCAGCATCTTCTCAACCACAGTGAGAACTGCTTCCTTCAGCGCGACTAAATTGCTAGTCAGCTGCATGGGGTCAAACAGGTAGCAGATCTTCGTCTCCGTATTCACGAAAAATGCACCCCAGTGGTGCCTCAAGTTAATCACGCTGATGACGAACTTGGCCCTGGCCTTCACAGCGCCATATCCTTTTGCTGTGCGCATCTTCTGATCAGCATCATCAAAGTCGTGAAAGCGAGGGTTGACAATGACAACATCCAAATACTCGGATTGGAGTGCCAATAGGCCGCCGATGATAGAGCCAGAGCTTCTCTCAAAAATCCAAGAATTCACAGCCATTTTGTTCATGTCGGCCAACGTACCACCGCCCTAGGTTCAGCTCGTCTACTGCTTGCTTATGGTCCACCTAAACACAAAGCACATCAGTAAGTTTGGTGTTTTAGTATACTTTTGGTATACTTTCGGTGCAAGGAAATCTTACCTTAGTCGCGTCCTCCATGTCTTTGAACGGCGGTACAATACTGGCAACTCGAAACGCCAAGGAGTCAATCCACTTCATCGCATCTTTGACTATCTTGAAGTTGTTTCGTGCCTTGATCACTCGTGAGCGTCAATTGCCCGTACGTGGCAAACCCATAGTCCTCCCACCGAGCAAGCAGCGCCTTGTTGCTCTTGTTTTCGATTGCTTCTATGGCCTCCTCGATCTTCTCCAGTTGAGGAATCGTCTTAATCACTGGGACGGGCTGCCCAATGTTGAAGCAACGAACGTCGAGCTTCCCAGCCACTTCCACGGATGGGAAGCTCAACCTTTCGATGAACGACATGGTGGTGCGTCTGCTGTACGGGCCTTTAAGAATCGCCATGTCCGAGAGCTTATCGGCACGCGCCTTTCTCCCATCTGAGATGCGCAACCGGATCTAGTTTGCAACTTGCAGCTCTCCGGTCGACGCTTCGTGCTTCTCCGCACTCCGCGTCAATCCCTTACGCTTCGGTGGCGATGCTAAGGTGATAGGATCCGCTGGACTTCGACCTATAGTATTCTCATGCTGAGACGGTGCGATAGTCGTCTGGTGATTAGTCGATTCCGGTGGTACGGCTACTGGGACAGGGGCCTTTTCTTCAAGGTCCGGCCCTGCCGTCACATCGCACATCGACTCGTCTTCGGGCGCGCTGCTCATCTCAGCAAAAGAAAGCTGCGATGCTGTCACACCACCAACCGAAGAGACTTGAGACGAGAATGGCTACGTACCCAGTCTTCATAATATGGTGACAGTGGTACTATGTATCCCCTAGTCATCACAGATGGTCAAGGACCAGGTCATGAGACCATCACTCCTTGCTGGGAGATTGAGTGGCTCCCCCCTTTTTCATTTTCATTTATAAATCAGAGTCCTCACGCGCAAGCACCCCAGGCCGAGGCTCCCCCGATCACGAGAGTTACTTGCGTATGCGCCCGCCGTGAAGACCGCGAAACATTCAGGAAGCTCAGGTGTATGACCAGGCGATAGATTGAAGAAGGACTCCCAGAAGCGTTCCGGACGAGCATGCAGGCGAGAGGACGCGGCAGTCGCGCCAACTTTGTGGATGCGGAAACAAGCCTCGACATCTGCCACGTGTGAACGTTCTGATGACCCCCCTCGTCGAGCTGTAACGCGGTCTAAAACGGAAGCACAAGGTTTGTTTTGAGTTGTGGTACATTCTTGGACTGTGTACGCGTGTACAGTACAGTCCTGCGGATATAAGGCTCTGACTCATGTTTGTTTTGGACAGTTTGTTCGTCACTACAGCGCCAAACTCGAGTAAGAGAATATGGAAATGAGGAGACTTGGCATCCTGGGACCTTCGTGAAAAGCTACGTTTGGGTTGGCACGAGTGTGTGCAGAAGACTAAGATTGTGGCACAGTGTGTGACTGTACCTCGCGACGACGAATACGAGTAAACTGAGCTTTGAGCACGACGGAGCGTGTGACGTTAAGTAAAGTTGTGGAAGGCGACTACATCTAGCAAAACAGACCGATAAAGTGCCCAAATAGTAGTTTCGTTTTCAATTTTAAGGCTATTGACATCATGTTTGACTTACAGCTGACGTAGGCATAACGCAAAAGCTACGATCCGTGCAGACTGGAGGCATAACACTGAGAGCGTATCGCAGCGAGGCTAACTATGTATCTTTCTAGCTGAGGTACTAAGTAGTAGTATAGCTCATTGAGCTCCCCTTACAAGATACCAGTATTGTGAAAGCAAGCTGGTTGCGCCTGTGCTTCGGAATGGAAGGAAATACAAATGTGTCGATGCAGTTTTTCTGATGCAGGTTCCTTACCCACATTATTAAGTCAATGAAACCAGCAGCATTGTCTCTTACGAATGCAAGTGTGGTTATCTTGTGACCGTATGACACTTGCACCCGAATGTATGTATGTAGGGACTTAGGCAAGCTGAGGGCCTTTGCTGCGACCTTCACTCACCGTGCTCGACGTTGAGCAGAAGTATCTACGCAAACACGCTCGGTCTTTGGGCTGAAACCTGACAAACATACGTCTAGGCTATCCAACACATGGTGAGGCTATCCACCAAACATGACGGAAGACTGGGTACGACTGTGTAAGACTGGCGAAGACTGTACCCCGTTCGACCCTAAGACGGTGTACGTAGCCTCTGTCAACTTGAGACAGCGCGTTGAAGCCGCTTGTTGCACACAAATCTTGGCCAGTGAACTCCTCCAGTTTGCCAGTATGTGGCGCGTCGTAGAAACCCGTAAGCCACTGCATTGCCAGTTTGTGTGTGGTAGACGGCTGGATCGAGAGGACATCCGATGATCTTCTCTGTAATATGTTTGCCTTGGCTGTACTTCGCGTCGCTGGATAGTGCTCGTGGGGCACGGCGGGGAGGGCAGTTGATGCGGTTTAATCCCCCGTCAGTACAGACCCCCCATCGATGTTGTTAGCTGGACTTTGGACGATCCAACGGGTAGCGAAACGAACCATTGGCGGAACTACCGTCTCGTAGTTAGACTTAGCACGGACATACATGACATGGCGGAACGGGAGCAAACAGGTCTGCCTGAATATACAGTCGCATGCAGCAAGCTGTTGGTAGAACAAAACCCAGCGTTAGTCACAGCACCGAAAATTTACCAAACCACCAAAATTGAACCAAAATCTCACCCGAGCATCTACAATGTGCGAGTTGCCTGTCGCTGGATTTGTCACTATCGCCTTGCCATCTGGTGTCGTCTCCATGTCGTAACAGACCTGAGGTCCGACAGCCAATCTGTACTGATGGGCCACCATCTCGAAGGCGTAGTTGCTGAGCTGCATGGCCACTGCAGTTAACTCAGGATCTTCAGCAATGGGAGGGCGACTGCTGACACGATGGACGTCAGCCAGGTAGCATTCTTCAGCGTAGTCTTGCATTGTTATCAGCATGGAGAGGAGCTTATCAACAGTGAAACTACCGTCAATAACCTCTTTGAGGCGGCCCCATTTCGATTCCAGACGGTTGTTCGTGTTGTTCATCAGGTGTGGGACGTCACCACGCTTGAACATCACCCACTCGGCAGTAGTCGTATCCCAGTGCTTCATAAAACTTTTGTAGAGCAGGTTTTCTTCGTTATTCCCGACTGTCCCGAGCAGAGCCTTCTTCAGGTCGTCATAGTGCTCCTGAGATGCCGCATACACCAATCCTTTCATAATTGACTTGAGTCCCTTCGTTTCTGTAGGCCCGACGTCTCCCAGTCTGGAGCACTGTTTCTTCAACCACGTTTCGACGTGCTAACGACATAGTAGCTGGCGCGCATTCGGCCATCCTTCCAACAGCACCTCCTTCTCATGCAGTGCCATATCGGACATCACAACACGGATCTTGGACCACTCACGGTTGTGCTTTTTGAATGCTGCGACAGCAAGAGCCAAGTTCGGTTTCTCTTCCGTCCGCACCAATGCGTGTTGCACGAATTGACCCTAAGAAAATAAACCACACAGAAAATTATACAAATGTTAAGTACATTTTTGGTTAGAGCCTGAAAGCATTTACCCACCCGGCCGAAGACGTCGTGGACTGCGAAACTAAACAGCTTATAACGGTTCGCGTTGCTGTTATGAGTCGAGTCGACCAGAACACCCCGGGGAAAGCTGCAAAGATACGCTTCTGCCGCGCTGACTGGATCGTTATCACTTGCACCACGTTGGTCTCCTTGTCAATGACGAACTCCGCCACATTTCCAGTGTTCATCTCGCAGAATTCGTCCAGCACGGAGACAGCGCGCTCCGCATCCGATCGACCTCCATTAAAGCACTTATTAGCGTCCTGGATCATGTTGTGCACGTCTCGTAGAATCGTTCGCTTGCCTTTATAGAACACCAAACCAAATTCTATTAGTGTTTCGTGCAATATACAGAATACACACCAAAAACACCAACCTGTTTTGGCTCGAAGATACGCTAATATCCCGCGTGGCTTGGCCCCCGCCTTGCTCATGACTGTCACATCGCGGCGTATCTCCGGATCCAAGACGCGTCTGTTCTCAGCGTAGTTATACCACTGATGTTCGGTGAGAGAATGGCTGTGCGTTCCCGTTGCATTCACAACGATATGAAATCCAATACCACTCGGTCGACTACAATCCCGTGCGTTGACACGAGCAGTACACGCCACAACACGGACGGCGTCATGCTGCCGCAAGCCTTCTCCATGACTCTCGTACGGAATACCATGAGTGCAGGTACTTGTGCGGGACGGGAAGCGCTGGTACGTAGCCTCTTGGAACTCGTCGAACGCTTCTTAGAAACTTTTCCACGACGACCAGTACATAGGAAATCCTTCCAAGTAGCCACCGACGACTGGTACATCTTCCACACCGCCTTGACTTTCCGATTCCTTGTCCTCGCACTGGACAGACTTTTGGTTCGCCTTCGGGTTTTGGTGCTTCTTCGCTGTTTGGTGCGCCTTCAGGGTTTGATGCCTCTTTGGGTTTTGGTACTTCTTCGGTGTCGGCACACTATTCGCAGCGGAATCGATGTCACTAGCGCGTCCAATACCGTCACAGGAGTCTCCATCGTCATCGCCCTCAGGTGTTCGTCGATCGTCGTTGTAGTCCGAATCGTCACTATTGTCCGGAGACTCATCTTCATCCTCTTCCTCAAGCTGCGCCAATACTTCCGCTAGCGCTGCTTCACTTTCACTTTCGTCCTCGTTGTCAGCTGCCAGATGACGGGCCAGGCGGGACTCCCAACGCTCAGCTTGATCAGCACGGGATTGACTGTCTGCCGGGTCCGCTTCAGCGTTTCGGGGCCGATCCTCGTCAGTTTGGCAGCGTGGGGGGAGCGTCTATACTTCGGCACTGTGTTTTCTTGCTGCTGTCGCTTCTTCGCCCGAAGCCGTATCCGCTCTGCTACTTCTGCTTCTTCTGGTGGCGTGAGTGGGGGTGGATTGGTGGTGGGAGGAGCTTGGGCTGAGCTTGCTTGGCTGGGTGTTGCATTCACAGTGACCATCTCGAGAGGAGCTTCTGGATGCACATCGCGAGCTCCATCGGCAGCTATGTCGTTCGTCCGGGGCCTGACATAGAGTATGGATACGTACAGGTTAGTCTTAAGCAGGGAATACATGAACTAACTCACGCGTACGCACCATGCCACGGGGTCAGGACCTGATCGCTTGCGGCCTGCGGGGGAGGAGAGAGGATTTTGGACTGGCGACAGGAGGCCACTGATTTTTTTCTAAAAACGAATTTATCTTACCAGCCAGTCCGAAGGTAAGTTTATCTTACGCAGCTGCGCGGTAGCAGCCGCTGATTTGTTTGCTCTGGATATATTGAATATCCCCAAAACTGCACCAAATAGCACAGAAAGTAGTATTTGCCTACTGTGCAGTTTATGTAGTAGCAGCGTGTTCGTTAGCGAACTGCACTTTTGTATTTCACATACTGAATACGAGACGAAGCAAACCAACAAACGTGCTCGTCGACACCGTGAGCGCGAGGGCGATTATATTTCAGGCCTTGGATTCGAAGACATGTCTGGTGATGACGAGGCATCGTATCTTCTGTTGCATCCCCGCCCAGGAAGCCGCGGAATGTGCGTGGAGCATCGTCGTGAGCGCGCTCGCCTCGATGACGAGTTGCCGATGGTTAACTCAGGAATTGCAATCGGCGCTGGCTTAACGAACACGTTACCACCAACTACAGCCGGACAGATTGCGGACGACCAAGATATTCCTCTATATATTCGAGTGCCGCCAGTACCAACGTTCTTTGCGGAACAGCTTGATGGCTACACGCCTGACCAACGGAGGGCGTCAGGTCAAGCTACTATTTCCGTGACAAACAACGCGCAGGCACCAATACGTGGATCTAAAGGAAAGTCTAAACGTCGATGTCGCTAGCGTTGACGGCTTTGTCGGGAGGAAGGAATTAAGTCAGGCAGCGTCAGGCATGTCGATATTAGACTATCTTGATACATTTATCAGACTGAATACACGTGCATGGGTTGCGACTTTATGCTGGTACGTAGCCTCTTGGAACCCGTCGAACGCTTCTTAGAAACTTTTCCACGACGACCAGTACATAGGAAATCCTTCCAAGTAGCCACCGACGACTGGTACATCTTCCACACCGCCTTGACTTTCCGATTCCTTGTCCTCGCACTGGACAGACTTTTGGTTCGCCTTCGGGTTTTGGTGCTTCTTCGCTGTTTGGTGCGCCTTCAGGGTTTGATGCCTCTTTGGGTTTTGGTACTTCTTCGGTGTCGGCACACTATTCGCAGCGGAATCGATGTCACTAGCGCGTCCAATACCGTCACAGGAGTCTCCATCGTCATCGCCCTCAGGTGTTCGTCGATCGTCGTTGTAGTCCGAATCGTCACTATTGTCCGGAGACTCATCTTCATCCTCTTCCTCAAGCTGCGCCAATACTTCCGCTAGCGCTGCTTCACTTTCACTTTCGTCCTCGTTGTCAGCTGCCAGATGACGGGCCAGGCGGGACTCCCAACGCTCAGCTTGATCGACACGGGATTGACTGTCTGCCGGGTCCGCTTCAGCGTTTCGGGGCCGATCCTCGTCAGTTTGGCAGCGTGGGGGGAGCGTCTATACTTCGGCACTGTGTTTTCTTGCTGCTGTCGCTTCTTCGCCCGAAGCCGTATCCGCTCTGCTACTTCTGCTTCTTCTGGTGGCGTGAGTGGGGGTGGATTGGTGGTGGGAGGAGCTTGGGCTGAGCTTGCTTGGCTGGGTGTTGCATTCACAGTGACCATCTCGAGAGGAGCTTCTGGATGCACATCGCGAGCTCCATCGGCAGCTATGTCGTTCGTCCGGGGCCTGACATAGAGTATGGATACGTACAGGTTAGTCTTAAACAGGGAATACATGAACTAACTCACGCGTACGCACCATGCCACGGGGTCAGGACCTGATCGCTTGCGGCCTGCGGGGGAGGAGAGAGGATTTTGGACTGGCGACAGGAGGCCACTGATTTTTTTCTAAAAACGAATTTATCTTACCAGCCAGTCCGAAGGTAAGTTTATCTTACGCAGCTGCGCGATAGCAGCCGCTGATTTGTTTGCTCTGGATATATTGAATATCCCCAAAACTGCACCAAATAGCACAGAAAGTAGTATTTGCCTACTGTGCAGTTTATGTAGTAGCAGCGTGTTCGTTAGCGAACTGCACTTTTGTATTTCACATACTGAATACGAGACGAAGCAAACCAACAAACGTGCTCGTCGACACCGTGAGCGCGAGGGCGATTATATTTCAGGCCTTGGATTCGAAGACATGTCTGGTGATGACGAGGCATCGTATCTTCTGTTGCATCCCCGCCCAGGAAGCCGCGGAATGTGCGTGGAGCATCGTCGTGAGCGCGCTCGCCTCGATGACGAGTTGCCGATGGTTAACTCAGGAATTGCAATCGGCGCTGGCTTAACGAACACGTTACCACCAACTACAGCCGGACAGATTGCGGACGACCAAGATATTCCTCTATATATTCGAGTGCCGCCAGTACCAACGTTCTTTGCGGAACAGCTTGATGGCTACACGCCTGACCAACGGAGGGCGTCAGGTCAAGCTACTATTTCCGTGACAAACAACGCGCAGGCACCAATACGTGGATCTAAAGGAAAGTCTAAACGTCGATGTCGCTAGCGTTGACGGCTTTGTCGGGAGGAAGGAATTAAGTCAGGCAGCGTCAGGCATGTCGATATTAGACTATCTTGATACATTTATCAGACTGAATACACGTGCATGGGTTGCGACTTTATGCTGGTACAGCCGCGGAATGTGCGTGGAGCATCGTCGTGAGCGCGCTCGCCTCGATGACGAGTTGCCGATGGTTAACTCAGGAATTGCAATCGGCGCTGGCTTAACGAACACGTTACCACCAACTACAGCCGGACAGATTGCGGACGACCAAGATATTCCTCTATATATTCGAGTGCCGCCAGTACCAACGTTCTTTGCGGAACAGCTTGATGGCTACACGCCTGACCAACGGAGGGCGTCAGGTCAAGCTACCATTTCCGTGACAAACAACGCGCAGGCACCAATACGTGGATCTAAAGGAAAGTCTAAACGTCGATGTCGCTAGCGTTGACGGCTTTGTCGGGAGGAAGGAATTAAGTCAGGCAGCGTCAGGCATGTCGATATTAGACTATCTTGATACATTTATCAGACTGAATACACGTGCATGGGTTGCGACTTTATGCTGGTACGTAGCCTCTTGGAACCCGTCGAACGCTTCTTAGAAACTTTTCCACGACGACCAGTACATAGGAAATCCTTCCAAGTAGCCACCGACGACTGGTACATCTTCCACACCGCCTTGACTTTCCGATTCCTTGTCCTCGCACTGGACAGACTTTTGGTTCGCCTTCGGGTTTTGGTGCTTCTTCGCTGTTTGGTGCGCCTTCAGGGTTTGATGCCTCTTTGGGTTTTGGTACTTCTTCGGTGTCGGCACACTATTCGCAGCGGAATCGATGTCACTAGCGCGTCCAATACCGTCACAGGAGTCTCCATCGTCATCGCCCTCAGGTGTTCGTCGATCGTCGTTGTAGTCCGAATCGTCACTATTGTCCGGAGACTCATCTTCATCCTCTTCCTCAAGCTGCGCCAATACTTCCGCTAGCGCTGCTTCACTTTCACTTTCGTCCTCGTTGTCAGCTGCCAGATGACGGGCCAGGCGGGACTCCCAACGCTCAGCTTGATCAGCACGGGATTGACTGTCTGCCGGGTCCGCTTCAGCGTTTCGGGGCCGATCCTCGTCAGTTTGGCAGCGTGGGGGGAGCGTCTATACTTCGGCACTGTGTTTTCTTGCTGCTGTCGCTTCTTCGCCCGAAGCCGTATCCGCTCTGCTACTTCTGCTTCTTCTGGTGGCGTGAGTGGGGGTGGATTGGTGGTGGGAGGAGCTTGGGCTGAGCTTGCTTGGCTGGGTGTTGCATTCACAGTGACCATCTCGAGAGGAGCTTCTGGATGCACATCGCGAGCTCCATCGGCAGCTATGTCGTTCGTCCGGGGCCTGACATAGAGTATGGATACGTACAGGTTAGTCTTAAGCAGGGAATACATGAACTAACTCACGCGTACGCACCATGCCACGGGGTCAGGACCTGATCGCTTGCGGCCTGCGGGGGAGGAGAGAGGATTTTGGACTGGCGACAGGAGGCCACTGATTTTTTTTCTAAAAACGAATTTATCTTACCAGCCAGTCCGAAGGTAAGTTTATCTTACCCAGCTGCGCGATAGCAGCCGCTGATTTGTTTGCTCTGGATATATTGAATATCCCCAAAACTGCACCAAATAGCACAGAAAGTAGTATTTGCCTACTGTGCAGTTTATGTAGTAGCAGCGTGTTTGTTAGCGAACTGCACTTTTGTATTTCAGATACTGAATACGAGACGAAGCAAACCAAGAAACGTGCTCGTCGACACCGTGAGCGCGAGGGCGATTATATTTCAGGCCTTGGATTCGAAGACATGTCTGGTGATGACGAGGCATCGTATCTTCTGTTGCATCCCCGCCCAGGAAGCCGCGGAATGTGCGTGGAGCATCGTCGTGAGCGCGCTCGCCTCGATGACGAGTTGCCGATGGTTAACTCAGGAATTGCAATCGGCGCTGGCTTAACGAACACGTTACCACCAACTACAGCCGGACAGATTGCGGACGACCAAGATATTCCTCTATATATTCGAGTGCCGCCAGTACCAACGTTCTTTGCGGAACAGCTTGATGGCTACACGCCTGACCAACGGAGGGCGTCAGGTCAAGCTACTATTTCCGTGACAAACAACGCGCAGGCACCAATACGTGGATCTAAAGGAAAGTCTAAACGTCGATGTCGCTAGCGTTGACGGCTTTGTCGGGAGGAAGGAATTAAGTCAGGCAGCGTCAGGCATGTCGATATTAGACTATCTTGATACATTTATCAGACTGAATACACGTGCATGGGTTGCGACTTTATGCTGGTACGTAGCCTCTTGGAACCCGTCGAACGCTTCTTAGAAACTTTTCCACGACGACCAGTACATAGGAAATCCTTCCAAGTAGCCACCGACGACTGGTACATCTTCCACACCGCCTTGACTTTCCGATTCCTTGTCCTCGCACTGGACAGACTTTTGGTTCGCCTTCGGGTTTTGGTGCTTCTTCGCTGTTTGGTGCGCCTTCAGGGTTTGATGCCTCTTTGGGTTTTGGTACTTCTTCGGTGTCGGCACACTATTCGCAGCGGAATCGATGTCACTAGCGCGTCCAATACCGTCACAGGAGTCTCCATCGTCATCGCCCTCAGGTGTTCGTCGATCGTCGTTGTAGTCCGAATCGTCACTATTGTCCGGAGACTCATCTTCATCCTCTTCCTCAAGCTGCGCCAATACTTCCGCTAGCGCTGCTTCACTTTCACTTTCGTCCTCGTTGTCAGCTGCCAGATGACGGGCCAGGCGGGACTCCCAACGCTCAGCTTGATCAGCACGGGATTGACTGTCTGCCGGGTCCGCTTCAGCGTTTCGGGGCCGATCCTCGTCAGTTTGGCAGCGTGGAGGGAGCGTCTATACTTCGGCACTGTGTTTTCTTGCTGCTGTCGCTTCTTCGCCCGAAGCCGTATCCGCTCTGCTACTTCTGCTTCTTCTGGTGGCGTGAGTGGGGGTGGATTGGTGGTGGGAGGAGCTTGGGCTGAGCTTGCTTGGCTGGGTGTTGCATTCACAGTGACCATCTCGAGAGGAGCTTCTGGATGCACATCGCGAGCTCCATCGGCAGCTATGTCGTTCGTCCGGGGCCTGACATAGAGTATGGATACGTACAGGTTAGTCTTAAGCAGGGAATACATGAACTAACTCACGCGTACGCACCATGCCACGGGGTCAGGACCTGATCGCTTGCGGCCTGCGGGGGAGGAGAGAGGATTTGGACTGGCGACAGGAGGCCACTGATTTTTTTCTAAAAACGAATTTATCTTACCAGCCAGTCCGAAGGTAAGTTTATCTTACGCAGCTGCGCGATAGCAGCCGCTGATTTGTTTGCTCTGGATATATTGAATATCCCCAAAACTGCACCAAATAGCACAGAAAGTAGTATTTGCCTACTGTGCAGTTTATGTAGTAGCAGCGTGTTCGTTAGCGAACTGCACTTTTGTATTTCACATACTGAATACGAGACGAAGCAAACCAACAAACGTGCTCGTCGACACCGTGAGCGTGAGGGCGATTATATTTCAGGCCTTGGATTCGAAGACATGTCTGGTGATGACGAGGCATCGTATCTTCTGTTGCATCCCCGCCCAGGAAGCCGCGGAATGTGCGTGGAGCATCGTCGTGAGCGCGCTCGCCTCGATGACGAGTTGCCGATGGTTAACTCAGGAATTGCAATCGGCGCTGGCTTAACGAACACGTTACCACCAACTACAGCCGGACAGATTGCGGACGACCAAGATATTCCTCTATATATTCGAGTGCCGCCAGTACCAACGTTCTTTGCGGAACAGCTTGATGGCTACACGCCTGACCAACGGAGGGCGTCAGGTCAAGCTACTATTTCCGTGACAAACAACGCGCAGGCACCAATACGTGGATCTAAAGGAAAGTCTAAACGTCGATGTCGCTAGCGTTGACGGCTTTGTCGGGAGGAAGGAATTAAGTCAGGCAGCGTCAGGCATGTCGATATTAGACTATCTTGATACATTTATCAGACTGAATACACGTGCATGGGTTGCGACTTTATGCTGGTACGTAGCCTCTTGGAACCCGTCGAACGCTTCTTAGAAACTTTTCCACGACGACCAGTACATAGGAAATCCTTCCAAGTAGCCACCGACGACTGGTACATCTTCCACACCGCCTTGACTTTCCGATTCCTTGTCCTCGCACTGGACAGACTTTTGGTTCGCCTTCGGGTTTTGGTGCTTCTTCGCTGTTTGGTGCGCCTTCAGGGTTTGATGCCTCTTTGGGTTTTGGTACTTCTTCGGTGTCGGCACACTATTCGCAGCGGAATCGATGTCACTAGCGCGTCCAATACCGTCACAGGAGTCTCCATCGTCATCGCCCTCAGGTGTTCGTCGATCGTCGTTGTAGTCCGAATCGTCACTATTGTCCGGAGACTCATCTTCATCCTCTTCCTCAAGCTGCGCCAATACTTCCGCTAGCGCTGCTTCACTTTCACTTTCGTCCTCGTTGTCAGCTGCCAGATGACGGGCCAGGCGGGACTCCCAACGCTCAGCTTGATCAGCACGGGATTGACTGTCTGCCGGGTCCGCTTCAGCGTTTCGGGGCCGATCCTCGTCAGTTTGGCAGCGTGGGGGGAGCGTCTATACTTCGGCACTGTGTTTTCTTGCTGCTGTCGCTTCTTCGCCCGAAGCCGTATCCGCTCTGCTACTTCTGCTTCTTCTGGTGGCGTGAGTGGGGGTGGATTGGTGGTGGGAGGAGCTTGGGCTGAGCTTGCTTGGCTGGGTGTTGCATTCACAGTGACCATCTCGAGAGGAGCTTCTGGATGCACATCGCGAGCTCCATCGGCAGCTATGTCGTTCGTCCGGGGCCTGACATAGAGTATGGATACGTACAGGTTAGTCTTAAACAGGGAATACATGAACTAACTCACGCGTACGCACCATGCCACGGGGTCAGGACCTGATCGCTTGCGGCCTGCGGGGGAGGAGAGAGGATTTTGGACTGGCGACAGGAGGCCACTGATTTTTTTTCTAAAAACGAATTTATCTTACCAGCCAGTCCGAAGGTAAGTTTATCTTACCCAGCTGCGCGATAGCAGCCGCTGATTTGTTTGCTCTGGATATATTGAATATCCCCAAAACTGCACCAAATAGCACAGAAAGTAGTATTTGCCTACTGTGCAGTTTATGTAGTAGCAGCGTGTTCGTTAGCGAACTGCACTTTTGTATTTCACATACTGAATACGAGACGAAGCAAACCAACAAACGTGCTCGTCGACACCGTGAGCGTGAGGGCGATTATATTTCAGGCCTTGGATTCGAAGACATGTCTGGTGATGACGAGGCATCGTATCTTCTGTTGCATCCCCGCCCAGGAAGCCGCGGAATGTGCGTGGAGCATCGTCGTGAGCGCGCTCGCCTCGATGACGAGTTGCCGATGGTTAACTCAGGAATTGCAATCGGCGCTGGCTTAACGAACACGTTACCACCAACTACAGCCGGACAGATTGCGGACGACCAAGATATTCCTCTATATATTCGAGTGCCGCCAGTACCAACGTTCTTTGCGGAACAGCTTGATGGCTACACGCCTGACCAACGGAGGGCGTCAGGTCAAGCTACCATTTCCGTGACAAACAACGCGCAGGCACCAATACGTGGATCTAAAGGAAAGTCTAAACGTCGATGTCGCTAGCGTTGACGGCTTTGTCGGGAGGAAGGAATTAAGTCAGGCAGCGTCAGGCATGTCGATATTAGACTATCTTGATACATTTATCAGACTGAATACACGTGCATGGGTTGCGACTTTATGCTGGTACGTAGCCTCTTGGAACCCGTCGAACGCTTCTTAGAAACTTTTCCACGACGACCAGTACATAGGAAATCCTTCCAAGTAGCCACCGACGACTGGTACATCTTCCACACCGCCTTGACTTTCCGATTCCTTGTCCTCGCACTGGACAGACTTTTGGTTCGCCTCATCCTCTTCCTCAAGCTGCGCCAATACTTCCGCTAGCGCTGCTTCACTTTCACTTTCGTCCTCGTTGTCAGCTGCCAGATGACGGGCCAGGCGGGACTCCCAACGCTCAGCTTGATCGGCACGGGATTGACTGTCTGCCGGGTCCGCTTCAGCGTTTCGGGGCCGATCCTCGTCAGTTTGGCAGCGTGGAGGGAGCGTCTATACTTCGGCACTGTGTTTTCTTGCTGCTGTCGCTTCTTCGCCCGAAGCCGTATCCGCTCTGCTACTTCTGCTTCTTCTGGTGGCGTGAGTGGGGGTGGATTGGTGGTGGGAGGAGCTTGGGCTGAGCTTGCTTGGCTGGGTGTTGCATTCACAGTGACCATCTCGAGAGGAGCTTCTGGATGCACATCGCGAGCTCCATCGGCAGCTATGTCGTTCGTCCGGGGCCTGACATAGAGTATGGATACGTACAGGTTAGTCTTAAGCAGGGAATACATGAACTAACTCACGCGTACGCACCATGCCACGGGGTCAGGACCTGATCGCTTGCGGCCTGCGGGGGAGGAGAGAGGATTTTGGACTGGCGACAGGAGGCCACTGATTTTTTTTCTAAAAACGAATTTATCTTACCAGCCAGTCCGAAGGTAAGTTTATCTTACGCAGCTGCGCGATAGCAGCCGCTGATTTGTTTGCTCTGGATATATTGAATATCCCCAAAACTGCACCAAATAGCACAGAAAGTAGTATTTGCCTACTGTGCAGTTTATGTAGTAGCAGCGTGTTCGTTAGCGAACTGCACTTTTGTATTTCACATACTGAATACGAGACGAAGCAAACCAACAAACGTGCTCGTCGACACCGTGAGCGCGAGGGCGATTATATTTCAGGCCTTGGATTCGAAGACATGTCTGGTGATGACGAGGCATCGTATCTTCTGTTGCATCCCCGCCCAGGAAGCCGCGGAATGTGCGTGGAGCATCGTCGTGAGCGCGCTCGCCTCGATGACGAGTTGCCGATGGTTAACTCAGGAATTGCAATCGGCGCTGGCTTAACGAACACGTTACCACCAACTACAGCCGGACAGATTGCGGACGACCAAGATATTCCTCTATATATTCGAGTGCCGCCAGTACCAACGTTCTTTGCGGAACAGCTTGATGGCTACACGCCTGACCAACGGAGGGCGTCAGGTCAAGCTACTATTTCCGTGACAAACAACGCGCAGGCACCAATACGTGGATCTAAAGGAAAGTCTAAACGTCGATGTCGCTAGCGTTGACGGCTTTGTCGGGAGGAAGGAATTAAGTCAGGCAGCGTCAGGCATGTCGATATTAGACTATCTTGATACATTTATCAGACTGAATACACGTGCATGGGTTGCGACTTTATGCTGGTACGTAGCCTCTTGGAACCCGTCGAACGCTTCTTAGAAACTTTTCCACGACGACCAGTACATAGGAAATCCTTCCAAGTAGCCACCGACGACTGGTACATCTTCCACACCGCCTTGACTTTCCGATTCCTTGTCCTCGCACTGGACAGACTTTTGGTTCGCCTTCGGGTTTTGGTGCTTCTTCGCTGTTTGGTGCGCCTTCAGGGTTTGATGCCTCTTTGGGTTTTGGTACTTCTTCGGTGTCGGCACACTATTCGCAGCGGAATCGATGTCACTAGCGCGTCCAATACCGTCACAGGAGTCTCCATCGTCATCGCCCTCAGGTGTTCGTCGATCGTCGTTGTAGTCCGAATCGTCACTATTGTCCGGAGACTCATCTTCATCCTCTTCCTCAAGCTGCGCCAATACTTCCGCTAGCGCTGCTTCACTTTCACTTTCGTCCTCGTTGTCAGCTGCCAGATGACGGGCCAGGCGGGACTCCCAACGCTCAGCTTGATCGACACGGGATTGACTGTCTGCCGGGTCCGCTTCAGCGTTTCGGGGCCGATCCTCGTCAGTTTGGCAGCGTGGGGGGAGCGTCTATACTTCGGCACTGTGTTTTCTTGCTGCTGTCGCTTCTTCGCCCGAAGCCGTATCCGCTCTGCTACTTCTGCTTCTTCTGGTGGCGTGAGTGGGGGTGGATTGGTGGTGGGAGGAGCTTGGGCTGAGCTTGCTTGGCTGGGTGTTGCATTCACAGTGACCATCTCGAGAGGAGCTTCTGGATGCACATCGCGAGCTCCATCGGCAGCTATGTCGTTCGTCCGGGGCCTGACATAGAGTATGGATACGTACAGGTTAGTCTTAAGCAGAGAATACATGAACTAACTCACGCGTACGCACCATGCCACGGGGTCAGGACCTGATCGCTTGCGGCCTGCGGGGGAGGAGAGAGGATTTTGGACTGGCGACAGGAGGCCACTGATTTTTTTTTCTAAAAACGAATTTATCTTACCAGCCAGTCCGAAGGTAAGTTTATCTTACGCAGCTGCGCGATAGCAGCCGCTGATTTGTTTGCTCTGGATATATTGAATATCCCCAAAACTGCACCAAATAGCACAGAAAGTAGTATTTGCCTACTGTGCAGTTTATGTAGTAGCAGCGTGTTCGTTAGCGAACTGCACTTTTGTATTTCAGATACTGAATACGAGACGAAGCAAACCAACAAACGTGCTCGTCGACACCGTGAGCGCGAGGGCGATTATATTTCAGGCCTTGGATTCGAAGACATGTCTGGTGATGACGAGGCATCGTATCTTCTGTTGCATCCCCGCCCAGGAAGCCGCGGAATGTGCGTGGAGCATCGTCGTGAGCGCGCTCGCCTCGATGACGAGTTGCCGATGGTTAACTCAGGAATTGCAATCGGCGCTGGCTTAACGAACACGTTACCACCAACTACAGCCGGACAGATTGCGGACGACCAAGATATTCCTCTATATATTCGAGTGCCGCCAGTACCAACGTTCTTTGCGGAACAGGAATCGATGTCACTAGCGCGTCCAATACCGTCACAGGAGTCTCCATCGTCATCGCCCTCAGGTGTTCGTCGATCGTCGTTGTAGTCCGAATCGTCACTATTGTCCGGAGACTCATCTTCATCCTCTTCCTCAAGCTGCGCCAATACTTCCGCTAGCGCTGCTTCACTTTCACTTTCGTCCTCGTTGTCAGCTGCCAGATGACGGGCCAGGCGGGACTCCCAACGCTCAGCTTGATCAGCACGGGATTGACTGTCTGCCGGGTCCGCTTCAGCGTTTCGGGGCCGATCCTCGTCAGTTTGGCAGCGTGGGGGGAGCGTCTATACTTCGGCACTGTGTTTTCTTGCTGCTGTCGCTTCTTCGCCCGAAGCCGTATCCGCTCTGCTACTTCTGCTTCTTCTGGTGGCGTGAGTGGGGGTGGATTGGTGGTGGGAGGAGCT